TGTACAGTTCTTCAGTTAAGTCATTATTAGGGAATGCAATCCCGCACCAAAATCTCAATCCCGCAAACCCGCGGGATTAAAGCAATCAATCCCGCGGGATCCACAAAATTGCGGGATTGTAAACAATAAATGTTCCTCTTTGTACTTAACCTATTAAACTTGCTAATATAATGGTTTTATGCAATTAATCGAAATTTATTATTATTAGGAATTACATGGTTCAGCAGCTTTGGACTTTGATGATCTTGAGAGCAAAATTTCTGAGAGATATGCATGGATTATATGGATAGTTCAAGGGCTGTAGAGTTCTGTTCTCGTGTCATATATGAGATTGGGCCTGAGGCAAGACAGGTAAGAAAGAAAGACAATGACAAAGTATGGAAGTTGTCATTCCCTTAGTTTTTTGGAATATAGCCTTCCAAATTCTATAATTTGCGATAATGGACTCCAAAATGTAAGTTCAGTATGCCATTCGCACCAGCTGAGAAGGCAGGCACTCCACTACAATCATCTGCTAGCTCTGGAAATTCATGTTCGCCCTCCACCTTCAGTTAAGGTATCTTTATCAGTTTATTTGTTTCACTTGATGCACTAACGAAGTTTCGAGACTTAAAAAGGGCTCTACGCGTAACGATGTCTGAGAGATTTGAACTGTACAGTTCTTCAGTTAAGTCATTATTAGGGAATGCAATCCCGCACCAAAATCTCAATCCCGCAAACCCGCGGGATTAAAGCAATCAATCCCGCGGGATCCACAAAATTGCGGGATTGTAAACAATAAATGTTCCTCTTTGTACTTAACCTATTAAACTTGCTAATATAATGGTTTTATGCAATTAATCGAAATTTATTATTATTAGGAATTACATGGTTCAGCAGCTTTGGACTTTGATGATCTTGAGAGCAAAATTTCTGAGATATGCATGGATTATATGGATAGTTCAAGGGCTGTAGAGTTCTGTTCTCGTGTCATATATGAGATTGGGCCTGAGGCAAGACAGGTAAGGAAGAAAGACAATGACAAAGTATGGAAGTTGTCATTCCCTTATAATGAAAATGGCAAGCCGATAGTCAAAGTTGCCTTTATAAGTACCTATAAAAATGACAACTTTCAATATACTTTAATTGCTGATGATAATAAGACAACACTAAGTGTTAAGAATACTGGACTTCTCGCAGAAGAAGTGTTAAATAAATTAAATATAATGTCAAGTAGCCTTGATCTATCAATCCTTCTATCACATCTAGCTGGTGCAATTTTCTCTAAGGATGATATAGAGAGTATTGCTGATGAAACTGGCTCAAACACTGCTGTTATTCTAGCTGCCAATCTGGAAGACACTATCTGCCTCAAAGCAAGATGCATATTGCAGCTGTTGCTGCTATAGTAGCAACCAGAAACGTTAAGGATGAATCCATGAGAAATGGAATTATAGAAAACAGAGTTTTTCTGGAATATAGCCTTCCAAATTCTATAATTTGCGATAATGGACTCCAAAATATAAATTCAATATGCCATTCGCACCAGCTGAGAAGGGGGCCACTCCACTACAATCACCTGCTAGCTCTGGAAATTCATGTTCGCCCTCCACCTTCAGTTAAGGTATCTTTATCAGTTTATTTGTTTCACTTGATGCACTAACGAAGTTTCGAGACTTAAAAAGGGCCCTACGCGTAACGATGTCTGAGAGATTTGAACAGTACAGTTCTTCAGTTAAGTGATTATTAGGGAATGCAATCCCGCACCAAAATCTCAATCCCGCAAACCCGCGGGATTAAAGCAATCAATCCCGCGGGATCCGCAAAATTGCGGGATTGTGAACAATAAATACTCCTCTTTGTACTTAACCTATTAAACTTGCTAATATAATGGTTTTATGCCATTAATCGAAATTTTAACTATGTACGACTAATCTGTATTGAAATTGAAAAAAAAACAATTTGGTGGTGTTTTTAAAATTTTTTGTTTTAAAGAAAATACGAGTTTTACATTTCAGTCATACATTTGGTCCTAAATGGTACAAAAGGCATTGTACATTTTGCATAGGCCCACAATATATTGATATAGCCTGTATCTTAAACTAGCTGTACAGAAATTTGGACTGATGTATACAAGGTGTTCAAAGAATATATTTAATATTTAATAAACTCATTTATTATAATTTATCTACTTATTTTATAAATAAAAATATTATTCTGATGTTGAAGTTATTTTTAACTTGTGTGAGTTATCTGCTTTTAGATACACTCTATATCAATAATTTTCTGGCATATTTTTCGAAAAAACGTCGTATTTTCCTTAAAACAAAAAAAAATAAAAAACCGATCAAATTGTTTTTTCTAATTTCAATACAGATTAGTCGTACTGTCGTACTTGGTAAAAATTTCGATTTTTTAAGAATTGTAAATTTGCGGTAAAAAAGATTCTTAGCCAAATTTTCACACTCTGGTAAAACACCCTGTATACGATAATTCGCTAAATATATTTTCGAAAACCACATAGCATCTTAGTCACAATAGGTGCATTTAAAACCTGGACCCAACCACATCCCAAAATCTTTTTTAGTTCAAGAGATTTGAATATCTCTTGAACTAAAAAAGATTTTGGGATGAATATATTAATGATAATAAATTTACCTTAAAATTTTGCTTGTCCCGATAATTATGTCCGGCAGTTTATTTGACAAAATTGTCCACAAGTACTAGTTAAATACTTTTTTTCTTCACTTACGCTGCTTACGCACATACGCCAGAAAGGAATCTAACAACTAACGTGTTTGTTTCACTTATTTTTAATGGCCAAGGCGTAAGGGGATTTAAGTGTTCGGTTACCCAGTGGTAATGTGTCAATCCCGCAGATCCCGCACGGTAAATCACGCGGAATCTCAGCGAGATCCCGCATTTGCGGGATTGCATTCCCTAGTCATTATATAAAAAGTTTCATGTTAAAATTTCCTATAGCCCTTTGTACTCAGCACAATGTAATTTTGTTGAACGTAACAATAAAACCATTGGTACTATTCGTTCTTATGTTAGGGATCATACTGATTGGGATTTTTATATACCACATATTAGACAAGCTTTTAATACCGCGAAACACGATGTGACTGGTTTCACACCTTCGCATTTAAATTTTGGCAGATACATTCCTATTTGTGGTTCTTATTTAAAACAAAAAACAATTTTTTTCGACGAGAACTCGATGTATTACGTGTTTGAGTGATCTTTTGTTTGGGATTGCCACGCCCTTTCTTATTCGAAGTTCAATAAAACACAAAGTTTACTTAATCTGAATGAGTTGCATAGAGGCCACTAGCTTTTTAATTTTAACAGCCGGGTGGTCGGGGTTCAAAGATATTAATAAAAGGGCGCCACGAGATTATACTCTATGAACTCGGCATAAAAGATGTTACTATTAAGTAGACTTCAACACTAACCTCGAACTGTTGAGTGCAACTACCATGAACTTCAAATATTACTATAATTCGTTAAACTTAAGTGACTCTAACTTAACTATGAGACCAGACTGTAAATAATACTACTAAAAATATTTAAGCAATTTATTAAAATATCAAAAAAGTTTATATTTAAAGAAATGAAATTGAAGTTAAATGAAATGTAAAGTTAAATGAAATTTAAATCAATAAGTACTAAATCTATGACGTCAAACCCCTTATCTAACTTAATACTAGATACAAACAGGGTGGTTTACATAAAGCAAATCTAAATCTAAACAGTCTTACTCTAATCGATGTACAATCCTGAAACAACTCGGAAGTTCCTCCGACTGAGCTACGGTGTATAGCTACAGGGTGGCTACGGCGGTGCACAGCAGCTCGGTGTACTGTCACTGGAGCCCACGGATGTCAGCAGACGTACGGATGCCGGCCAGGTGTAGGACTTCAAAAGGTGAACATAAAAACCCTCAACGAGGGTTTATGATGTCCAATGGGTAACTCTACACACGGGCAACAGGAACGGATGGAATTCTGGACTGTTCTGTGCTACGGTCTGGATCGGTCTTCTTGCTCTTGGAACTATCGGGGACTTCTTGGGCACGTGGAATCGGAATATCGGTCGGAAAAATTTGGCTATTTAATCCCTTACGGAAATTGGTCGGTGGTCCATACAAATCAACAAAATCCAACCACGTCTCCAACCAAATGTGTTTCGGAAGCCTTAATCCTTCTCTAGGAAGACCTGTTAACTACCAACAGGAAATGCTTCACGAAACGGCAGCCAGTTCTTCACGACGACACTCTTCAGTCGGTGGATACACAAGAAGTGATGCAAGGATTCGATTTCCTTCACAAAATCAGATTTCAACCGGAAATCTCCCTCCAGGATATAGATAGAGAACTATATATAGTGACTAGTCCAACTCACAAAAAGGCATAAATAAAAAATGATGTTCTAGATTATTTTCACAGCCATCTTCGATATCCGGTCAATGAACGAACTAAACTCACAAATTCCCACAATTAAATGAACGAATTGCACACTGCGATCCACATCAAAAATAACCAATTTAACTACGAAATTTTATCTGATAATTATAAAATTTCAATAACCAAAACAAAGGATAAATAAATCCAAAAACATCTGATTTGATCTGACAGTGACAAGGGACAAGTGATGACCAAAGATTTAGAGAGATGGACAAAAATTCTAATGCTGGGCGGCATCCAGTGATAATATTCTGTGGCTCTATAGCGCGGTGTATATCGGGTTGCATAATTGTAAAATTTAAATAAAATAATATTTAACAATAAAATTATAGTAAACATGATGCAAAAATAATAGCTATTTGCGATATTTTATGAGCTAGCACACAGAGGTCGTTGCGAGGAAATTTGACTGTTACAGGATTTGTTTAATTTTCAAATCATTTCGAGCACAAGACAAAAATGCTACACTGTCTAAATATAAATGGCTTGAAATCGGCATTCGTAAAACTTGTGCGTCAGAATCTATCTAACAACGGTATTCAGGGCACTTACCAACATGTTTCTAATAACTGCCGATGACACTGTCCTGATATTTTTCGTTTTCTTTATTAGGACTTTTCTCAAAAGCCTGTCATCGGTGGTTAGGTAATCGCGGCCCTGCCGTAGCGATGCTAACGTGTTGATCAATCTACAAATCGATTCCTAAAAATATTGTCAAGTGTCAAAATAATAAGCTGACTTGGGCTTACATCCTACAGTCATCCCCTATCATACAATCAGCAACATCGACAGTTGCTACTATTGTTAGTCCTCGTTTTACTATAAAATGTATTGAAAAATATAGTAGTATTTTACAGGGTGTCCCAGAATAAAGTGCAAGTATTTTAACTGGTTGAGTAACTGGTATAAAGTGTTGAAAATTTCATATTTTTCCTGACATTTTCTGGAAAATATTGAAAAACTTTTGGGTGCCGCTTGTTCAGTATCGGGAAATTTCTTTATAGTGCTTCGAGAGAATGCAGTGTTGCCAACTCCTACATTATCCACATTCTGTATGTTTATAAGTCGACATTTTTAAATTAACAAAAAAATACTTAAATTAATTGTATCCATTTTAGATTTTTTAACCATTGTATATTACTATTAGGTATAGTGCAAGTCGATTATTTCAAATATTTATTCTACTTTTCATTAAAAACAAGAGTGTGAGATAGAAAAAAAGAGGAGTTTAAATTCTCAAAAAATAATCCTAAATCATTCAGATGACATATGAATGTATTTTGTGCCAAAGACACGTGTAGTGCTGTCAAGAATCGCAGTGAAATGAAGTGTTGTTAAGTGTAGAGTTCTAGATCTAACCTAATTAAATCGATCTGCTATCTATCGGAGTGCTGTTTTCTAATGTTAGGTAAGTTTGTACTTTTAATCTGAAATTTCCAAGTCGTTTTTAAATATTTCTAGTCGATGTGTCAACACTGGACGTCGAAGAAGCTGATTATCGATAGCTGCAGGCGGCTCTCAAAATGTTTTCATTATTTTTTAAAATTTTCAAAGTTAAAGAACTCGGTTATTATCAATTATTTATTTTAAAAACGGTAAACAGAAAATATGTTTCTTTTGGTCAAATCTACCACCCTATTAAAATACTTGTACTGATTTTTGGGACAACCTGTATTTTAAGATTTTGTTTATTCTAAAAAGTGGCCCGTATTAATTATTTTTTTACAACCCTAGTGTAGCAAATACATATTAATATTTATATTTCTTCACGAATAAGCGTTACATTTTTCAGAACCGTAATTTATTAAAATATGACTCGGAAATCCGGTAGTTTACGTTGCCCTATTAGACTGGCAACTTTTATAATAACTTCGGTCACGCTATCTTGCGGAAACCGCTGTATGTAGGTTGGCGGTGACTGGAACTAAAATTTCTTATATTAAAGAACTGGAAAATAGTAAATTCTACATTTTAAGCCCGGGATATTTTTTGATAGTTCTTTTTCACTTTAATAAAAACCAAATAAATAGTAAGAAATATCCCCCACCGTTACACAAAAAAGCTGTCGATATATTGAAGTGTAACTTAAAAAAATATCCTGTACCCAGTAAACAATTGTGTTACATTAACATTAATTTTACGTAAAACTGGAATATATTTTATTACTTACACACTATCTGTTACATATTTATCTAAGTTTTACAAAAATTTTACACACATAAAATTTGATCTCGATCCTTGTAGAACGTATTCTTTACATAAACTGTCGCACCTAAGCTTTTAAATAACCTAATGAACAGTTTACCTCAATTTTATATAAAAATGTAAACATATTTTATCTAAATAGATTATATTATATTTCATTTATGTAAAACACCCTACATTCTTTTTATGTAAGATTCTTACGTATAATTTGGGTGACAACATTTATGTAATTAACGTATTGCAAGTGATCTGATGTATTTTACGTAATGCTCTGAATAAATGAGTTTTAAAATTTGAATTGTCCGCGCTTATACTGACAGTAACAGTCAGAGGGACCAGCCATCTTTGTTAGCTTGGCCTTGCCTTGTCCTTTGGCGTCGTTTGATGCCGGTAAAATTAATTGTGGTTCAATATTTATAGAAATACCAGAGAAATAGATATTCTAACCAATTAAAGGAGAGGCTTTTTCGTGTGTGTGCTTATTGTGCATTTTAAAGGTAAGTTCTTTTTCAAATTGCTTTTAAATAAAAATAATTGTTTCTAAGTTTTTTTTCGTCACAAAAGAAACAACTTTACTACCAACCAATCCAAATTCTCGCAACAGTAGAGAAGACCAACTACCTAAACTTTGTGAATTGAAAGTTTTCTGCGTGAATATATGTTCAGTGAAGAATAAAATCGAGGAACTTGAACACGTACTAGGGAACAAATATGATATTGCGTGTATTGTCGAGCACTTTTTAAATCACGAAGAAGCTAAATTATACTGTCTTCAAAACTATTATATAGCATCATGTTATTCAAGAATACAAAATAAACATGGTGGTGCAATGATATTGTGTAAAAATAAACTTTTAAGTAAGACTGTAGAAAATATTGATACACTCTCTAACGAAATGAACTGTGAAGTAGCAGCCGTAGAATTAGACTTCTTAAATTGTATAATAGTAACTATTTATAGACCACCAAGCGGTGATTTGTATATCTTCTTGGATATTATTGAACAAATATTGATTGTAACTTTGAATCTTAACAGATATGTAATTATCAATGGTGATTTTAATTTTAATTTTATAAACCCTGACTATAGATGTAAATTGTTTCTAGATTTAATTAGTTCATTTGGCTTTTCACAAGAAATTTTTGAAAAAAACGGGCGGAAAATTGCTTGGACAATATTTTTGTCAATTTTAGAAACGACCTATCCTTCAAAACAAGTGTATATGACCCTTTACTATCGGATCACTGTGCTACTGTCATAAATGTTAGTTTTGTTTTAGAGGAAATGCAAAACCAAAGACATAAATTAGAATTTCATAGGCCATTATCACTTGAAGGTCAAAATCGGTTTTTTCACCTGTTGGATGGTGAAGACTGGAGTTGCTTGGAAAACTCGGAGAGCGTGGAGTGGCAGTTTGGTGTATTTTATTCTAAACTCGTTGACTATCTGAATATATCATTCCTTTTAGTCAAAAAGAGGGCAAATCAACGTGGTAGAATTTCTTGGTATAATGATAAGCTGAAACGTATGCGTGACCATTTAAAATTTCTAACAGAATTAAAAAACAATTCTAATTTCCCGGAAATCAATACTGAATTAAGGTCTTTTAGGAAAAAATACAAAGCAAAAATTACTTTTTGCAAAAAACAAGCAAACTCGAAATATATTAAAGACGCTGACAATATGGTGAAGGCTACATGGGATATAATAAATTCATACAGGGGTCCTATAAAATATACTGTGAGTACGAATGTTAGCGCAAATGATTTTAACAATTTTTTTGTGAATATAATCGAAAATATTGTAAAGTCTCTGAGCGTAGAAAATCGCATAGCGCTTGACTATATAACAAAATTTTCTAATAAACCTTTAAATCTAAATTTTTCCTTTAGAGAGGTAACTTTCATAGAAAATCGAAACGCCGTAAATTCGTTAAAAAATAAGCATAGTAAAGATATTTATAACATGACCATTCCACTAGTTAAAAAAAGTAATAAATTTATTAATATATCCTCTAACTAAATTATTCAATAGATGTATAAGAGACGGTACGTATCCCAATTGTTTAAAAATTTCCAAAATCGTACCAGTATTTAAAAAAGGTGATCCTGAAAGTGTGAATAATTATAGACCTATAGCTTTAATACCCACACTTTTTCAAAAAATTTTTGAATGTTTATTGAAACACCAGTTAACACATTACTTTGAATGTAATAACTTGTTCATAGAGAATCAGTTTGGGTTTCGTAAAGGAAAATCTACTACAATGGCTTGCATTCGTTTGATGGAAGATATAATTGAGGGTTTTGAGAGCGGTAACTATGTTGGTTCGGTCTTCTGTGACCTTACCAAGGCCTTTGATTGTGTGGAGCACAACATACTTTTACAGAAAATTTCATATTATGGAGTAAATAATATGAGTTCGAAATTATTGGCTGATTATCTTGTAAACCGATCTCAACAAACATTTGCCAACGGTACGCTCTCTGAAGTGAGTGTTGTAAAATATGGGGTTCCGCAAGGCTCAGTATTAGGACCTTTATTGTTTTTAATTTACATTAATGATTTACCCGTTGCTACACTTCAGAATAATTTGATTTTGTTTGCCGATAACACTACTATCTTATGTGCTCGGAAATCCCCTGAAGAAATTCAAACTAATTTTGAATCGATTTTGCTAAATGTTGGTGACTGGTTTCAGGCAAATCGATTATGCCTGAATGACAGAAAAAGTTATTTTTTCTCTTAAAACAAAATATAAAGTAGATTTCTGCAGTGTCCGATTTCTGGGAATAAAATTTGACACAAAACTGAGCTTTGAAAGTCACGTAGACTATGTGGCAGGGAAGGTTTCCATAAGCATGTATGCATTTCGGCGATTGACTAAGTGTGTGGAGAGTGATGTGTTAGTAGCTGCCTATCATGCTCTCATTCACTCGGTGCTTACTTATGGAATACTTGTTTGGGGTCACTCAGCTCATGCTGACAGACTGTTTCGACTGCAAAGAAAAGCATTGAGAATTTTGTCAAATTTAAGTTATCAAGCAGATACAAAAAACGCCTACAAAAGACTGGGAATACTGACACTTCCATGTTGCTATATCCTCCAGTGTCTTTTATTTGTGAAGGATAACCTAGAACTATATACTACGCATGATGAACAATACAATTATGCAACCAGAAACAAAATGAATATAAAGCCTGTTCATTTGCGCCTTGGAAGATCTTAGAACTCCAGCCTTCATTATGCTCCTGCATGCTTTAATAAATTATCTCAAAATGTCAGAAATTTAGCAAGACATCAATTTAAAACGACAATTAAAAGCTACCTTCTTGAATCAACGCTTATTTTAGTGTTACTGATTTTTTAGAAAGCAGTGAAGGGTTATAGCGTGGTTATAGGTTAAAACATTTACATTGTGTATGTATTGTTTTTTTGTGTACTTTAAATTACTGTTAGATAATTATTGTGCTTATTTTATAATTTCGCATTTTACAAAATATGACTTTGTGTAAGGATACCTGTATCTATTAACATGCAATAAATGATTTGATTTGAAGTTGTAGAAGTGCTCGGCCATTCATTTTTCCTGGCATGTTATTAATCGCCATCGTACAAATCATACATAGACACATATAGGACAAATCTGTTAGGTGTTTTGCACACAAAATAACTTCTAGTTAAATTTTTTAATTAAGTTTAGTTAATTTTTTTAATTATCCTGGAGCTTAAATTATAAGATCCAGGATACTACGTGTATGAAGCTTTTGTTAGGTTAGTATATTTAGGTTGCCAGAAATCACTAAACTTAATAAATATATTGTATTCTTAGATATAATTCTGCAACAACAAAGAAGCTCCAAATACGAAGTGGCAAAAATTATTGGGAAATAGTTACGACTCAGCCATCAGCGTCTCAAAAGAGAAAAAAATAAGTCTAATAATGCAGGAGAGTAGAATAAACGCATGATTATAAACGAGCACCTGATCAAAATAAATCTTATTTAGTATATTTTTCTTAAAACTGTTCTTTTCTTTAGTCCCAAGTGGTACATGCAATTAAAATGTTTGACCCATGTTATTCATTATTTTCCATGAATGTAAACCTAAAAATATCTCAAAAGTACATTCTTTTCTACTTCTACACACAGAAAAGATCTGCATATGAAAATTGTTTCATTTTAACTCTTTGATAATGCGAAGTTTATTTGTCATCTGTTTTTTAAATGAATTTGTTGAACTAGACTAGTTGTATTTCTAGACCATATCAATAGGGTGTTGAAAGTTGAAAGACTAAAATAAAAACAGTGGTAAATTAACTAGTTCTTTGTGTGTGATGTCGTAGGCTATTTCTGTCCACTTCTTAATTACAGTGGACACTTGCCGGAGGCCAGACTTATTGAGACACCCGTTGTAATACCCATTTGTTTAATTTTTTTCTTGTTATTTAGATTTTTCCTTAAGTGGTTTTTGCAAAATTTTTTAGGTACTGTTTTATCATTTAAAAAATTCAACTGGAATTAAGGTTATAAAAGTTATGTACATGTGATGTAAATTTTGTGATTTTAATATAATGGGTGGTAAGTAATCATATGCATATAATATTTACATAAATTTTAGTAATCACATATTTACGTAAATGTTACATCCTATAATCATCTTAAACTTTAATGTAAAAATTATGTCATATTATCATGGACCTGAGCACGACATTGTGCGTTAAATGTAAGTTAATTGTTACTTCTCTGTGACTAATGTGGAACTTAGAAATTACATAACAAGTAAAGTGCGTTACGTAAAATATTAGTTTAATGTGATATCACAATGTTTACTGGGTATATGGATTACCTGAACCGAAATGTCGCTGTATCCACATATTAATTTCTCAGGTATGCTCATGTTGGAGTTCAAGTCCAACAAATCGTTGTGTAAATACGAATTTATAACCTTTTCCCGTACTGCATTATCTGTCTTGGTTATCCTCTAAAATACGTAACAATTGTTTGAATTATTTTACACTATTTTGGAAAAATAATAATGATTTCATCAATCGCGAACCCAAATGATTTCCCACAGTTACTTTTATTTAAAAAAAAAGTATTATTGCCTTACCCATCTGAGTGCCTGTAATATGCGGGTTTGTCTATCTTTATCTCCATACAGTAAATCCTTTTTTAACCTCTCGTAATCGATATTAATCACAGTGTCTCTAAAACAGTCTGAGCTTACCAATAAGAAACTTTACTTTTACTAATGTTAAAAATGTATCAATAAAAAAAAAAGAAAATTGATTGAATTGATTCTGGGTTAAAACAATGAAAAGTCTTACCCAGAATAATTCAAGTTGTCTCTGTTAGAAACTGGCCTGGAGATTTTTCCCTCTCCGGCACCATAAGTATTGGGCGATTTCGATATGTCCTGCAAAACTTCATCCACAATTCTGGCTACGTCCTGTTTTTTCATATTGGTATATACTTCAGCCTCTCCATTTCTAAAAGAGTATGAAATAATGGTATAGATTCAGTATAAAACAATAAGACGTCTTAAATTTCAGAGTAGAAACTTCAAATTCCTGAAAATGACTGATATGGGGAAACCAGTGAGTCGAGTGGAAACCAGCGAGTAACTAGTTATTTCTATAATGCTACATCGCGTGTACAGAGGAGGTGGTAATGGGGAGATCGACTATAAGATAAAATTCCTCATACGTTATTGCATATGTTATCATCCTATTTTGTTTATAGTACTTCTTTTAACTAAAATTAAGTACGATAATATAAATATATATTATTGTTTAATTCTGTAACAGATTATTTCCTTTATATTATTATTTATATGATTAACAGATTATTTCCTATGTCCTTTACGTTCAAGTTGATGTTTTCGGTTATTAGTTTCGGGAGAGGGTCTTTTAACAGGAAGTAATAAAACAAACATCTTTCAAACGTGACTATTTTTGAATTCCCAAACTTATAGAAGGGCAAAGCAAATAAACTGTAGAACTTAGAAGTAAACAGAAAATTGTAAAGATAGACCTTAGATAAAAACCCTGGGACATTGTAAAACCAATTATCACCCTTGATAACATGTAACTATCGCCGGATGTTTGTAAAGGATCTGGGAACTTTAGGAAAGCACGTATCTAGACGTAAACTAGGATTAAATACGTAAAATGGTCATAGTACTGCCATCTAACAACAGGAGCTCGAACCAATTTGGTTTGAAGGGCGGTGTCAAGCTGACCAATCAACAAAGAACAGTACCTTTAGGGATGATCCTATTGGCGAAGTACCTAATGCACCACCCTTCAACCCTGTAATGTTGGAACCTCGGGGCTGTTTTTAGGCAGAAAAGTTAGTTCGGTTTAAGTTTCTAAAAGAGACGGTTCTCTCTCGGGTTCACTGAAACTCGGTAAGGTTCACGATGTGACCCCTTGTAGTTTTTAAGTCTGGTGTCTGCTAATAGTATTTTTTATGTCCTTTTGTCAAATGTTTTTAATTTTCTTCTCTAAAATTAATTTAATGTGTTGTAGTAAGATTTAGTAATGAAGGTTCAATTGTTTATGTAATTATCAGATTTTTCAACAAAGCAGACACCAGACAATTTTCTTGTATTTTTCCATCTCTTTTCCATTTTTAGTAATAACAAGTAATTTCGATCATATATATATATATTTTTTATTTGTTCTTTATTTTCTTTTTAATATTAAATTTAAATGTTTTCTAAAAACTCGGCAGTTTTATTTCTATAGTAAAAAAAACAAGAGTGTTTTAAAAGTATATAAATAAGATCCTTATGAACGGGCAAAATATCTCCAGAGCAGTCCCGAAAATTCTCGAGAAATGAGCTACATATTTACAGATAGAGGTCGGGCCGCAATTAAGGTAAGTTATAATAGATTTGAGAGACTAACAGCACTAAGACAAAGCATTAAACATACGCTCCAAAGAGTCGGTGTACTTTTTATCCAAGTTTGCCTTCCGCTCAACTTAATTGTTTTTTCATAATTATAAAATAGTCACGCTACCCATATACAAGTGATTAATCCGAAAAGATTTGTCACAATTCGAATATTTAAGGGTCTAGATGTTATACCAATATAAAATTTATCACATTCACATGGTATTTTTTATAGAAATTTGAATACATATACCCAATCACAATTACAATACTTTTTTAATAAAGCTGACAAATACACCCTCCTTTTACTCTAATAATGTTTATACAAAATTTGACAGTATACAGTATTAATTGATTTGATAATATATTTTAAACCATTAATTTCGATTAATAAGTCTTCAGACATTTTCGAAGAATTTATAAAACGTCTTCTGTAAATGGTGACGAAGTGTTAAATACCCTTCCGGACTGCGAAGATCTAAACTATTCATTAGCCCAGTTTGAAAACCGGATCCTGTGTGGAAAATAAAATTCAAAAGCTTACAAGAAAATTTATACACAAGATGAAATCAAGAAGATTGCACCCGGCTACCGTGGAAAGCCCGAAAATTTCGACCCTAGCAAAAAGGGAAAGAAAAGGGAGTTACCACCCAAGCCAAAGGCAAACAATCCTCGACCCGGATCATGAAGTGCTGAATTATCGCTACCAACGCACCTTCAGAAAGAGGCTACGCCTCAAAGAAATGAATCGATTATATCGGAATCAATCTTTGGAATAGACGTATCCGTCACTGAAATAACGCCAAGGCAAGAGTTTAGTGCTAGTTACAACCGGCTAATTGATTTATCTCTTGAAGTATATCAAAACTTCCGGCCTGACGAGAAGCAATTGGACAGAATTCTCATGAGAGAGGAGATGGCATATTATGCAACCCCACTATTGTGGACGAAACTAATTGACGCCAAAGCCAAAGAAGGAAAAGTAGCCCTAACCGGCGAGGAAAAGGCAATCAGAAAAGCTGTAAACGACGAACAACTAAACGTTCCTCAGCCTCTGTATGCCATCCATGCTTTCTGAAATTGGGAGCTACACCGACAAAATGGATAAATAGACGCGACACCAAATTCCAAACCTGCCGACAACTATAGTACAAGGTTTTGGTGGATATCACGCGAATGCTATTAACGCCGACACACACACAATCTCTTCGAAGAGGTTCCTTCATTAGGAATTGCAGGAGACATGGTGATGGCTTTAGCTGCAGTGGTTCCAGAACCAATACCAGACTTTAGAGTTGGAATACCAGCCGGAACCCAAGTCACCACAAACCTAGTCGGAAATACAGGGGGGGCATAGAAACTTCCTTTTTTTGCGATCACACTGTAACAGCAGGTGAGATCGTAGAAGAGTGGGGAAACAGGCGCTGAACGCAGGCACTCGGCAACTTTTGTTTTGTATACGCTGCAGTCGTAAAAATGAGGTAGACAAGAGAACAGCGTGCATTTGCAGTGGAAGCGTATTTTTCGAGCAATTCATTTGTGGCGGTGCAACGAGCGTTCCGTGTCCGCTTTGGGATTCAGCCCAGGGGTGCAGTTCCCGACCGTAAGTCAATTCTTTTGTGGGTAGAGAACTTCAGAACAACCGGAAATGTGATCAAAAAAGGCCCGGGACGACAAAAGACCGTTACAACGCCAGAAAATGTTGAGGCAGTTCGACAGTCCATTCTGAGATCTCCAAGGCGCTCTCTGCTCGCAAGCATGCGGCAGCCCTAGGAATATCTAACCGATCAATGCGTCGAATACTTCACAAAGAGCTTCACTTTCATCCATACAAAATGGTTGTTGTGCAAGAACTGTTACCCCGTGATTTTCATAACCGCGTAACGGCATGCGAAACTTTATTGGAAGATTTACCCCATGACGCACTGGTTTTCTTTAGTGATGAAGCACATTTTCACCTATCCGGCTGCGTCAATAAGCAAAATATGCGCTATTGGAGTGACAATAACCCTCGGGAACTTCATGAGAGGCCCCTGCACAGTGATAGAGTGACAGTCTGGTGCGCGATGTCTAGAAATGGGATTATTGGTTGAAATAGGATGATAATGGAGGAGCAGTTACCGTCAATTCACAGCGGTATGTGAACATGTTGCAAACTTTTTTGCACCACGTCTTGAAGAAATGGAACGAGAAAATGTGTGGTTTCAACAGGATGGTGCAACCGCCCACACATCCCGTGCTTGTATGGAAGTTTTAAGGGCAATGTTCCCCGGGCCACAAACCTAGTCGGAAATACAGGGTGGGGCATAGAAACTTCCTTTTTTGCGATCACACTGTAACAGCAGGTGAGATCGTAGAAGAGTGGGGATACAGGCGCTGAACGCAGGCACTCGGCAACTTTTCTTTTGTAAACGCTGTATTCGGCAAGAAATAGCTCAAATTCCACTAGCTATGTTGGAACGTGTAATGGGAAGCTTTCAAAATCGAATACAACAATGCATAGATAATGGAGGGCACCATCTTCAAAACGTTTTGTTTAAAACAATATGAATTAAAACTTTCAATTGCATATATTCATTTTTAGAAAATAAATATTTTTTATAAGCAGTACTTGTTTTTAATTTGCTCTCGGAAAAAAGGAAGTTACTGCGCCCCACCCTGTACAACACCAATCCGGCACCCGCTTCAATTTAAAATACGTAAAATCACTGTCAGATATTATCGGACAGATGACCACGTTCAAAATTGAGAAGGTATGCTTTAAAAACCTTACATAATGGAGGAGAAACTCAAACCGTAGTAAACAGGCCGATGGAGACCGAGGACCCTGAAAGATGGAACGAACGCAACGTTCAAACATTATCAGCAGCAACAAGCTCAGTAGCCACCATGGGAGCAGCATACTGTTTCGGATTCCAAACTTACAAAGAAGACGGACCAGGAGCAAACCGCACCCAAAGGTCAGAAAACTGGAGTCAACAACAAGAACCCTGGATCATGCCAGATGATTGGTATGAAAACAGGAATGCGAGAAGGAACTTGCCGCCTGGAATAGGCACAGAGAGATTTAGATCAATCTCAATGAGGCAAGACCTAACACTAACCAACGTGGTTAGAAGGATGATTAAAACGTAACGCTAATCATCCAAAACTGTTAATCAAAGTTGGTCGAAAAACAGACGCCCACTTCATTGTGGTTGAATCTGCGGATTCAGGCATACTAGATTTCGAATTAATAATAATATTATTAAACCTGTATCAGAATCAGAGGTTAATCTTCCTAAGACTTCCTCTTCTCTGAGACTTCGATAATGAGGCAGATGCCAAAGTATTTTTTCTATATTGCTTATATCAATCCGTGCTTTCCTTTAACACAGAATTACTTCCAAAAGAAAGAACCAAGAAATCAAAACAAGATTATTTCGTCAAAAAACACCATTTTCCTTGAAAGTTCATTGACCTTTGGAGTGAAAAAACTGGTTCTCAAAGTTAATATTTTCGAAGGTTCTCTTTCATTTTCTTATAAATGGATAAGTTTGCTAGAATATATCGAAAATAAAACTTGAGTTCGTGCTGTACAGAGGTATAGAGAGACAACCAAGGTAAGATTTTGTGTATACTATTTTTCTATTTATTTATTATTTTGTTTTGTGTGTGCAATTTTTCCAGATATGGATTTATTTCTACGCATTTTTGAATTCTTCTGGAACAGGCAACAGACCGAAGAAATAATTGACAAAAGATTAGATATTTTGGAGCAGAGAGATACCAACAACGTCGAAGGATTGGCTCCGGAAGATGTTGAAGACCCAAACGACTCCGGATGTGAAGATAATGTCGCATCTGACACCCATAAGGCGATTAGGGCAAAGTATATTGGTGTAACAGAGTATCAAGAAGCCCTAGAATCCGGAGTGTTTTGTGTATTCAAACATTATGTGCGAGTCACGATAACTACTAACGTGGTGAGTACTTTTCGTCAGTTGGCACTGTGTGGAGAGTGTTATTATAGACACCAACTCATGGTTCCATATGGTTCCCGTGAGCATATGTCTTCGCACTTCTCCACAAAACTGTTACCTGAAGAAATTAATAAAATGAAACGTGGTGGAAAATGTGCAGTGTGTAACACTAACTTATATATTATAATGCATCCTACATGTTGCTATATTTGCAATGGGAAGAATTTTTCAGTGGAAATGTAGTAATATATAGGATGCATTATTTTATTTATTTTTGGTATGTATTATATTTTGTTTTATTATATTATATTTTTAAATTATATATTTTAGTTTTGTAATTAGTTATTAAGTTACTATTTTATAATTTTATCTGTATTGTTTTAAATTATATATTTTAGTTTAGTAATTAGTTATTAAGTTAGTCTTCAGATATTTTCGAAGAATTTTAAAAACGTCTTCTGTAAATGGTGACGAAGTCTTAAATACCCTTCCGGACTGCGAAGATCTAAACTATTCAGGCATACTAGATTTCAAAGATATTATACAAAACGAAAGGGAAGAGAAGAACAAAAAAGGAAAGATGAAGAATCGAGAATAATCACGGAACATTCGCCCAGCTCGGCACTGCCAAATTTAAAGAGAATGTTGACGATGGCTGATAATAATAAATCGAAGAAGCGAAGAAAGAGAGCAGTCTCTCCGTATCTAAAAGCGATGTTTCCATAGTTTAAAATGTGGTGGTAATTAGGAGATCGACTATACATGATAGAATTCCTCATACGCGGGAGAGTTATTATAAAGTCAACAATATTAATAAATCTGTATCAGAATCAGAGGTTAATCTTCCTAAGACTTCCTCTATAAGACTTCGATAATAAGGCAGAAGAGCTAAAGTATTTTTTGTATCTTGCTTAATAGTGCTTATATCAATCCTTGCTTAATAGTGCTTATATCAATCCGTGCTTTCCTTTAAAACAGAATTGCTTCCAAAAGGAGGAACCAAGAAATCAAAACAAGATAATTTCATAGAAACTACCAAATATGCTCGTCTTCTTATGATGGATCATTTGCTACAGATGAACAAAAAAAGTCAAGGTTTTGATTTCTGGACTAGTCCAAATCAAATATAACTACTGCAGCTTTGCCTGCTACCATCAAAAGGCCACTGATGAAATGAAGAAGAAATGCCCTCTGTTAATTATTTATTATCTATTCAATTATTATAATTAACTTTGCTTTTATTATTTTGTATTGAACCTTCCCTTCCCTTCCCCTCCCTCGGGGGGTTGGTGGTACGGGGAGAGGGGTGTCTCCCCTTGGCGTTTTTTTTACTAAAACACCATTTTCCTTGAAAGTTCATTGACCCTTGGAGTGGAAAAACTGGTTGTCAAAGTTAATATTTTTCAAAGGTTCCCTTTCATTTTCTTATAAATGGATAAGCTTGCTGGAATATATCGAGAATAAAACTTGAGTACGTGTGGTACAGAGGTATAGAGAGACGACATAGGTATGATTTTGTGTATACTATTTTTTCTATTTATTTATTATTTTGTTTTGTGTTTGCAATTTTGTAGAAATGGATCTATTCCAAAGACTGTATGAATTCTTGTGGAACCGACAGCATCCAGAAGAAACAGTGGAAAGAAGAATAAATATTATGGCGCAGCGGGATATTAATAACGCAGAAGGATTGGCTCCTGATGATGTTGAAGACTCGAACGACTCAGGATGTGAAGACAATGATATATCTGATTCCCATATATCAGTTAGGGCAAACTATATTGGTGTATCAGAATATCGACAAGCTTTAGAATCCGGAGTGTTTTGTGTGTTTCAACATTATGTGAGAGTGACGCTGAACACAGTTGTTAGTGGTACTGTTCGAGAAGTACGATTATGTGGTGAGTGCTACTATCGACATCAGATGGGGGTTCCGTACGGTTCCCATCAACATGTGTCCTGGCACTTCACAACAAAACTATTACCAGACAATGTAAACAATATGACAATTGGTGGTAAATGTGGTGTGTGTAACCATAACTTATATATTTTAATGCATCCTATATGTTGCTATATTTGCAATGGGAAGAATTTTTTAAGCGACTATAAGATAGAATTCCTCATGCGTTATTGCATTAGTCTTCAGATATTTTCGAAGAATTTTAAAAACGTCTTCTGTAAATGGTGACGAAGTCTTAAATACCCTTCCGGACTGCGAAGATCTAAACTATTCAGGCATACTAGATTTCAAAGATATTATACAAAACGAAAGGGAAGAGAAGAACAAAAAAGGAAAGATGAAGAATCGAGAATAATCAGGGAACATTCGCCCAGCTCGGCACTGCCAAATTTAAAGAGAATGTTGACGATGGCTGATAATAATAAATCGAAGAAGCGAGGAAAGAGAGCAGTCTCTCCGTATCTAAAAGCGATGTTTTCATAGTTTAAAATGTGGTGATAATGAGGAGATCGACTATATAAGATAGAATTCCTCATACGCGGGAGAGTTATTATAAAGTCAACAGTATTAATAAACCTGTATCAGAATCAGAGGTTAATCTTCTCTGAGACTCAATGGAGCAGCGTGATATCAATAATGCTGAAGGACTGGATGCTGAGGATGTTGAAGATGCAAACGACTCCGGATGTGAAGATAATGATATGACTGATTCCCATATATCGGTTAGGGCAAATTATATTGGAATAACTGAATATCAACAGGCCTTAGAATCCGCAGTGTTTTGTGTATTCAAACATTATGTAAAAGTAACTATGAACACTAATGTGAGTGGTAGTTTTCGAGAGGTACAATTGTGTGGGGAGTGCTACTATCGGTATCAACTGAGGGTTCCGCACGGTTCTCATCAGCATGTGTCCTCGCACTTCACCACAAAACTATTAGCACAAAACGAGAATGAATCAGAATCAGAGGTTAATCTTCTCTGAGACTTCGATAATGAGGCAGAAGCTAAAGTATTTTTTGTATATTGCTTATATCAATAGTTAGCTATATTCTGTATAATTAACACTTCTTAAATCTATCAATTATCATTAATAAGGCAGTATGTCGGACATAATTAAGAAATTTGCAAAAATTGTCCTTACAACATGAGTTGAGAGACATGTTACCTAATGATCTCAAACTATCAGTGAAGTACATGGGATTCAATCCAACAGCTATTTGAGAGGCTTTGATTAATAGATGGATGAATGCGCTGAACACATCTGCATCTACACTTTCCTGCTGAGAGGTAATAAGATATCTAAAATGGGAACAAATACAAACCAGGCTGGAAAAGCTAGGATTCAGGTATTAAAGGACAAAACATGATTGTGGATGATGTTAAGGGTAAAGGATCAGAAGCTATAAACCTTGCTAGAATAGCTGCTATGGCTCCTACGATGGTTTATGATGTGCCGAATAGATCTATGTTTACGCTTCTTAATGCTGGTCATTCTGTAGGAAATTCTTCATCTTTTCAGCATAATATAAGTAGTTCTATCTTTAACCTATTTAAGCCAGATGAGACAAATTTTCTTTTATTTGATACGGTTCATCTATTTAAGTCCATTCGTTGGTTAAATCAAAAAAAATCCAAACGGACTTTCGTCTTGTATGCAAGTTTGTTAGATTTAACGGAACTTTATTCATCTGAATCTAATACCAGTTAAGCTAGAATTTATTATCAAGAAAGGTATTATATCCCTCTACATCAAGGCGTCAAAATGTTAGTATTAGACATGCGTAAACTTCAGCAGCATTTCGCGCATGTGCCAATATTGAACGCATTAGGAATGCTGCTGGGTGGACAGAAAACTCAAAAATACATTTATAAAATTTTATAATAGGCCTTTAATTGTTAAAGATTTTACGCTTCTTAGTACTGGTCATTCTGTAGGAAATTCTTCATCTTTTCAGCATAATATAAATAGTTCTATCATTAACCTATATAAGCCAGACGAGACAATTTTTCTTATATTTGATACGGTTCATCTATTTATGTCCATTCGTTGGTTAAATAAAAAAATAAGCTGTCAAGCTTTTTGATGAAAAAAAAAAACAAATCCGCTTTTTTGTGGGTTATAACAATAATCAATAAATAAAAATGTTTCTTAAAATACCTACTTGTCGCTTTCGAAAATTCTTTCGAACACCGTTTCCATGATTTGCCGCACTGTGTCTGGCGTTAACGTGGCCCTCATAGGCGAGACTGCATTTAGATTTTGTAAATTCAAATTTTCGACTAGCTCCATTCCAGGACTAGTCGTCTCACTGGGTTCTGGATAAGCCCAGTAATCTTTTCTAAAACAAAATTATAAAAACGATCTTTTAGAGAACGACTAAATTGGACGAGTCTCGCAAATAAAGCAGGCAGAATGAAGCGATACAATTTTCAATTCAAAAATTGACTTCCACATGTTTTTAAACAATAAATTTCACCTTATAGCTTGTTCGGGACTGTTTTGCGGAATAGTTTTCACATTTTCCACGTTTTCATCAAAAATAATCTGTTGTTTATTATCCACGGTTACGTGTGGAGTTAACGACGGGAAAAGAGATGGGTAGATGTACTTGCATTGCTCCAAAGTCGAGTGAATGTTTTTAGTTTGTCCTACTATGTTCAGCTGCAGAGCGGTAGTTAATTCACTTGTGACAGCTAAAAAATAAAATTAAAAATCAGTTAGATATGTTCGTCCCACACTACTCCCAAACGCGTAACCGTAAATTCAACATTACATATTTTTCTAAATTATTCAAGAGGATAGAAAATTCTTGCTAATTACTGCATTATTCTCCGCTAGAATATAAAAGAGCCTATCCTAATTTCTTAGATACCATTCAAGCATCCCAATCCACTGCAACTTTCACGCAGATAGTTGAAAGTGCATCAGTGATGGCAGATAGAAACTGGAAGAACCTAAAGAAGGGTTTTTGAAGTGGGATGTAATAAAAAAGAACCTGCATCATATTGTCAAGACTTAAATATATGCCAACTTGGGTTTATATCAAATTGGGAAAAATCAAAATATAATTCTCGTAAACCAATTTGATGTACACCCAAGGGAATCGTTCACGTATACGTCGACCTAGACATGTTCTTATAGTAAACATTGTTAATTAAAACAATTAAAGTTAGGTCGAAGTAGCGTGATGTTTCAGGCAAGCTCGTACTGAAAACATATATGAAAACATCGGTGCTGGAAATATACAAAGAAAACCTTTTGACGCATCCGCCGATGATTGGGACGAGCGGACAAATATAAAAGGGTATGCTGAAGACAGTGAGGGGGCTAATCAGTAAGTAAAAAAATTCTAGAAAAATCTCAGGGACCTCGAACGCGGGCCTCATTTCGAGGTCAGTAAACAAAATTCCTTAGAAAAAATGCACCAATTAGAACGCACGGTAGCCATCCTAAAAACGGTAGGGACAATAGATTCTTCGAGAGTAGTGGCAAAATTTTACATATAAACACAGGTCCAGAAGTTCATAAAAGTAGTCTTTGGGCAAATATCAGTTACAGCTCGTCGTAATGCCCAAATGTTGACCGGTTTTTATTTTATTAATAAGTGAATATTCTAGTCGGGACTTAGAAAAATTATAAAAGTGTTTGAACAGTCCTAATGAAGCAGTCGTAATAATTAAACAGTTCAATAGTAAAGTGTTCAGTCCGCCAGTCTTAGTCCAGTAAATAAAATAAGAGTACTTAGTGAAAGTGAAAATTCCAGAACAGTAAGTGTTTGAACATTGTAACAATTGACTTTTGATTTTTTTTGGAATTTTATGGAATTTAATAAACTTGTAAAAAGTGAACTCTAGTGTTTTAAATAAAGAAAAATCGAAAACTATAAAGAAAAATAATATGTTTGTTCAAACTTAAAAGAAAACTTTTTAAATTAAATTTATTCTGTGAAATTCTACATTTTATTAATTTGTTTTTTTTTGACAATTTTTTGGAATAATTACTAAATAAATAAATCCCTTTCGAGACAACAGCTAAGAAATATATTTAAATATACCCTTTCCAGACAAGAAATAAATAAATAAAACCCTTTCGAGTTAACAACCAGAACATCCATTACTTTATATATAAACCTGCAGATATATAACAGATATATAAAATAAAAGAAAATACAGGTACGTATTCAAGCTATTGCACTGGAACTGCGAACCCTGATTGAGAGAGAAGTTGTGACCTATGTAGCTTAAGCGGTAAGTACGTCGGGATCATTACAAGATAGTTAGTTGCAGAGTTAACAGTGAGTAGTTAATCGTCAGTAGTTTAGAAGACAGCAGTCAGCCCGTCAGATAAGAAGACGCTGTTGCAAGTACTCCTTAAGTCTTGGCATTTCCTGAAATTGTTCTGATATTAGGGGAGGTTCTCAAGGTTAAGATTTTCTTATAAATGGATAAGTTTAATATAGAATATAACAAGAATAAAACTTGAAGTGTGGTGGTGAAGTACTGTTTAAAGTTTAGTAGTGTGTGAATTTTTTTGAATTAAATGAGAAAATGGATCTATTCCAAAGACTCTACGAATTCTTCTCGAATCGACACCATCCAGAAGAAACGGTGGAAAAAAGACTTAACATAATGGAACAAAGAGACGTCAATAATGCCGAAGGTTTAGATTTTGAAGATGTGGAAGATGAAAGCGACGAAGGATTCGAAGATAATCGGATTCGCACATATCCAATACGGAAAATTACATTGGAGTTTCTGAATACTGACAATCATTGGAATCCGGAGTTTTTTGTATCCATAAACACTATGTGTTAATGATGATGCAGTATGCAAACAATATGATTCGAGGTGTGAAATTGTGTGGGGAATGTTACTATCGTCACCAGTTGCAGGTTCCGTATGGGTCACATAAACATGTAACCTCACATTTCACCACGAGACTACCACCAGAAAATGTAAATTCGCATAATGCTGGTGGTAGATGTATGGTTTGTAACCATAACTTATATATTTTAATGCATCCTAATTGTTGCTATATTTGCAATGGGAAGAATTTTTCAACGGAAATATAGTAACATAAAGGATGCATTATTTTATTTTTAGTGTAATTTAGTGTTAATAAATTAGTATTTTATTTTATATTTATATACTAGTATGGTATTTATACGTATGGTTTTGCAATGTCACAGTATCTTCCAACAAGTGATTTTACATGGCTCCCCGAAAGAGAAATAAAAAGTCTAGATATTTTGTCTATTTCTTATACCTCTAGTAAAGAACATATTCTAGACGCTGATTTAGAATATCCTAAAAGTCTCCACGACACTCTACAACAAAACAAACACAAAATCTACAAAAGTGATACCAAATTTAAACAATAAAGCAAAATATTTTATTCACTACCAATTACTAAAACAACGCTTTTCAAAATGGACTCAAGTTGACTAAAATTCGTAGAGTTAGTGTATCGGTATTTCTTCAATCGTCCTAGACCTCTAGAAGTGGTTCTAAATAGGTTTGATGTCATGGAGAGACGGGATAACCACGTTGATTTAGATAACTCGGACATGGCTGAAACCGATGAATCGGGAATAGAGGAGGACTGTACGGAGATGGGTATCTGCCCACGAGAACTTGGAAGAAAGAGTTCTATGTGTTCACAAACATTACGTGAGTGTTGAGATGATTATTCAGGGACAAAATGGTGTGACTACAACTCAACAAAAACAATTATGTTAGAGTGTTATTTTGTCGCTTTGTCGCCACTGATCGAAAATTTTAGTTCTGATGAGGAAGAACCATCACAAAATCCAATTTCATATCCAAACCATTTTTCATCATTACCAAAAAAAAACAAAAATTCAAAAACAAATTGACAGATGATTATTTAGGGACAAAATGGTGTGACTGCAACTCAACAAAAACAATTATGTGGTGAGTGCTATTTTGTCCATGAGTCACATGTGGATGGTGGGTCACATCGTCACATATCTTCGCATTGTACCACAGAATTAGATACTGAAAATATGGGTTCGTTTTTAGAACACAGCAAATGTTTTGTGTGTAACACGAACCTATACATTTTAATGCATCCATCTTGTTGTCTTCAGTGCAATGGAAAAAACACTTTCATTAATATAAACTAATTTTAATATTTATTAAACTGTACCTTAATATCTTATCTTTCCATATATTTTAAGTTTTAATTTTATTTAGTGTAGTTAATTTTATTAGTGCTGTGAAAATGAATTTCTTTCAAATAGTATATCGGTATTTCTTCAATCGTCCTAGATCAATAGAACAGGTTCTAAATAGGTTTGACGTCATGGAGAGACGGGACATAAACAACTATGTTGATTTAGATAACTCGGACATGGTTGACACCGATGAATCAGGAATAGATTGGAAAAAATAGTTGTCCTAGGCCCTATTTTGCAGCAAACTAATTCGACAATCCTTAACATCTGGAATATTTATTTTAAGTCTGATATTACTGTCAGTCTGGTACCAGATGACATTTGGAGTTAGATAATCAACTTCTGGAGCGGCTTTTATAACTGGCAGATCGTTTTGAGTGGTCATGCTTTGATATTGTTTAAGAACTCTTATTATATTGCAACCGGCTTCGATTAAAAACTGTTCCACGTCAAATGCAACAAACTCATACTTGCTAAAATCTTCCTCTGGAGGCACATTTTCTGAAAGTTATAATTCTTGAAAATAAATACAGGGTCGCCGTTATGTGCACAATAATGATGCAAATTCAGGATTTATTCCAGTATTTTTTCGTAATTTAAATTATGATCTTCATCTGTATATTAAACATCTTCAAACAAAGGACAAATATATTTCATTCTCAAAATCAATTTTGGTAGATACAAAGAAAACTTAAAGAAAAAAAAAGATAAAAATGTTTATATCAAATTAAGATTTTTGGATTCGTCATGTGAATCAGTTGAAAAGAAATTATAATTTGTGTAATATACCTGATTCAAATGATGTGTTCATTAAATCTATAGAAACATTAAATGTAAATTCTACAACAATAACTGATAGTACAGATGTTAAACCGGTAGAAAATGCTTGTGAAAAAATCGATAATGGTGAAATCGAGTCGAGTTTTTCGGGTTTGGAGACTAGTGATCGTACGTTAAGACGTCGAAGTAAAATTTTCTTGCCACTGTAGGGGCACAAAATATTAAGAAACCAGCGAAAGTACTAGTAAATGATATATAAAGTAAGATCACAGACAAAGATGAATGCTTCTTATTAACTAATATACCAGATGGTACACCAATTGATATTGATAGAGATATTAATTGGACTAGGAATCTTGAAGCTAAAAATGATTTAGCATATATCTCCTACATGTTGTCATCTTATTATAAGAATGAAAGATTGCCTCAGAATGGTCCTAAAAAATACAGGTTTTTTATCAGGAAGGCTGGAGATAGTTCTCAACGATTGGGAACATTTGAATTTTATAGTCTGAAAAATACACCTATCAATAATAATGCTGCCAATATTACTACAGACCAAGATATGATACATGCTTCCATACTGGGGCTAAATATGTTAGTTAAAGGAATGAGGGCACAAGATATGGCAGGCATGCATCCATTAAGTAGGGTAGCAGCAAGTGAACTAAACATAGACGCACTTAATGATTTCATAAGTACTAGTCCAAAAATGAGTCAATATACATCATTACAAAATAACCCCAAAATAACTGCTGTAAAATTATATAATACAGCTTGCACCAGAAAGGCTCATCAATTTTATGGCCAAACAAATTACTATTGTCCAGAATTGGCAGCAGCAACACTAATAACTGGAATAATTAGTTCAAGAAAGAATTCAGAAGGACTAATAGAAATAACTGATTATGTATTATATGAAATAAAATATATAATAAAATTTACAAATTAGAGAAAATTAGTATTGATAAAATAAATAGACTTTGTTTGAATTTGTGCCCCTTTCGTATCTTGCATTAGTAATTAACCCTCATCTCTTTATAGATAAATGGTGCAACGATTTCTAAACCCCTCATTATTAATAAACCCATGCAAATGTATTTTGCATCATTATTGTGTAAGAGATTGTTCGAGTTATGGGGAAACCTGAAATACAAATTTTAAAGCGTAAAGTTATGGAAAATATTAATATAATACAACAAGTAATTGTAACGAAGAACGGTGTGCAAATAATGGATTACGACCAAAAATACGATGACATTTCACCAGTGGATTCACCAAGTCAAGTTGAATCAAACATACAATATGATGAAAAAGTTTTAAATGAGTTAATAAATTCTTTAAATCAAATAGAAAGTGAAAGTGTAAACCAAGTGCAACCGGATTTACAACAATGTCAAGATTTGGATATGTTAGAAATGCCTACGGAAAGTGCTGAGCAAGAAATTCAACCGGATTTACGGCATTCTCAAGATTTGTCACAAAGTGTTATATTATAAAATAATAAACATAATGTGAAACAACTTTTTATAAAACGTGACCTTGAAATTACGAACAAAAATACGATGATATTTCACCAGTGGATTCACCAAGTCAAGTTGAATCAAACATACAATATGATAAAAAAATTTTAAATGAGTTAATAAATTCTTTAAATCAAATAGAAAGTGAAAGTGTAAACCAAGTGCAACCGGATTTACAACAATGTCAAGATTTGGATATGTTAGAAATGCATACGGAAAGTGCTGAGCAAGAAATTTAACCGGATTTACGGCATTCTCAAGATTTGTCACAAAGTGTTATATTATAAAATAATAAACAGATAATGTGAAACAACTTTTTATAAAACGTGACCTTGAAATTACGAACAAAAATACGATGATATTTCACCAGTGGATTCACCAAGTCAAGTTGAATGAAACATACAATATGATGAAAAATTTTTAAATGAGTTAATAAATTCTTTAAATCAAATAGAAAGTGAAAGTGTAAACCAAGTGCAACCGGATTTACAACACTGTCAAGATTTGGATATGTTAGAAATGCATACGGAAAGTGCTGAGCAAGAAATTCAACCGGATTTACGGCATTCTCAAGATTTGTCGCAAAGTGTTATATTATAAAATAATAAACACATAATGTGAAACAACTTTTTATAAAACGTGACCTTGAAATTACGAACAAAAATACGATGATATTTCACCAGTGGATTCACCAAGTCAAGTTGAATCAAACATACAACATGATGAAAAATTTTTAAATGAGTTAATAAATTCTTTAAATCAAATAGAAAGTGAAAGTGTAAACCAAGTGCAACCGGATTTACAACAATGTCAAGATTTGGATATGTTAGAAATGCATACGGAAAGTGCTGAGCAAGAAATTCAACCGGATTTACGGCATTCTCAAGATTTGTCACAAAGTGTTATATTATAAAATAATAAACACATAATGTGAAACAACTTTTTATAAAACGTGACCTTGAAATTGCTGAAATAAAACAAAAAACGAAATTAATAACTAAAAAACTTAATACATATTTGGAATTAATTACTAAATGCAAGCTATTTTAAAACGACGTGAAACTATTACACTTAATAATTATAATCTATTATCCCAACAAGAGAAATTATTCGAAATATTAGAAATCTAAAAAAATTATGTATTAGAATGTGGAGTGTATCTGTATCTTTTGGTCTAGAATCAGCCTATTCCTTCTACTAACGATAATTTATTTATTTTAATGCATCCTATATGTTGCTATATTTGCAATGGGAAAAATATTTTAACGGAACTATAGTTACATAAAGGATGCATTATTTTATATATTTTAGTTTGACGATCATCGAGCGATGGCAACGGACGATTTTGACCTCAACAAAAAAAACTACCTACAACAAATACATATATTACATAGATACATGTATATATATTATAAAAGGCAACTTAACTTATCCTACATTTTTTTAACATTCACGTACTCTCAACAGTGCTACCTTTTATTGTTATCCAGAAATAATTGGCGGGAAAGGATCCACTATTTTATTTTTGAATCTCCACTATTTTATTTTTGTTCAACTAAGTAGTAACGTTAGACATTTGCGCATCTTCTGTGACTCATGTGGGACAATCAACGTGCCAAGACATCGATAACACGAAACCAGCATTAGGCGAGGCCAGATCAACAACGTTCTAATCAAACGTTCAGCCTAGGTAATCAAATAGCGGAGTAATTTGGGACCAACTCTGTACAAGAAGCCTGCAGAAGAGCGTTTAGGCTTTTCTGGATATACCGATGGTAATATAGAAGGTATGGACAATTCAGGTGGTGAAGGATAACGTAGGTGAATGTATTTCTATGAGGGTGAAGGATCTGAATGTGTCAGAATATAGATCTGTGGAGTTTGGGACAATGTGTGTCCACAAACTCCAACAAAGATTGTGTGCCGAATGTTGTTTCATCCACCAATCCAACGGCATTGTCAAGCTGGACTAACGAGAATGACTACACAACTTTGGTTCAAGCATCTATGGTTCTTGACATTTCCAAAATTGTTCCATTTGTTTATATTGTATATGTTTTTATTAAATAAATGTATTTCTTGTAATGGTTGTTTTGATGGAAAGAGAGATCCTGGTCTAAGCGATCCTAGCAAAAAAAACAAGCTAGGTCACAACATGGGTCACAACAGTATTAACCTTATTATAGTAAACAACATAAATGGTGTATTATTACATAATATGGAACTCTATTTTAAATATTTTTAGATTATATTTTTATTAACATTATTTTTAAGACATTCATTATGATATTTTAATAATAATCAAATTTAGAAGATTCGGCAATTGAAGAAGATGGCCAAGAAGATCGCCTACTCAACGTACGAACGCGTTATCTAAAAATTAGAGAGTATAGTCTATCTATTGAATCCGGAGTATTCTGCATCTACAAACATTTTATCACAGTGCTTCGGATTACAGACAATGATGAAAGACCTTTTTTACAAAACAATGTATGTAATGAATGTTTCGATTCTTTCGAACAACGTACAGGCAATGAGAGTGCTAGTACATCGCCTTTTATTTCAAGAATTAATAGTGAGCCTATGCGCACTATACTAGAGAATTTTGTGTGATGTTTATGGCCTAAAGCTATACAGGGTCCGGCAATAGTGCGTCGGGCATCTGTAGCTCCTAGAAAAACTTGAGAATTTTGTTTTAGCGCAAACCTAAAGTATGTACCAGGATGTATTTCAGGAAAATATTTTAACTCTATAGGGTGGCTCGTGTGTGAGCGGACCTGGATGATTTTTTAAATGGAACACCCTGTATATTATTGCATTTTTGGCTTCCTTTCAGATCACTTTACATAACCCTAAGATATGAATAAATATATTTCCATAGTTTCAGAGATATTAAAAAATAAATTAAAAATATATATTTTTCAGCCCTTCTTAAAAAGATTATTAAAAATACCAAGAACTGTTCTGAAATCAAAACGATATTAGGTATTTACTTTAGATGGTCTGTTCTTACTTTGATATAAATATGGTAATCCTAATTCATACAGGATGTTCAATATTCTACGCCAAACTTTCTAAAATATAAAATATTTTCTTTGTTTTTTTAAATGGAACACCCTGTATATTATTTTTTTATTAGATGGAGAGTTTAAAAATGAAGATTTATTGTATTTAGAGTATTTCAAAATTTTTAACGGTTTCGCAGATACACGCAGTATTATTTCATATGGCGCTTTCAATGGTAAAATACGAGAGAAAAATTACTGGGTGGCTTTGATAAAAATTTACTGTGGAAAATGCCATAAATATCTGCGAAACCGTTAAAAATTTTGAAAAACTCTAAATATAAAAAATGTTCATTTTTCCGTCTATTGAAAAAATAATATACATGGTGTTCCATTTAAAAAAACAAAGAAAAATTATTTTATATTTTAGAAAGTTTGGCTTAGAATTTTGAACATCCTGTATAATTTACGATTTTCATATTTATAGCAAAGTAAATACAGACCATCTAAAGTAAATACCTAATATAATTTTGTTTTCAGAACAGTTTTTGTATTTTTAATAATTTTTTTAAGAAGGGCTGAAAAAATATATATTTTTGATTTATTTTTTAATATCTCTGAAACTATCAAAATGTATTTATTCATATCTTAGGGTTATGTAAAGTGATCGGAAAGGAAGCCAAAAATGTAATAATATACAGGGTGTTCCATTTAAAAAAAATCATCCAGGTCCACTCACACTTTTTTGAGCCACTCTATAGAAGTTAAAATATTTTCCTGAAATACATCCTGGTACATACTTCAGGTATGCACTTAAACAAAATTCTCAAGTGGTTTATTCTAGGAGCTACAGATGCCCGACGCACTATTGCCGGACCTTGTATATGATAACACATCCTACGTGTTGTTTTGTGTGTAATGGTAGCAATGATCTATGGTAAGTATTTTATAAGGAATAATAAAGCATTGATAAAATTTTCAAATCTAGAATTTGCTGTTATATAACAGAATGTATCGATACAATAACAGTTAGTTTGTGTATCTGTGCAATCATTAAAATCAATTGAGTAGTTGCGAAAATATGAAATGTTGGATTTAAAGTCACTTAAGAAATTCCGCCAAGTTGTAAAAAAAGAAAGCTCTGTTGCACCGAACACTTATCTGAAAATTTATCTTTTAGGTAACGGCTTTTTGTTACAACAAAAAAAAAATATCAACCTGCATTATAAGTTCATTTAAAAAACACAAAGAAGTATTTTTTGTCGGTGCAACTGGAAATTTTTTGAAGACTTTTACCGATCAGCTTTTGATGCTCTTCTTGCAACTGACCAAATTTACTTTTCAGTTTAACAAGCTCAAACATTGACTGGTTAGTGTCTTCTTCAGCGACCTTTGAAATATTTCGCGGACCATGTTGGCATACGGTCTGCGCCTTTTGTTCTTTCTTCTGACTAACGGAACAACATAAAATATTAATTATAAATGTCAATTAACATATAACATCCATTCGAAAAAAGAAATACAAAATGGTATTGCATATTTGATTACTTTCCTCCAACTAAATAGCTTATACTTGCCCGGTTGAAATGTCGTCGATTTGAAAAAAGTGATCGCACACGTAAAAAATGACAGTTTCGTCGTTTTTGTATTGAAGCGGACCACCCTCCACCGTCCCTTCCAACGTTTCCATTTTACAAGCGGACTGGTGGTGCTTGTTTTGCGTTTGATTCGCTTGATTTTTGGCACATTTACATTTCTTAATCAGCAGCGACTTGCAACATATCGTTTCGGGCATTTCTCGGCACAGGTTCGATTCGTTCTTGAATATGTCGGCGGACTTTGGCAAATTGTTCATTAACAAAAACTACAACAACGTCAACATATTGTCAAGACTTGAACAACTGTGGTGCACAAAAGAGACTCACAAACCAAGACCCACAGAAATTGGAAGAACAAAATATAGCCAAGCTAAGGTTTGAATAAAATGAAAAAAAAAATGGCCTACATACAGTATAACTTACCAAATAAATAGTTTTAAAAACTCCTAAGGTATATCTAAAACAAAGATAAAACATGAATAAAAAATGTCTTATGGAAAATGAAGAACTTGATATAATTTCTCAATGCACTGGCAATAGGTATAGTTTTGAAATAGGTAAAATTGGAAAAATGTTAGTAAATAATTAGGCCTTTATTTCACTCAAATCTCTCACTAGTCTAGACCTCATTAACTTCCATTTCAAAATTATATTCAATCTGAACAAGATAGATGGGACAAGTGTTTATTTTAAAATTTTACAAGGTTTTAACTTATTTTTATATAATCATCAAACAAAAATGTTTAGTCGCCAAATTCAGTCACCAGTAAATAGTAAAAGTAGTGCCCTAAAAGTGAAAAGTCCAGTACAGTAGTAAATGTTTAAATATTTGTTTATTTTGACTTTTTAAGGCATCCAATTTCCTTCCAACATTAAAGTAATTTTCATCGTAACTAGTTCAAAACATTTATGTGCCAATATGTATTAATACGAATATTCGTTGAGAAAATGATGTTTCAAACAGGTAAGTTTCAAGAAAAGGATTCGGGTATCATAGGATATTAATATCATTTACCAAATAATAAATTTTCGTATTTTATTTCTTAGTCAAAGGTTTGTGGTGGTTCTGAGTTCCATTGCTGTGCCGAGCAAAAAAAACAATGTTTTGCAACCGACTCACTGGGTTTTAATAGTAATAAGTTTAAGGAACAACAAAATACATATTTCGAATCCTGCTAATGTCATGCCATCTGAAGAGGAAACACTTAAAAAACTAAAGCAGTTTTTTTTTACTCGGGATCAACAAACCAGCTGGTACCAGCCTGTTCGGTTAACCAGCCCGATCTGGCTGAGCAGCCCATGTTCAACTTTACAAGCTGCCAGCGCATCACGTGACCCTCCTCGGTTCGCTATTAGCAGCGCTTCAATAGCCTTGTGTGACCCGAATTCATGGCAAGTAGCTGCTGGTAAAAAATAAAATTACGTGATTATATTTTATTATCTAGAATTTCGAAGATGTCCGAGGTCAAATGGGCTGCAAATCAAGTTATATTTGACATTTGCTTCGCAAAAAAAATGTTGTTTGGGTGAGGGATGAAGGAGGGTGAGGCGACATAGTAGGATCGATGACCTATGATGAGAAAGAACTGGTTGAATAGGAATGCAACCAGTAGAAGGTTAAAGTAGGGAGCAAGTATAAAACCGTCTGCAGTTACCACAGACTGTGTACTTTCAAGAAGTTCTTGAAATAAGTTTTATGGTTTCGGTTTTTCGTTACTCGTTTTTATTTTGTGTTGTGTCTTGTGCATAGGTAAATATTTAATTAAAATTAATTCTGAAAAAATTAATATTTTACAAGTAATTTCAATGAACAATTTTTCTAACCCTCAGTTTATTTTTAACTCAACAACAACAGATCAAACCAGACCTAACTCACCAGTTATCAACTTCAGTGAGGAATTAGAGAATTTCTTAACTGAAGTTGATAATTGTAACATTGTAAATACAGACAACGTTTTTACGCCTTTTGAAATAGAAAACTTTAATAATTTAAACACGTTTTTAACCGACCTTGAAAATAGCGACGTTGATTTAGACAATATATTTTTGGAAGAACTGACTAATGACGATATTTCTATTTCAAAATTTGAGGAGTCATTAACACAGAATACTAAATCTAATAATAGTGATGAACATAAGGAAATTAATAATTTTGATGATGAACTAGATTTAGTAATTGAATGCATTAACGACTCCAAAAATGAGGGTCAGACTAGTTCTTCTCAAAACATTTCTCCTTTTTCACCGGCACACTCTCAAAAAATAGAAGAGTTTAGTTCCGGTGAAAAAGGAAAAACGTTTAAGAATAAAATTGAATATAGTAAACCGTCCTTTATAATCAACAAAAAGAAGAAAACTTTGAAAAAGTATTTAAAACCCTTTTCAAAATTAAAAACTCTCGGCTTCGCTCTGGGACAATTTCTTAAAACAAACAAAAGTAACAAATGAAAATATGGCAGAAATGGCAATTGTATGCATTGGGAAAAATATTCAGTAGACATAGTCAGTCTCTAGTTGAATAGTAAAAGTAGTGCACAAAAAGTGAAAATTCCATTAGAATAAGTATTTTAAAAAATTTGATTTTGACTTTTTGGAACTGTGTTTAGTCGCCAAATTCAGTCACCAGTAAATAGTGAAAGTATAGTGCGCTAAAAGTGAAATTTCCATTACAGTAGTAAATGTTTAAATATTTGTATATTTTGACTTTTTAAGGCATCCAATTTCCTTTCAACTTTAAATTAATTTTCATCATCACTAATGTTCACTGTGTTCAAATGTGCTTATATGTTTTAATGCATGCAATACGCATTTACTTTGAATGTGGTATGGAGTAATTATTGATTTAGCAGCTGATTTGGAAGAAATTTACCGAATGTTCATTGAGAAAATGATGTTTCAAACAGATAAGTTTCAAGAAAAGGATTCAAGTATCATAGGATATTAATATCATTTACCAAATAATAAATTTCCGTATTTTATTTCTTAGTCAAAGGTTTGTGGTGGTTCTGAGTTCCATTGCTGTGCCGAGTAAAAAAACAATGTTTTGCAACCGACTCACTGGGTTTTAATAGTAATAAGTTTAAGGAACAACAAAATACATATTTCGAATCCTGCTAATGTCATGCCATCTGAAGAGGAATCAGTTTTTTTTAACTCGGGATCAACAGACCACATATTTCAATTAAAAAAATATGTGGCAATTGGCAAGACAGTGGTAATTATTTTGTACAGATAATGATTTGTGTTCCACCATAACATGTTCATTCTGTTTACAAAAATGGCAATTTATTCACTGTTTTGGTTTTATTGAATGGATAATCTACATAATAGTCACATTCATCTTGTTATAATGATAATTAATGCTAACTTTACTATAAATTAAGTATACTTTTCAGACCAATTAAAGTAGACTGCTCTTATTTTTGTTGTAAAGCACACCGGATATTCCCAGATATTCCACTAGAAGTGCGAACAAGTGTGAACACTTTTAAGAATTTATTTAAAATGTTTTAACTCTCGAGAGTTTACAACTATTTCAAAACTATCTCCAAAGCTACTACATATTATTTATTCTACATTAGAACTGAACAAAGTGCGAAAAACTCACCCATTTATATCATTAGAATCCATAGGAACCTGGAATTTCGTACAATTTAACTCATGAACGTGCTAAACACTACTATGAATGTACTGCGGGAAGCATTTGATGCTTTAAGTGAGAGCCGAATTTGAACTGATGCGAAAACCAGAATTTGACAATGCGAATGAATCGATCGGAACCGTCAGAATCGCATGTCAAACGTGGCTAATGTCATAGGAAGCTGTTAACCTACTATAGTTACATCTATTCGGTTGTATGAATGTCTCATAAATTAAAACACCTCGCAAAGCTACGCCGACGAAACGATATACGATGTAACACAAAAAGTTCGTTTTATATGGGATATTTTTTTATTTATTTTTTATTTATTGGTTTTTATCAAACACAAGGCCAGGAGGGAAAAAACAAAGATGTGCTCCTATAAGATAGATAGTAAAGGTGAACATTCAATTTTAATGAATTTAAAAAATAGAGAATCATTACTTACTCCTTCAAAGGAATAGAGGAAAGGATTTTTCGACAAAACCTACATAGGATATTCGTAAATAATCAAATTAAGCAATATGTTGTGAACCAATCATTGGGATTAGAAAAAAACAAAGATCTGGTCCTATAAGACAGATAGTAAAGATGATCATTCAATTTTAATGAATTTAAAAAATAGAGAATCGTTACTTACTCCTTCAAAGGAATAGAGGAAAGGATTTTTCGACAAAACCTACATAGGATATTCGTAAATAATCAAATTAAGCAATATTTGGTCAACCAATCATTGGGATTAGAAAAAATCAAAGATGTTTTTATAAGACAGATAGTAAAGATGAACATTCAATTTTAATGAATTTAAAAAATAGAGAATCGTTACTTACTCCTTCAAAGGAATAGAGGAAAGAATTTTTCGACAAAACCTACATAGGATATTCGTAAATATTACGCAATATTGGGTTAACACTATCTGTATTTAATGAGGTACAAATTCCTTTTAATAATTATGAAATAGATGGAGTATTGTCACAGAATATTGTTGATAACCACATTGTGCAATAATTAGTGGGTAAAAACCCGATAAAATTAATATTTTACAAATAATTTCAATGAATAATTTTTCCAACCCTCATTTAATTTTTAACGAGGATAATACAAATTTCAATACGAACATGCAACCTGAACTTAACACATCAGATATCAATTTCAGCGAGGAGTTAGACACTTTTTTAAACAAATAACTTAATAAGGGAAGATATTGATGACTCCAAAAATGAGGTTTGGACTAGTTCGTATCAAAAGGTTTCTCCTTTTTCACCGACACACTCTCTACTGAACCTTCATTCATTGTAAAACAAAATCGTATTTTTTAAAAAAAAACATCAAAATTTATTAAAAAAATAAGCATAACTGTGCATTTCTTTTCAGGTTTTTCCTATCGTTTTTCGTGTGTAGATTTCCATATTTCATTTTGTCTTCAGTGTATATACATTTTTGCAAGTCACCAAGGTAATCAGCAGCAGCTGGTACCAGCCTGTTCGGTTAACCAGCCCGAGCTGGCTGAGCAGCCCATGTTCAACTTTACCAGCCGACAGCGCATCACGTCACCCTCCTCGGTTCGCTATTAGCAGCGCTTCAATAGCCTTGTGTGACCCGAATTCATGACAAGTAGCTGCCGGTAAAAAATAAAATTGTGTGATTATATTTTATTATCTAGAATTTCGAAGATCAGATGGAGGTCGAAGATCAGAAGATCAGTCGGAGGTCAAATGGGCTGCAAATCAAGTTATATTTTTTAAACCTCTACGAAAAATACGTGTACTTATGGGATGTGTCCTCTCCTGAATACGTAAAAAGGGATTTACGAGGTGTAGCATTTAAAAACGTAATAAAAGATTTAAATCACGCCGAAATAAAAATAAATTTGGAACTTTAATCTCTTATATATAATTCTTTGAATAATATTTGAAAAAACGACGTAATTTCATTTTAAGCATGTTTTAGATTAGTTTCGAACAATTTTAACCAAAATTTTGCATTGTAAAGAAAATTTTTGGTTACATTGTATAGAAATTTCGAAGATTACCGTGTTTCTCTGGTTCGTGTTAGAATATAGTAGGCTCATTTAATATTTCGCGTGTATACGCGGTATGGCCTACTTTTTAAATCTGCGACATCGGCAACAGAAGGATACAATTTATTTTTGTTTGTTTAAAGGTCGAAACTTTTTAGGAAAACGCAAGACAGAATTTCAGCCGTTATATCTTCATTTTATTGATCGAGAAAATCTTAGCTTTAACTATGGCGTTCTATTGTTACAGACAGAGCAACAAGATTCTGGTAGTCATCAAACTTTTCAGGACTTCATTTCGATAAGGAAGTCCTCAATATCGTCCTAAAGAAATGGAACATGCATCAATGTCACGTAGCTCACGTAGGGTTTCAAAATAATTGTCTTCAACAACAAGAACCCATTTTTCAAAGGCTTCTTAAAAAAGAACAACTTAGTACAGGTTAGGGTTGATTGAATTTTGCTATAGGATGGTAATAAATATCTTAAATCAAAAACTAATACCTAAAAGGCACAATCCCCCCAGGAGATCTTGCTGTTTACAATCCCAATTCAACAGATTAATATAACTATTTAAGTTTATTAACTCGTAGTCATCAAACTTTTCAGGATTTCATTTCAATCAAGAATCAGAAGTCCCCTATATAAACCTGAAAAAGTGGAACATGCATCAACGTCGCGTAGCTCACTATCTTCACTTCATTGATAGACAAAATCTTAGCTTTAACTATGGCGTTCTATTGTTACAGAAAGAGCAACAAGATTTTTGTAGTCATCAAACTTTTTAGGACTTCATTTCCATAAAGAAGTCCACAATATCGACCTAAAGAAATGGAACATGCACCAAAGTCACGTAGCTCACGTAAGGCTTGAAAAAAGAAACCAATCCATCCAAAGAATAAATGGAATAAGTCGATGGCAATGCAGAAAATCAGTCACACATGGCCAGATTAAGCGAACTTCCTTATCGAGTAAACTCTGTTGAAAAAACTGCACGAATATTGACAGTGTAGTGTATTAATACACAGAGTTGGTTTTTTAGAAGTCCTAGAGTTGTCCTCCAGAGCATTTAAAGAAACCCCCTAACCTAACCAAATAAGAACATTATATGGCGACGATTGAGGATTTATTTTAGGTAAGATTATGGTATAATAAAATGCATAATCAATCAAAAGAAGTTTTCATTAATCAAGCTGGACACAGTGGTGGTGTCAGCAATAGTCTGCCCAGTACTAAGTTTTCACTAAGTTGGAATGAAATTTTGGGAATTATTTCCTTCTGTCTGGTTTTGGCAGTAGTTTGGGTATATGGATACCAAAAGTTCAAGAAGGCGCTGGAGAGGAAAGTCAGGAGCTAGTTTAGAAATAACATACTGGATCAGTGTTCTAGGTACAGTTACGTTTATTCTGAGTTGATTTTAAGATTTTTTTATGAGTAGTTTAGATTTAGAGAATAGTTAAGGAATTGTACGTGAGCGTTAAAAAGTTTCTTGAAAAAGTTACTAGACCTGAAAAAAAAAGGAACGGAAAGATAGACGGACAAATTTAGAAAGAAATAATAAGATATTAGCTGAATTGGAATTATTAGAAAAGCAATTTGGTAAATTACTCGTAAAAAAAGCTGCAGTCAGAACGCAGAAATCTAACAAAGGTTGTCTATCGTTCTTTGGAACTATTATGATTACCCCAAACGAAGCGAGAACGGGATATATTTTTGAGACAGGGGACAGTGGAGAATAAAGTATTAAACAAGCAATACCTGTATTAATAATTTTATTGTTTTAGAAGTCTAGAGTTTTTCTATTTTCTAACATGAAGATTAAGATTTTATGGTGTACTTTTAGTAGATACATACGGATAAAAAATTAAAAATTTTGTCAATTAGGAAATCTATAGAAAATACAAGAACGATGAGATGGAAATGGCTTTATCGCTTTTTAAGCAAAGCACATAAAAGGTCCTTATTATCTAACGTGTAAACAATTATAATATAAAGAGAAGACGAGTTGTTACTGTCCTCTAGCCCTTACTGTCGTGAGCTCAACTCCCTGCCATGGCGAAAGATTGATAACCGTTCCTTCCAACCATACGGCGCTGAACTCGTCAGGGCAAGTCACGAGCATCCATCCATGCCGGTTTGAAAATCTCTCGATGCAAACCTGTGCTCCGCTCTGTACAACTTTACCGACGGCTTCCATGATGGTGCGCTTCAGCAACGAAAGTTGTTCGAAGCTTAGACTGCTATCCGGGTAGTCAGGTGGTACTAGTCCAATCCTAATTTCCCCCGCGGCGTCTACGCTGCTACTTTGAAATCCGCTTTCCCCAAGATTGCTCAAGTCGCTTCCGTAGTCGATAGAATTATTTCCCCAATCCGGATTGGTTCTATTATCTCCGACGGATGGTTCCAGCCTCACCTCGCGTTCATTTCTTCGTCTTAAAACTTCCTCTACGGCTTCTTTATAGGGGAGTCCTCTTCTCCTGGAGAGTTTGGCAGCGGCCTTCCTTAATGCGCTCGAATGTCTCTTCCAAACTGATCCGTCTTCATTGACAGCCTGTCGTTTCTGAAGTTCTTCTAAAGCTTCTTTATACGGAACTCCTTTCTTGAGCAGTCTGGCGAGACGCTGCTTTGATATGCATCCAAATAATTTCCACCTACTGCCGCCGCTTGGAGCAGGGGTATTCCCAGTCACCATCTTGTCCTCGTTATAATTTGTTGTAGTTTGATGCTGATCCATTAATCGGTCCCACGAGTAGCTAGGGAATAAAGAGACCGTCACGGCAGAGCCCCGCAGTACCGTGACTAGGCGTTGGTACGCTGGGAGGTCGCCCGGTATCCCAGGTTAGCCGCTAGCGACAAGATTTCCCCCCGGCCATTCATCCCTTTGGCGCGCGCAATTCCGTGGGATTGGGGAGGTTTTTATAGTGGTGCCTCGTCCACGCAGCTCGGGCGGTCAAGCCAAAGCCCCCGTGTCCCTCCACAGGTCGAGAATAGGAGGGCGTTACGGTGTGATCTTGGGCAAGCTGTTAGCCGTGTAGTCGTTTCCAGTGTGCACCACGAGGAGGTCGCTGCCCATCGTACACCATTTTCAGGACTGTTATTGTAAATTGTTGTATTGTCTTGTATTGCAAATCAGGACAATTATTGTTTTGCATGGGCTATAATTTCAGCACTACATCCCACTCGACTCATGACTAACCAAATTACCTCCTACCCTCATTTCTCAGTAGTGCTCCATGTAACAGGTATGGATTTTCCAGTTAAACTTAAAGATATTAAAGGATAGAAGTTTTGAGGAAGTTTGAGGTTATGAATAATATATCGGTAAATGTTGACGGTTTAGAAAGTAAATTTGAGAATAATCAAATATCATATGAAACTGTTGGTTCATTAAGATATGTCCCCAAGAAATTAAGTAAACATATTGATTTATTATTAATAATAAAAGATTGTGACATTGTTGATAAAAATCACAGTTGTCAATCAGATTGTGGAAAGCCTTAGAGATTGTGGATTCTGGAAAAGAATTTTCTTCTTAGTTTTGGTTATATATATATATATATATATATATATATATATATATATATATATATATATATATATATATATATATAAATAAAAATGTCGCAGTCACCATCATCATGTAAGTTTTTAATATTTTTTCATATTTTTTTCTTTATTTAGTTTTTATTATTATATATATTTTTAAAATGGTATAACATATAAAACTTTTTCAGTTTTTAATTTATTACATATATTTTAAAAGAACCTAACATATAAAATTTTAATGATTAGTCGTCCATGCAGGATTTTTCCATCTCCACGCAAATAAAGAAAAAAAATAAAATAAAAATTCGAGAAAATTTTTGGACCTGCGAACATCCGAGTTCTTGCCAGGAGGTTTCTGGAGAGCTCGCTAAATCTTATAGTAATTCACCGAGAAGCTGGAGTCTAAGTTGATTGCTGTTGGAGCCCTTATACAACTGTCATTTGTCTGTTCTGAAAAATCTTTGTCGCAAGTGATCAAATTAATCCAAGATCCTTTCGTGGCCGAAAAGGTGAACGCCGGCGACATTCGCGGCTTAAGCTCCCTATTATTTTATAGGACCAGATGTTGATTGCAAATTCAATTCTAATGATAGTGCTAGAGGAGATACAGCTTTCTTTACATATATGTTATCAAAATACTATAAGGAACAGAAAGTAAAAAAGATAGCAGGACATGTTGATATAACTGTGGATTTAGGAGGCGGTATGAAATTCAATAATCAATTTTATAATCTGTCAAGTTTCAAAGCAACATTAGATGCAAAGAGAACAATAGTTACAGATAATGATATTATACATGCTGGTGTATTGTGGCAAAATTCTTTAGTAGTTGGGATGAGAAATTCAGGGCTCGCTGGCATGCATCCGTTATCTAGAGTTGCAGCATCTGAACAAAATTTAGATAAAATGGCAGACTATCTAGCTACCTCATCTAAAATGAAATCTTTTCCATTTGCTAAAGATAAAAATACTGCAGTAAAATTATTTAATACTGCTTGTACAAGGAAACCGCACCAGTTTCAAGGTGAAACTATGTATTATGTTCCTGAATTAGCTGCTGCATGTCTAATAGTCAATGTTATGACCAGTCCAAAAGTGTCACCTGGGCTATTAATCATAGCTAATAGTGCATTAAAGAAAATTGCTAAAACAGCAGGTGCAATAGATCCAGAACTTGTAATGGACATGATGGATTTTACTCTCGCTACTGTACGCTGAAAACAACTATTCTTATTGTATTCATTTTATTATCCTGTGGCCATAAAGTGTAAAACTGTACTTTTAAAAGTTAGTAGAAAGGCTTGATAGTATTTTAGATACCAAGAATAAAGAATTTTCGGAGTGTTTTTCGAAGAGTTTCCTTTGACTTGAGCGAACGGGTAGTAGTCATGGGGACACTTTGGCCAGACAGACGACGTCATCATCCGTGACCTATAATAATATCGTCATCATCCGTGACCTATAATAATATCGTCATCACCCGTGACCTATAATAATATCGTCATTACCCGTGACGTATAATAATAATAACGTCAAACGTCTAGCTCTGTTAAATCATCACCCGTGACGCCCGACGTATGATGTCATTCGTGAAATTAAATAAAAAAGTTCTGGATAGTACTGGGGATTGAACCGTGGATAAAGAGCGGTATAATCGGAAAAAGTTTTTCATATAATTATAATGGAAATCGTATATTGTGGTTTTTGTCAAATCCAAAATACACATTCCTACATAAATTGGTTTATTAAAATAGACTTGAGACTTTGTTAATTCGATAATTATAAGGTTTTCATTAATTACGGTACTGCTTTTTTAAAAATTAACGCTTTTGTACCGTATTGACATTCCCACATCATTATAAGCTTAACAGAAGAATGCTTACGGATATTTTCCATGGTTTTACACATTTTTACATTTTAGAAACATGTGATAGTGTGTTTTGTTTGTTTAAAATTATTATTAGAAATATACCTAGAATCATTAATTTGTTTTTCCAATGTATTACAAGCGTGTTAGAACTTGGTTTTATAATTTGAATAATCTATCGTTACAAAACAATTTTACAGACTGAGCGATATTTTAATAAAATTATCATTAGAGCAAAATAAGCATTATTATTGATTTTAACAAAATTATATTACATATTATTAATTTATTACTTTGTATGCATTTTTAATAATTTATGGATTTGTTTTGATTTAGACTAAATGTTTTATTATTCTAATATATATATATAATAACCAATATGATACTTTGTATATATTTTTTATTACTAATAACCTATCAAAATACGTACATATCACATGTTTCTAAAATTTAAAAATTATTTAATTGGAAAATAGTGTGTTATTGCAATATATATTTCGAAGAAAAGCTTAGACCAGCTTAGTAAAACAAAAACCGAGCGAAGAATTATATATATATAAAAATGTCGCAGTCACCATCATCATGTAAGTTTTTAATATTTTTTTCTTTATTTAGTTTTTATTATTATATATATTTTCAAAATGGTATAACATATAAAACTTTTTCAGTTTTTAATTTATTACATATATTTTAAAAGAACCTAACATATAAAATGTTAATGATTTTCCAAGACCTTACTCATAAATATCTATTTTTAATTTACATATTTTTAAAATGGCCTATATAAAATTTTAATGATTTTCCAAGACCTTACTCATAAATATCTATTTTTAAAAGGGTCTAACATATAAAACTTTAATGATTTTCCCCATATATATATATATTTTTTGGTTTTTCCTTTTCAGACTTTTCATTAGCTGTAGATTTCGCCCGGGATATTATGGGCGATTTTTATCCGGGGGAGGATGTAAGTAATTTTGAGATATTATTATTATAGATTTTATAAAAAATACTTTTACAGTTTGGTTTCATTGTGGTACCACAACCACCACCCGGGCCAATACCCCAACCACCATTAGTGTGTGTATGGAATAACAGAGTAGGGGGAATAAATCTAACCATGTGGGTAGATTATAACGACACTGACAGAAAAAACTGAAGACGTTGAAAATAAAGACGTTGATTTGAACAACATATTTTTGGAAGAATTGACGAATGACTCTATTTCTATTTCAAAATTTGAGGAGTCATTAATACAGAATAGTAAATTTAATAATTCTAATAATAGTGATGAAAATAAAGAAATTGATAATTTTAGTGAACTAAATTTAAATCGGTATTTGAAGATCCATTGCGATTTCAGTCAAGTCTCACAACAAAAGCGAGCCGAAGAATTAAACCAAAATCAATTCAAAACCCCATATATTTTAAATCAGATGGTGGCGCAGTTTTGCTGTACATGCAGCAAAATGCTCTGTTTTTGTCCTGTGTGCACAAAGGCACACAGTGTTAAAATACCCAAACTATACTGCATTGAAACTCAACCAAAGCCTTAAACATACAAATTTTACAGCCAGTTCTCCACAAGTCTTGTCAGATGAGATTCTCAAATGGCGTGAATTTAAAACATGCCCAGCATTCAATTATGAATGTGATAGACTACTATCAGCATTTCTCATAGAGGTTAGGGTGGTGGGGGATTCTTTCCTGATTGGTTATAGAAGATGTAATGAGGGAGGTCCACAGAACCGTCATCTGATATAGCTGGAGAAGTGTCTGTGGAGAAATCGGCATCCACACTACCACCAGGACCTAAAATAATTATTCACCAAGATGTAATTATTTTACAGGCGATCCCGCAAATACCAGCCACCAACATCGAGGACATGCTGCGATATCGAAAATTATTCCGACGTCGCCAATCCAAGTCGAAGCTTTTCAAGTCTACAAACAACACCCTTCCACATCGAAAGCCCGCCAGAACAAACCTGCTAGCCATCAGCAGGTATTGAAGCAGCAACCGCCATCGATCCCGCAAATCGACAAGCAACGCCCTTCAACGTCAAAAGCAGCCCATGTCGAAGCTTCTCAAGTCTACAAACAACGCCCTTCCACATCGAAAGCCCCCCCGAACAAACCTGGTAACCATAAGCAGGTATTGAAGAAGCAAAGTTCGACATCGAAAAGAAAGAGACGACCCCAAAAAATAACGATACCCGGAAGGGAATTTTGGAGTCGGAAAAAATATGCTGAAATATTGAGAAATGACCCGGATATTATCTCAAAATATATAACAACAACAAACAATAAGTGTTACGCGTGGAAACATGGTGCGAACCCCAAAGTGTTATGAAACAATCCCAATTTTATTAATCGACCTTTTATAAAAGAATTTCCCAATGCAGAGTCGCGAAGCGCGTGAGACATCGGAAATCGAGCGGGAAACATAAATAAACAAATTCGAACAGTGCGGAGTGCGTAAGATTATCGAGATTCGAAAAAGACAAAGAAAATACCTAATCAGCAGAATTGAATGGGGACAAGGGGAAAGGGATAGGTTTGGGTTCGGCATCGGTTCGGGCGTGATTCGGGAGGAACCCGACAAATTCGCTGACCAAGCACGGACGTTCATTAAAAGTAAAGTGCGGCGAGAAAAATCTTCAGTTCTGCCTTATCCGAGTTAAAAAATAATAAAAAAAAAAGAAATCCAAAAATGGAGTGGATCGTAATAATACTTACATTTATCCGCCGCGTACCCGACTGGGGTATTAGAGACGTAGTGTATCGGGCGGCCCTCTACCATTTGGTATGGCTCCACAATATATTGGACCAAGAATATAATAATTGGGTGTTCCGGGCGTACGTGGCCCTTTTCCTGGACCTAGTACATGTAGAATACCGAGCTTTTACAGTGTCGTTGGCCCAGCGGGAGGGACGCCGCCCTCAAATTACTTGCGCGTGTGCCAGATGCCAACAGGCACCAGCTTCTATGTACCAACCCTATTTCTATTGGAACTTACTCAAATCACTGGGTGTGCCTAGTTGTAACTGCGCTGTGTGCAAGATAAGACACCAGTTCTGCCCTCTCAGCATGCCCCCGACGCCGACCTCCCAACCTCAGCCGTCTCAAAATCCTACTCCATCGCCAGCCTCAATTGAAGTATTGTTCCAACCAACGACAACTGAGGTCGCACGTGAGTCCATACCTATCGGACATGGGCGTCCCGCACCAGAAATACATTCCCCACCGCCTGGACCTTCCAGCGTCAGGAGGCGAAGGGCTCTCCCAGCCCTTAATTCCAGCGGCCATGAACCTTCCCGTGAACCAGCATCCCCCGGCGACAGCAACAACTACGGCCAATGGCGAATAACCACCGATGGCCCTCGCTTGATTTTCAGGCGCCAAAACCCGGAAGAGTTGCCGCAGGACGAGGAGCAGCCAAAGTGCGAAAAACCGGAGTGAATTAGGTGATCTGAGTGAGTGCCGGGTACCATGTTAATTATTAGTATTAGAAAAAGTATTAAAAATCATAATTTTAAATATAGCAGAACTTAATAATCTAAAATTAAATGAAAAAAAAAATTTATATATATATATATATATATAATAATCAAATTTTGATAATGTAAGGCATTAAAAAAAAATTGTTTTTGTAATTTTAATTTTTTTTTGTACTTTTATTACATACTCATATTATATTGTTTTAATTAATAATAATAATAATAATAATAATATTAACTATAAAAATAGCCAATAATAGAATGAAGTCAATAATAGTCCTTCCTCATCCAGTACTTCAGTGCCGCGACCAATTATATTTGGGGAATATGCACTTTGTCCATACAACCAAAGCCACCAGGTGTTGAAGTCGCGCATTTTAAATCATATGTTGAAGTGCAAAAAGAGAGAAGAAAATTATAATAGCGCCTTCAACGAGGCACTAAGGACCAATCAATTAGAGCCAGCATTTGAATACGATCCACCGCTTTGCGGTTTCCGATCTAGCATTGTTCCCAGCAAACAACTCGCAATTCACGTCAGTCTCCTAGTCACCTCTCATCGAAAATAGTCGATTCGCTCTGTAAAAGTAAAAATGTTTCCGTGTAGCGTTTGTGGCAAATTGTTTTTCTATAAGAGTAATTTAACGAGACATACGAAAATTTGTAATGGTGAGTTTTTTATTTATTACTAATTTTTCAAAAAATTTAAAATGTGTGATTTTTTAGTTGATAAAATCCTAACTATGAGGAGTACCACACCTCAAACCATCGCGGACATCGGTGCTGGTCCCAGTAAACGTAAGTAAATATTTTAATTTTATGTTCTGCTTTAAAAAATGCTTTTTTATTTTTAGATGTATGCAATCGATGTGAACAGGCATTCATTAGAAGTGACAATTTAGCTAGACATACGAAGATTTGTAATGGTGAGTTTTTATTTATTATTTATTTTTCAAAATTTTTCTAAATATAATTGTTTTTAGTTAAACAATCTACAGGAAGTGTTACATCGCAAACTAGTATGAGCTCTATCAATCGTAAGTAAATAAAATATGTCGACATGGAAGCGCTAGACATAACCTCAAATTCATCATGTTCCTCACCAGATTATTTCGAGTATCTAAACAGTATGGTTTTATGAAGTAATATGGAAATCAAGAAAGAACGCAGATTGTTGGCTGAAACGTGTTATTCCACCAAGAACTTTGATATTGTTGCTGGTGTTAGTATCGCAAGAGGATTGGTACCATCAGTAGTAATACAATGGTGCTGCTATGACACTTTGACAGCGGTGCTGCTATGACACCTTATGGATTCAAAAAGATGTTAAAGATGGCGGCTATTTCCAAGATGTTAAAGATGGTGGCCATTTCCTGACCTATCCAGATTCGGATTGGTTTGGTTTGGTTTGGTTTGGCCAGTGTTGCCAAATTTATATTTTTTCTATTTTTTAATATTTTTGTTTTGCCCCAGGGTTTTTTTTTGAGGGGAGGCCTGTGCCAAAAAAAGTGTAAACAATGGGCCTGCGCCCAATTCCACCAAAAAATATACATAAATAATAATAAAAAAGTAAACATATTATTATAACAATATTATTTGTGCACCCCGTATATTGAATATAATCTTATGCAAGGCGCCCCGCCTCGCCCAGCCCAGCCCAGCCATTAAAAGTCACAGTTCATTTAATTTCTGCATCTCGTATGATAATTAAAAAGGGAAAGGCTACCGTTAAGTTTATTTATTTGCATAAGTAATTGGTTTTGTTAGGCTGGATCCACACTGTGTGTTTTTGCCGTTTCAACGTATCCGTTTTTATTGTCGCCCGACAACACATGCATTTAAATGAGAGAGAGACGATACACTATTGCAGAACCGGCTCTCTGTTATTGTATATGGCAGGTGCCCGTTAGCAAAATAAGACCGGATGCGGTCCAACGGCACTGCAAAAACGCACATTGTGTCACCAGCCTTATAGTTAATTCTTTAGATTCCATATTTCAAGTGCGCGAGAAACAAACAAATAAACAAGCTTAAACTTGTCTATGGCCTCTCTCAACGAGTGCACCAAGTGGACCAATCAATCAGAGCCAGCATTTGAATACGATCCACCGCCGCCGTTCCTTTTAAGAAATGGAAGGAAAAATTGGCGTAGGTACAACGCTGGCCAATATAAACCAAGAAATTAAGGTATTACTAGATATAAAAATAATTATTTTAAAAAATAACTAATAATATGTTTTCTTTAAAAAAAAAAAAATCTATAAAATAATAATAATAATAACTATAAAAATAGCCAATAATAGAATGAAGTCAATAATGGTCCTTCCTCATCCAGTACCTCAATGCCGCGACCAATTATATTTGGGGAATATGCACTTTGTCCATACAACCAAAGCCACCAGGTGTTGAAGTCGCGCATTTTAAATCATATGTTGAAGTGCAAAAAGAGAGAAGAAAATTATAATAGCGCCTTCAACGAGGCACTAAGGACCAATCAATTAGAGCCAGCATTTGAATACGATCCACCGCCGCCGTTCCTTTTAAGAAATGGAAGGAAAAATTGGCGTAGGTACAACGCTGGCCAATATAAACCAAGAAATTAAGGTATTACTAGATATAAAAATAATTATTTTAAAAAATAACTAATAATATGTTTTCTTTCAGATCGGTGTTTCCTATAAAATAATAATAATAATAACTATAAAAATAGCCAATAATAGAATGAAGTCAATAATGGTCCTTCCTCCACCAGTACTTCAATGCCGCGACCAATTATATTTGGGGAATATGCACTTTGTCCATACAACCAAAGCCACCAGGTGTTGAAGTCGCGCATTTTAAATCATATGTTGAAGTGCAAAAAGAGAGAAGAAAATTATAATAGCGCCTTCAACGAGGCACTAAGGACCAATCAATTAGAGCCAGCATTTGAATACGATCCACCGCCGCCGTTCCTTTTAAGAAATGGAAGGAAAAATTGGCGTAGGTACAACGCTGGCCAATATAAACCAAGAAATTAAGGTATTACTAGATATAAAAGAACCAATTATTTTGCACCAATAATCCACAATATTTTTTCTTTCAGATCGGTGTTTCCTATAAAATAATAATAATAATAACTATAAAAATAGCCAATAATAGAAGCCAATAATAGTCCTTCCTCATCCAGTACCTCAATGCCGCGACCAATTATATTTGGGGAATATGCACTTTGTCTATACAACCAAAGCCACCAGGTGTTGAAGTCGCGCATTTTAAATCATATGTTGAAGTGCAAAAAGAGAGAAGAAAATTATAATAGCGCCTTCAACGAGGCACTAAGGACCAATCAATTAGAGCCAGCATTTGAATACGATCCACCGCCGCCGTTCCTTTTAAGAAATGGAAGGAAAATTGGTTTAGGTACAACACACAATATAAACCAAGAAATTAAGGTATTACTAGATATAAAAATAATTATTTTAAACAATAACTAATAATATTTTTTCTTTCAGATCGGTGTTTCCTATAAAATAATAATAATAACTATAAAAATAGCCAATAATAGAATGAAGTCAATAATAGTCCTTCCTCATCCAGTACTTCAGTGCCGCGACCAATTATATTTGGGGAATATGCACTTTGTCCATACAACCAAAGCCACCAGGTGTTGAAGTCGCGCATTTTAAATCATATGTTGAAGTGCAAAAAGAGAGAAGAAAATTATAATAGCGCCTTCAACGAGGCACTAAGGACCAATCAATTAGAGCCAGCATTTGAATACGATCCACCGCCGCCGTTCCTTTTAAGAAATGAAAGGAAAAATTGGCGTAGGTACAACGCTGGTCAATATAAACCAAGAAATTAAGGTATTACTATATATTTCTATATAGAATCATCATTCTACTATATATTCTATATAGAATCATCATAGTTTGAAGACACATGCAGGCAGCACCGTATTATTATGTTTATAATTTCTTTTAATAATAATCATTCTGAATATGTAGGTATATCCAGTAAGAATGTTCGTTATTTTGACTACATTCTGGCAAATAAATTTTCTATACAGGATGATCATTGTCTTGATGGCATTCCTGTCATAATTTGATATACTATTATCCTTGTTAAACAGAGAAAAAGCAGAAAAATAAATATGTCAAAACCAATAAAATCAGACCAATAATCCAAGTTTTAAAGACGTTTATAAAATCCTGATCAAAGCTATGGCATTAATTTTACCAAAGACCTGTACAAAAAAAATATAAAATCGACAAAAGAAGCCTTTGAACTGCACTGCTGGAAAAGAAATATAAAATAAATTTTATGTAGGTATTTATAAAATAAAACTCTGGTGATACCTGTATAAATTACATCTTAGCTCAAGACTTACCTTGGAACAGGATGACTGATTTTTTTTTGTAAAAAATTGTCTATATTTCAATACAAGCAATCAAAGTTGATGAATGAATAGAAAATAGGTTACAATACCTTAAAATAAAATACTATCTATACCAAACACTATAAGTTTTTTTATCTTTTTTTTCAGATAAAAAAAAACCGAAATTTGGTTGCCTAGAGTGCAATGACTGTCAGCAAAAAAACCAAAAAGGGTACCATCTAAAAATGAAAAGTTGTAGTTTTTTTAAAAAAATCAAATCCAGTTTTTTTTATCTGAAAAAATAAACATATGGGTTGAGCCACATTTGAAAAACAACCGGTATATTTAAAGATAGTTATTCATATAAGAAAAAAAGTAAATACGCTGATGTCAAACACTAACCATAAAAAATATATATTTCAGATATACAGTACGTCTGCTGGATCTGTGTCTATGAAAGGAATGCGGACAAAAAACATTTAAATAAACAGCAATATATTTTATACGTCGACTTGAGGAGTACGTCACCGCAAATCGCTCCGCCCACTCATTTTATTGGCTACTTGCAAATTTGTCGAATTTTGATTGATGGGCCGCGTCGTCTAATTTTTTACGAAAAACGTCGAGAGAATATCGTTTCCCCTCTCACGGATACCCCGTAGCTACAGAACGGACAGACGTACTGTATACCCCGCGATTTTAAAGTTATAATAGATTGATCAATATCATTTATGTGAGCTTCAGTATAATTAGTCAAAATTGTCTGTACTAAGCTAAATTTAAACAAAAAATAATTTTGTTAAAAAAGTAAAACTACACAAAAGAAACAATAATTTAAAATTTAAATCCTGTTCTTGCAAGGCATAACCAATTATTACTATCATATCCTCATGAAAATTGCTTTCTTTTCAAAGCAAAATTCAGTGTTTTTCGTCCAATATCTGATTATTTAATCAGAATATCTTCTTATTCTTGAAGATTTGAATTAGCTGGTTGCACCATAATTCCAATTTTTTCAAATTTCAACAGATGATCAAAAGAGCCTTTTCCAAAGCATGCATTTACCATCTAGAAAAAATAAAAAAAACTGTATTAATATAAAAAAATAACTGAAATTAAAAATAAGCAAAAATTTTAATGAAGCGTGCATTTTTCTTAAAATGTCAATAATAAAAAAGTGTTCCCTCTTGTAAAATACTGTATAAGAAAAAAGAAGCAGTCAGAAAACACTAAAATAAAGATACAGGGTGTTCCTTAATGACATGCTAATATTCAAGGTGATTCTTGAAACTATTCTAAGGAAAAAACTTCATATGAATATATGACCTAAACATGTACTTAACTTTTCAGATACAGGGCGGTAAAATTTTCTATTTTTTTTTTCAAAATATCTCTGATGGTATATTTGATGCACGTCTCCCGTGCACCAAAATGCTTATTTTGATATACAAAAAAAATTATTCTATTTCTACCAAACCAAACAGTCACGTCATATTTTCAACGATTTTACCCTAAAATAAACTGACTTTTTTAAGCAAAAACTATGCGTGGGACGAAAAAAATCAAGAGATAAAAATGTTTAGAAATGAATGGAAATTTTGAGAATAATTTTTATTTTAAGAGAAGTCAGTGGTGTACCACTTTTTTCTTCAAATATATTCAATGTAAAACCCGTATCGACGGCACTGGTTGAAATAAATAAAAACATTGTACACCAAAAAAGGTATTTTGATGCATAGAAGACGTGTATCAAGTTTTATAAAGATATCTGAAATAAAATCAAAGTTATTATGAAAAAAAGTTTTTTTTAGAAAAATTTACCACCCTGTACCTCAGAAATTAAGATGTTTAGAACATATATTCATATGAATATTAGCATGCCATTAAGGAACACCCTGTACGCACCTCATTCGCCTCGGTTGATTGATTATACGAAAACAGAAAGATCTAGAAACAATTTTTTTTATGGGTAGATGTAGAGAAGCAATGTGCATAATTTAAAATTACTTTGAAATGTACAGGATGTGTCAGAACTAAGATCCATACCAAAGTTATATTTCTTCTTATGGAACAACCGATATTTTATTTCATTTTTGGATTCTTGGGCATAAAATAAGGCATTTATTATAAGGGTTTAACATGTTTATAAGCTTTGGTTTTTGAGATATTTAAAGATATATCTATAACACCTTGTAAATTAGTTTTCAGAATTAATTCTTGTGCTGACTGTCAAGCCAGAGAAATAAACTTTACTAAAAAATTTGATTGCTTCCTTAAATGTGTACAAGGGTATCAAAAATTGCTGGTCTATTGCAAGTATTTATCTTATATAAAAACTTTGTTATTTCAAATACGAGAGGCTGATAGCAAAAGTGGGTTAAAATTTTACTCTCGGCAAAAACGGTTTGCGTTTTTCAGAGGGCAAAAGCGGTTTAAGTAGCAATGAGAGCAAAAATGAGAGAAAGAAACTTTACCGTAAAAATGGGTTATAATTATATGCCACTTTTACTCTAAGATTAAAAATATTCCTTTTTGTCCGAAGAAAAAATCGTTAAATTAATATTAGATAAAAAAATCTGTTTGCGTATTTGCCAGTCAGTTTATTCATGTTCCTCTAGTTTTCTATACAAAAATAACATTTGCACCATATGCAACAAGTAGTGTAAAAATCAACTTTTTATAAGCTTTTATTTAACTTGCTTTGTATGTATGTTTGTTCGGAGCAAATCTTGTAAGCTAAATTAGAACCACTTCCTTTGATTGTAGGAAATTATACATTTTTTACAAGGCATGACCAGAATTTTTGACAGCTGTTAAAATGGCGGCCAAAATGGCGCCATTTTTGAGGTTTTTGATTTTTTAAAATTCTATTATAAAAAAATTTATTATAATATAGGTATATTGTGGGTATATACATATGAAAAAAAATATGTGGGCGGCTATCTTGAAAAAATGACAGTTTAATGACATGTCAAAATTTCGAAGTGAACCGATTTTGATAATATATATATATATATATATATATATATATATATATATATATATATATACGTATATATTTATATAAATATATATATATATATATATATATATATATATATATATATATATATATATATATATATATATATATATATATATATATATATATATATATATATATATATATAGGATGGCCATGGGCTAAAATGAAAGAAGAAAAAAATTTAAAAAGTAAAAAATAAATTTTAAGAAAAAGAACTTTTTTAAAAACAAGCTTTTATTTAAATACACAAAAAAGAAAAAAAAACTTTTTCTTTAAAATTTTTATTATGAACTTTATAACGTCATTACATAATTTTAATATTATATTAAATCTTGTCGCGAGATTTGAGTGTACAGTTGCACTCATAAAAACCTGGTACGACAACTTTACTTTAAGTATATACAATATACATGACAATCTAAAACCTGTGTCTACCCTGTCTCATTTTGAAAGTTTGTCTTATGATACACCACTAGAAAAGGAATTACAAGATAAAGTTGTCGTACAACTGTACACTCAAATCTCGCTACAAGCTTTTATATAATATAAAATTATGTAATGACGTTATAAAAGTTCATAATAAAAATTTTAAATAATTTTTTTTTCTTTTTAGTGTATTTAAATTGCTAAGGGCATAAAATCAGTTCTATGAATTGATTTTTACAACGTTGTAGCTGGGGGGGGGTAAGGGGGGGGGGCGTTGTGACTCCGCCCCATAAAAAGTATAAAAATATTATATTCTTCCGTATTACACGTGCGGACACAATCAATGCAAATACGTATGTGGTCCCAGTCCGCATTTTCTTTTCGAAAAATCGCATAAAAAGAGGGAGTAATTTAATTTTTCTATGAAATATATTTTTCTTCAAATGGCATCGGCGGCGGCGGTCCGTGTGTGATATCAAAGCGCGTGCCGAAGTCAAAAGGTGCCGACCAGATATAAACTAAACAAGTTATATTCGGAAGTGCACATCTAGACAATGGAAATAATTTTTGTATAATTATATTCTTCACTTTTGAAAATTTCCGAGCCCCCCGTTAGGCTTTTATATTTTCCTATAACTAAAATACTGTGTTTTGTAATATCAAACTCATTATCTTATAGGTATAAAAATGTGTGTGAAACACAAAAAAATTATATAAACACCAGTACAGCAGTGTGAAGCAAAACAATATAAATAATTACTATATCAATAGGTATATACCGTATAATAAAAAAAAACGGCATCCAGTTGGCTTGGAAATAAACATCAATGACATTCCCCATATAATTTTACATATAAAATGACAGCGAACTTCATTTCATAGTCATCGCTGACGCCGTTCTTTTTTCGGTCATATTGTATCTTTTAAAAGATTTAAATCTTTTTAAAATAACTTAAGTCGTTAAAAAAGATTTAAGTATTTTAAGTCATCTTTCGAAATAAATGAAATGACTTAAGTCATTTGATTTATCGACTTAAAATCAAATGACTTAAGTCACTAAAATGATTTAAGTCAAAAAAAGACTTAAGTTTTCTGTGAGCTTGCAGCTCTGCTAGAGATGCTTTGCCATACTGAACAACACCATAGACAAGAAAGATAAACAACACACTAAAATAGGTGCAAAAACACGAAATAAAATTTAGTATGAAGTGCAGTTTTACACGGAGCGGAGCATTCGCTCAAACCGTCCGCGCTGATCGTCCCTGTTGTGCCGTTTCACATGGAGCGGGCCGTCCGGCGTCCGCGCGGACCGTCCGTTTATTGAAGAGGTACTATGAGCTTGTATGAGTATTTTGACATGGGCGCGGATGGTCCGCCCGTATGATTTCGTCCAACAGCCATCCGTCGATCCCTTGCTTCGACGGATCATCCGCGCCTATGTGAAAGTATTCATACATTCAATACTCATGGTACTTGTTCAACCAATGGGCGATCTACAGGTGAAAGTACTCCGTCAATTCTTAAAAATACACACAATGGTCCACGATGGTCCGCACGTCCGCTCCATGTGAAACAGCACTCAATACTCAATAGTATTATAAAAACGTCCCTTCGATAGTACATAAATACGGCAGCGCGCAGAGGTAAAAGAACCATTTTCTTATCGTCTATCGAATCTACGTATTATTTTCTTAGCGCAAAAACGGGTTAATATTTTATAGCTTTTTTGCCCTGAATATTTTGTCGAACCATTTTTGCGCTGATTAATATTCGATTCACTTTTGCCCAAAGTTGTGATGTATATGCTATTTTTGATCTTAGAGAAAATTTAAACCCACTTTTGCTTTGAACAAAATTTTATCCCACTCTTACTTTCGACCTCTCATACAACACTCTGTATTTTTTTAAATAAGTCGAAGCAGATTTAAATGCTCTTTCAAACTATATTAGGGTTTCCTATACCTATCTGGCTCAGATTTTGAATAAAAAGCAATTTTTCAATAAAATGGGAATCAAGAAGGCTGGTATCGCCATTGGAAATTTGCCAGTGACGTTTTTTTTTCGATCATACGGTATATTTAATCTGTAAACTTTGCTTTTGTGCTTGGGTATAAAAATTTATTAATATAGTTCACTTGGCAACACTGGTTCATACATTTCCGTCTGTGCTGGCGCAGGGGTTTTGAGATTGTACGCAATTTTTTGAAAAATGTACTGAATTTGAAAAAATTCTACTAAATTTGAAAAAAATGTACACTGACATACTGATTAATCACGATCCTGCTCAAACCACTCAACGTAAGAAGCTCAATTTTGGCATACAGGTTGGGTCTAGGGTATAGAGGTTCGATAAGAAGAGATTTTTCGAAATTCCAGTTCTAAGAGGGTGAAACCACCCCTCAAACAATATTTTGTATTTAAAAAACGGTCAAGTTTCCGAAAAAACGCTTAAACACGTATATTTTATTTTGTTTTTTTACATATTTTAAGATATTTTAAAAATGTATACAGGGTGTTTCGAAAAATCTGGTCATTGATTAATCACGATCCTGCTTAAAGCGCTTGACGTAAAAAGCTGATTTTTGGAAAACAGATTGACTTTAGGGTGTAGAGGTTTGATAAGAAGGGATTTTTCGAAACTCGAATTCTAAGAGGGTGAAACTATCCCTCAAATATTAAAATTTAAAAACCGGTGAGTATATTTTATTTTGTTGTTTTGCATATTTTAAGATTTTTTATAAATTTATACAGGGTGTTTCATAAAATATGACCATTGAGTAATCACGATTCTGCTTAAACTGCTTGACGTTTAAAGCTGATTTTTGGCAAACGGATTGACTGTGGGGTGTAGAGGTTCGATAAGGAGGGGGTTCTCGAATCTCAAATTTCAAGAGGGTGAAAACGCCCCTCAAATATTACAATATTTGTTAATTAAAAAACGGTTAGTCTTTCGGGAAAACGCTTGGACAAGCATAATTTATTTGGTTTTTTTACATATTTTGAAATTTTTTAAAAAATCATACAGGGTGTTCCAAAAAGTTGGGAATTTCTTAACCACGATTCTGCTTAAACTGCTTGACGTAAAAAGCTTATTTTTGGCAAACGGATTTTTCGAAAGTCAAATTCCAACGAGATGAAACTACCCCTCAAATATTACCAAAGTTATATAATAATATCGCCATATTGTTTTTTCTCATGCATATAAATAGTCAGATCTCGTTGGCAAAATAGCAATTATGGGAAGGAGTCGTTCTTCTGGCGACCGCCTTTCGTTATCCCAGAATGAGCGGAAAAAAAACGCTAAATTTAGGTTTAGCATTGGCAATGTTGCTTTAAATGCCAGAAACACATAACCCAACATTTTCAGATTGTTTACAAATTTATTTTAGCAAATTTTCCTCTATTATGCATAGAATTTGTTAAAAAAGTAACAGAAAATAGCAATAACATCATTGTTTATTGAATACCTAACAAAATATGTGATAGAAAAGCTTAAAAATATAAGAAATTAAGAAAAATTCAATGGTGAAATCCGTTTTTCTGAAAAACGGTAAGAGATCGCCAAGAAAAAAGTTCAGATTCGTAATCTACGACCTTAAAATAGTGTGTATACCAATTTTGGTGAAAATCTGACGATTTCCAGTTTTCCCAATAATTACCAAAATTAATAATAACCATTAACCATCTATGAAAGAATGAAATCGAAATATTATTTTTTTATACCATAGAAACTCCTTTTATTTTTAGGACTTTTTAGGAAAAATTCAACCATATTTTATGTTTTTTTTAATACCTCTAAAATGGTATGGAAATTTAGAAAAATATAAACGGGATTAACCATTATAGAACAAGCAAAAATTTTTATGAAGAATGAATGCATTTTACTCAAAATATCAATAATAAAAAAGTTTTTCCTTGTACCTATTGATTAATTAACATTAACATGTACCTATTGATTATTTCCAAGGAATTTTTACCAAGGAACTGTATTTACGTAAAAAACAGCGGAAATCTATATTTTTTAACCCGTAGTTTTATACAGGTACGGACGAAAAGTTATTACTCTTTAAACCAGTTAAAAAATATTTAGGTGGCATCCCCTACAGTAGGCGCCATATTGATGTCGAAATCAAATCCCTCATGCCAAAAAACACCTAGACACTAATTTTCATCCAAATATCGGCGTTGGTTCGGAGATTATTTTGAAAAAATCGAAATAAAAATTAAATTTCTACACCCTGTATCTCTGAAACGAAGCATTTCAGGGCATAATAAACTTATACGAACTTTTTTACTTATTTTTATCTGCAGAATATGATGCACCCTGTAGATTTAGTATCGATCGTTGGCCCTTGTATAGTACAGAAACAAAAAAAATAAGTTGGCAATATTATTTATAAATATTTTTAACGGAAAGGCTGCTAATTTTGAAACTTTTCCTATTTTTCGCATTTCGAGAACTTTCAAAACGTTGTACTGAATTCAGTACAATTATACTAAAACTGCAACATTGAATTACATTAATTAATAAAATGCACACGCCCCGACGCGACGCCATATTGATATTTGTACGTTTCATGACCTTAAACAGATTCATATAAATCCTGATCATAAATGACTTTTTTTTGGTTTTCTTTATGCAGAATATAATAAAACAATAAACCCTTATTTATTTTAAGCAGTTAAAAATAATATTAACATAAACACTTACCTATACTCTTGCAGTCAAGTTGTACTTTGCTGGCTTTCGAATGCATCGGACATTTTGCATGGTTTTCTTTTCCTTGAGAACGAAACCAATCTACTTGTAGAATTTACAGAAGACTTTCTAAGAAGCATAGCTTAAATACAATATGGAGGCTCTCTATAAAGAATAATGCGCGCTTAGAACGTACCAAAGCACCAACTCAACAAACCTGCAGTGGAAGAATAAGCGAAACAAAAATGCAAATATGCACCTTTCTATAAAATCGTGGCGATGGTGGTGGGCAGTGGGCAGCGATGCCAGATTGATTCGAGAGAAATTCGTGAGATTGGACGTCAAAAATTGTGAGAAATCGTGAGATGTCAGAAAAGCGCTAATTTTAAAATAAGTATACCAAATTTTTACAGGGTGAGTCTGAAATAAGTGCAAATATTTTTAGAGTAGTATATTTTGACCACAGAAACAAGTCTGAGTTTTTTTTAGTGAAAAAAAAATTGAAAATTTGTAATTTTTTGAACAAAAAATCGATTTTTTTTTTAAATTTTAGTTGAGAAGCATAATATCTTGATAATATGACAACATAGGTAATAGTTTTAACTTTACATGAAGGAAAACCTACAAAATATCTAGTGGTTCTCAAAATTTAAGCAAAAATACATTTTTTTAAATTTTGAAAATAAAATAACTTGGTTATTTTGGACTTATTTGAAAAACAGTAAAGAGGAAAATATGTGCAGTTATTTAGAGAGATTTAGATTCACCCGCCATTATATACTTATGTATATTTCATTTTTAACTGTTAAATAAGTTTAAATATTAGAATAATAAAAAAGAGTCTATGAATTTGGAAAATTTTATTTTCTTTATTTCTATATAAAAAAAACTTTCAGTCTAAACAATCCTAACTGAAAAGGTAAATATCACCTAAAATTGAAAAGAAAATAAATAAGATTTTAAAATCTAAAGCACAGTCTAAAGTGAATAGAAACATTTTAAATAAATAATGAGAATAGACTTCGGTGATTCCCCGCAGTGATGCAGCACTCATATCGGGGAATCACCGAGGCCTTTAAAAATAATGTAAAATACTGAAAATGTCACGAGTTACATGTCATTTGCACATCTTAAATTACAAGAAGTATGATGTAAAATAGAATATTCTGTTATGAAATGACTGATTGACTTTTTAGTTAACACGGATATTTTAATATTTCTGAAAACAGTATTTTTTTAATTGGCAAAACGGAAAAAATCGTGAGATCCTGAGATTTGATACAAAATCGCGAGATTTCACGATAAATCGTGAAATCTGGCAACCCTGGAGGTGGGGTAGTTCTTGCTACAGCAGCAGCTGTGTGCGTCGAATAACCGGTCTGGTACAAGCGGTACGAGGTTGCCAGATTTGGAAATCCAATTTAATATAATATATTTTCAGTTCTATGTTAAAGTTACAACACTTCAAATTTTCATGTACATTGTCTAAAAATTGCATTAGATAATGGTATTGCGTTGTGTACCGTGTATAAAACAACTAATTCAGTACTTTCTTTCTGATAATGAAAATAATAATGAGGCTATGGCAGCACTGTACGAATGCATATTATCTGATCTGCGACCTCTGTGGCAATAGAAGCCGAAGACTACGATCCATGACGTCACCAAAATGGTCAAAAGTTTGTTCATTAAATGAGTATCGGTTCCTAATAAGTGCAAATGGTCACGTGAATTAAAATTAACAACAAATTATAAACAAAAATTTTAGTGAATTTTTTATTTGACATTAAAGGCTTCAACATATTTACTCAGTGAGTATCTCAACTGAGATTGGGGATTCAGTAGTGTAGCTAAAGGAGGGTCCACATTTAGTAACATGTTATATAACATTGATATTTAACAAGCTACATATCACATGCTAAAAAACCGGGAGTCGTCCACATTATAGTTTTCGTAAATCTTGAATCGTTTTGGCGAGAAAGAGGTTCTGCTAGCAGCAGCGGCGTGCGTAATTATTTTTGAAGAAAGAGAAATTATTTTAAATCTATGGTTCCTTTATTTAGATGTTTTTGGTGTTAACCCTTTATAGGTTGATGGTCGCTAAATCGACCACTTTAATTTAACCAACTAATCAGTCGCGTGGAATTGTATTACACAGGTGTATTATCGCCCAGTTTATTTGCTATTATTATTTTTATGCGCCATTTATTTTTTTTACCCATTTAATTAACCATATCTATACGTTAGCGGTTGAATATTCGACCAGTGAGCATTTGTGACACTGAGTTCGCTGTGTCTTATAGGTAATACTTGTTTTCTAAGCATTCTCTATGCAAATTTCGTGTGATAAAAATTTAAAAATATAGAAATAAGTATCTGTGACGTGTGACGTTTATTTCTTTTTATTTAGTGCACCAAATTTACGGATCAGATGATATTTTCTAAGATCATTAACACATCCTGTATATTTTCGATTATTTCTAGATCATTACTTATTATCTTTTGCTTTAAAAAAGAGAAAAATGGACCACCCCCCCCCCCACTCCCTTATTTGTTAACTTTTTGAAAACTTTTATTGATATGCTCCCTTTGTGCTAGTTTATATATTTTTGGTCAGTTTGATCCTGTTTGATCAAACTAGAAAATAATTAGTACTGCCCTATAAAGGGTTAACCAGAGTTTTAACTATTGTATTTATTATTAAGTACTTTTTAAGTAGATATATTCTGTAGTAAGGTAGGTAATAAGTATGGTAAAGTACAATAACTCTAATAAGGAAAAGCTTTCAAAATGTTCTCGTCTATTTTTGTGACGTCACGGAACGTTGTCCCGTGGCTCTAGTACCTCTAGTATCACGGAGGTGACGTTGGCCACGAACAAAAGAATCAACTTTACGAATACCTGGAAGAGAAAGCAAGGTGCAAGTACTTAAAAAAGCTGCATTTTTAAGTTGAATAACCTTGAGTATGTTGTGGCGAATGTACAATCAACTTGAAACTTGAAACTTGTTCCTATATTAAATTACAGGGTTGCCATATCACTGAATAAAATCTGCGAAAATACCGGATGTTGCATCGTCGGACGGGACATAGGAAATCCCATGTAAATTTTAATGGGGTCAATTATTGGCTTCCCTAATTATTTTAGAGAATAATTCTATTTAGGTTTATTGAAGAGCACTAAAACCCACATTCAAAAGAATAACTTTAGATATTTTTGATTAGCTCGTTTACGAGTTATCGCCGATTTCTTTTTAAATATTTCTTCTATCTTATGACCCTGTATTTACTTATGAGCACCAGTCAAGGTAAAAGATAATTGTCAAATGTCAAATGAAGTTGTCATTTCAGAAATTTACCTATTTAGTGCTTTATTATTATTGAAAACTCATTCCTACATCGGAAATCTTAAAGATGTACTTATAAATACAAATTAATATGAATTAAAGTAAAATAAAGTAATCAATTACAAGGTTAATTATAGTATTATATACCCAGGCGATCATAAAATTATCTTCTTACATTCGCTAGTTGGTAAACTGAAATTCTATTGCATTCGGCAGAAATAGCATTTTTTAACTCGTCTAGATTTGGGTATTTTTTATCCTTGTATATCCTGTTTTTTAAATAGCCGCAGAGAAAGAAATCATTTGGCGAAATATCAGGAGACCTTGCTGGCCAATTTACTGTATGATTTAGGCCAATAACGTTTCCGTTAAAACTATTGTCTAAATATTCCCGAACATCCAGGGTACTATGTGCCAGGCAGCAATCCATTTGGTACCAAACTTCCTGATTTTCCCTAGCGGCATCATGTAAAGCAGGTAAAATATGATTTTCGAGTAGTTCCAAATAATATTCTGCATTTAAATTTCGCGTAAGAAATAATGGCCCGATTATCGGGTATAATATTGTGTCCGCGAATATCCCTGCCCAAACATTTACTTTCTGTGGATATTGCGTCCTTGTTTCGACAAACCTGTGTTGGTTTTCTTTGTTCCAATATCGATAATTTTGAACATTGGATTCAATATTTAAGGTAAACGTGCATTCGTCAGTAAAACATATGTTTTTTTTAAAATTCCCTATCCGTGTTTGCCCTTTCCATCATATCAAATCAAAACGCCTGCCGCCGTATTTCGTCCCCATCTCGTAGCTCTTGGTGCTTTTCATATTTGAAGGAATAGTATTTATGTCGTTTCAAAATTCGAAACGTTGTAGTGTGATCTATTCCTATTTCATCCTCAAGTTTTCTTGTGCTGATCTTTCCATCGTTCTCTTCCACGCACAATAAAATTTCTAAGTCGGTATCATTTCTTGCATCTTCTCTTTGTTCCTGCCTTGCTTCACATCTGCAGGTATTTATTAGGGTACCTTTGGTCTCAAATCTCTGGATATTCCTTGCGATTGTAGATTTTCCAGGTATCGGTCTATTCCGATGCAGAGCAGCAAACATGTCCGACACCTTTTGATAACTATTTCCTTGATAATACCATTTAATCATCAATATTTTTTCTTCGGTAGTGTAATTCATGGCTAATATTTTCGATGTAGGTATGTTTTTAATAATAATAATAAAGCACTAAATAGATAAATTTCTGAAATGACAACTTTATTTGACAGTTATCTTTTACCTTGACTGGTGCTCATAAGTAAATACAGGGCCATAAGAAAGGAGAAATATTTCAAAACAAATCGGCGATAACTCGTAAACGGGCTGATCAAAAATATCTAAAGTTATTCTTTTGAATGTGGGTTTTAGTGCTCTTCAATAAATCTAAATAGAATTATTCTCTAAAATAATTAGGGAAGCCAATAATTGAGCCCATTAAAATTTACATGGGATTTCCTATGTCCCGCTCGACGATGCAACACCCGGTATACTCAATATTTGTTGTACAGGGAGTAGAAAAAATACTGTACCAAATTACCAAATTTCTTTGAGCGATAGGTACCTGGATAGAACTGCTGTGTTATTCTCGACTCGACTTAAGTTGATTCTCACTCTACCTTTCATATCAGCTCCCTTCCGTTTCCATCCCGTTTACATAAAAGATTATGATGTAAATGAATAGGACAATGTACACTATCCGTTCCGTTTCCCTTCCGTTCCATATCCTTTCCTTCCATACATTCTTACATTTGTACCAGCTCTGTTAATATTTTGCGGATATTTATTTATTCTTTCATCTCTTAATTAAATCTATTACCTTTTTCAAAAGATACAAATTTTTAAAATAAAATTTTCGTAATGATATAAATTGTACAATAAAAAGTATGGAACTGATACGGAACGGAAACTTACGTATAGCGTCAATACAATAAAAATACAGAACGAATATGGAATGGAAACGGAAGTTATAGTGAGAATCAACCTTAACTTGGACAGATCTTAAGCAAAATTTATAGTGAAGTAAAAATAATAACGAATAAACATGTATTTAACAGCTTTATTTAATTTTATAAAAAAAAACAGTCAACAACATATAAAACTAGTCAACAATAAAGATATTAAAAAAACTACAACAAGATTTATGTACATGTACCAATTTTATAATACACTTTCGACTAGTAAGAAAAAAAAATCTAAATAAGTACAACTAACAAAATAAAACATTATACTTTTGTAAGATATTATAAAATTGGTCTTGTCGAAATATGAAATGGCGTTTTAGTGACCAAAGGATCCAGATGATAGTGATTCGTAGCCTCCAGAAGAACCTTCACTGGCACCTAAAAAAATAATAAATAAAATTACCATAAAAATTTCAATAAATTAGTTAGTTATTTTCATAAATTTTATTTAATTTAGTTTAACAAGATAATTTTGCTCTCCATCGTATTATCTTAATAAATTGCACTGAAAATATCAGATCAGAGTTATCGATATTTGTGATGCACTTGTGTAATAATTCTACATACAGAAACTAGCGTGTAATGGCCAAAATTACCAAAATTTGACGTCAAATTAATGCATTTTTTACCTTATTTATGAAACTCCGTTATTTTGGACTTGTTTGAAAAACGATAAAGAGAAAATATGTTTCTTTTTTTACCACCCCTTAAAATACTTGTACTTATTTCTGGGACACCCTGTATAGACTGCACAGAAGAAATAATAACTTTTAATTAAATCCTTCACAGCTAATTTGTTATCTGTGATAGAGAACAAAAAAGCAGGCGGATATTTTTGATTTAATGCTGAAACTACCCTGTAGGGTTGGATGAAAAACATACCTAGTACGTCACTGTAGTGTCCTTCGAAACCACCCTCAGAAACACCATATCCGTGTCCACCAGATCCTCCAGACTCACCTCCGTGTCCTCCGGCAGAGTATTTGCTCGAAGCTACGAAACTGCCTCCGAATGGACCATGATGGCCACCTCCTGAAATACATCAATTCCAATGATATATCTTGTTTAGAAATATTTATTTTAACATTTTAACGGTTTGAAACAATCATATTTTTAGCATCTACAGATATTGTACGTAGGTCAAAAATCTTTTATTTTTCGATTATTGAATGTTCCGATTAATGAGGTTGAACTGAAATTCTTGTAAAATGGCTCTTAAGCTGTATTTGTTATATTTTTTGGTTGTATTGATTAAGAATATTCAATTCCAACATCATATATCCGTTTTACTATATGTAAATAAATAAATAAATGCCTTTATTGTCAAAACATTTTCAATTTATAGACAAAGATAAACTAAACAAACAAGGTACACAAACAAACAAACAATAGATAATACAAACATTATACAAATAATATTGTCAGTCTTATCGTTTAAAATAAACGTTTCTAAATGTTTACAATGTTAAAGAACAAAAAAAATAAAAATAATATTCAAAAATATTCATTAGTAAATATTAAATATAGCAATAGCAAACAATAGACGAGTGTTTACAAGATCAAGTTATGTTTGAATTGTTTTGAATTATTGCTTTAGTTTTATTAGGTAATTTGATATTTAAATAGCTGGGATTAGTTTTAATTAAACAAATATGGCCCAAAATATGGATTCCACCTCTTCCAATACTAAAGAACCTATAAAGAGTCTTAGGTTTACAGCAGATGACGACTTAGCCCTTCTAAGAGAATTTGTTGCTTGTTGCCCTAATCCCACTGGCAGACGTTGAACAATAAAGCACTGGAAATAAGCACTTTAGCCCTTTAGTTTTAAAATACCTAGTAAACAAAACAATTTCAAAGTTTTAAATTCAAAGTTAGGTTAAGTTTAAATAGCGGACGCGACGCGATCAGAATTCCTTTCGATCCGATAACTATAAATACGTTAATACCACCTCACGTAAAGGAAATAACACCTGGCCTTATTAACGTCCATGCACGCTATTCGGTTTAGCGATATCTCTCTATTACGCTGTTTATTGTTATTTTTCGCCAGTTTATTTTTGCGCACAGGAAATTTGACTCGTTTGCACATCGTCATAAAAAACAATTTTCGTACCACGAATTAGGGACAAGATTTTTATCTGTATACTTATAAAATACCTAATCTGTGGTCTTACCTTGGTGAGTCAAGTCGATGGTCTGCCCTTGGGAGTTTCCTCCGCCGCCCACTATGCTGACGCCGTGATGGAAATCACCGCCGCCGCTGTTGCCGCCGCTCTCATAGCCGCCCCCGCTGCTGCCGCCGCCACCGTAGCCGCCGCCTAGGTCCAGGGATTGGCCGCCCACTCCCAGGCTGCTGTGGCTCAGGCCGTGGTCGGCGCCGCCGAAAGATAGGCCTGCTAGGCTCAGGTCGGTGTGCTCGCCTCCACCGTAAGCTGAAAGGAAAGATGTATAAAGATTAAGGATGGGTTCTCACCTTTTAGTTTCGCCCTTGTATAAAAATACCGGCTGTCTTTCAGATGTGACTCACCCGAATATCTTTTTGATTTTTTCAGATAAAAAAAGTGAAATTTGGTATATTAGTATATATATGACATAAATCAGGATAGATTGATGGATCTATTCAATTAGTTTCACTTCCTGTTTCACCGGAAATTTTGATTTCACCACAAGTTTTGATTTTTTTAAGAATTTTTATTTTTTTATATACAGGGTGCTATAAATTCGAGGTACGAGCATTGGTATCTCGGAAACTGTAATAGATACGAAGATGGTTAAATTGGGGCCAAGTTGCCCCCCCCCCCCCGCCTTGGGATGTTCACCAAAATTCCATCAAAAAAGTTTTAAAAATTTCAAGGATTGCTGAGTTCTTTGGGAAAAACGGATTTTTTTGAAAATAAATTTTATTTTTTCCTGTCGTTACTTTTTAGAAAATCAAGAAACTAATTGCACATTCTCTTAGCCACTTTATTAGGACTATCTGAGAGTGTTTTTATATTTTTAAATTAGCTGATAATTTGTGAGATACAGAGGCATATTTTATTTCCGGTTTTGAAAGTCCCTGGTCTTCCGAGTACAATGATATGCCACAATTTACTTTTTTTTTGTTTTGGCTAACTTTAGAACAACAAAACTATTTAATTATTATTTAAAATAATTTTGAGTTCGACTCTGTTTCTTTAAATTATTTAATCTGATGATATTCATCGCAACAATATTGATCAGCATAATTAACATTGAATAAGGAAAATCGAGCCAATTGAAAGATTCAAATAAATAATATCCAGGTCAGCAATTTAAAGATATTATTCTTAACTTTGTTTCTTGTGTATTTGAAATCTCAGTGTACGATCTAATAATATGCATAATATTAATAGTAGTTATTATATAAGGGTTTATCGTAAGACTATAAAAGCTGCCAAGGACATTTATTATAATGGGAGGCTAGCCAAATCCGGTAATGTTGCTAAAGAGACTTGGGCTATTGTAAATGACTTAAGGAATAAGACTTCTTCGTCTGGCACAGTCTTTAATTCACCTGAAGATTTAAACACTTACTTTGTTAATGTGGCTAAAAATTTAGTGAACACCATAACTCCTTCTCTTGATTCACTTTCATATCTACCTAAAGCGAATGAGAATTTACACAGTTTCTTCTTCACGTCCGTAGCATTAGATGAGCTCTGTAGTACAATTAAAAGCATTAAAAATAAATTCTCATCTGGGACTGATGGGCTTACTCTCAAAATGTTCTTTGAACTTCCGGAATGCACATTAATCTATCTTACTACTTTAATTAATGAGTCATTCCAAAAAGGAGTTTTTCCAAACTGCCTTAAGACAGCAATAATTATTCCTCTGCATAAAGGAGGAGATAAAGATCAAGCTTCGAACTATCGCCCAATTGCTCTCCTGCCCACATTATCTAAGATCATTGAAAGATTGGTTAAAAAAGGCTTCTATCTTTTCTCCTTAAATATAAAGTACTTTCTACCCATCAATTTGGATTTCTAAGTAACAGTTGCACAAATAATGCTATGTTCGACCTTTTTAATAATGTATACTCTAGCCTGAATAACCATCACTCTACAGCTACAATTTTCTGTGATTTCTCTAAGGCTTTCGACTGTGTAAATCATAATATCTTAATTAACAAATTGCAATACTATGGATTCAGGGGAGTGCCGCTCGAATGGCTTAAGTCGTATCTTGGCAACAGAAGGCAGCTTGTGAGGATTGATACGTGTATGTCTTCTTGTAAGCCTATAAAATGTGGTGTCCCTGAGGGTTCAGTACTTGGCCCTATTTTATTTCTGGTGTTTATCAACGACATTGCAAATCTAGACATTAGTGGTAAAATCTGCCTCTTTGCGGACGATACTAGTTTCACTTGGAGCGGCCCAGATGTTACGGCACTATATGATACTATATCCAGTGACTTACGCACCATTAAATCTTGGTGCGATTCTAATCTCCTATGCCTCAACCTTTCAAAAACTAAAGTTTTGTCATATAAAAGTACTATACAACCTTTTGTACTTAATAACACCACTATTGACGTCGTGGACTCTGTGAGATTCTTAGGACTTGTTGTGGACAACTCGTTAAAATGGGACTTGCACATCGAAGCCTTATCAAAGAAACTAAGCTCTGCCTGTTTTGCGCTAAGATCAGTGTCTAAGGAACTTAACTCATCAACCTCTAGAATGCCCTTTTTGAGTCGCATCTTCGTTATGCCCTTCCATTCTGGGGTACTTGCTGTGCGACAAAATTTGATCGTATTTTCAAACTTCAAAAGAGAGCAGTTCGATACTTATTGGGACTAAACAGTAGAACTCACTGCCAGAATTTCTTTAAAAATTTCAAAATACTGAATCTTCCTTCCTTATTCATTTTTGAATCCGTTTGCTTAATCCGCAAGCACATATTCTCTATTCCGGAAAGGCCTTCTCAGAACTATCCACTTAGGAATGCGGTGCACGATATTTATCTGCCAACTCCGAGCTCAGAACTAGTTAAGGGCTCAATACTGTACAATGCCAAGAAAATGTACAATCATTTGCCTGCGAATATCAAGTCACTTTCATTCTTTTCCGCATTTCGCAAAGCTCTGAAAGCATACTTACTGGAGAGAGCCCTATATGCGGTCAACGACTTTTTTGTTGGTGTTTAATCATGAACAATTTAGAATTTTAATTTTAATATTTTGATACTCTCACAGACTGGTTAAAGGTTGTGTATGTTGTATTTAATATTTTATAACTCTTGATTTTATGTTATTATAACATGATTTTATCCATTTACAGTTTTTGCTTTTGTAAAATTTTCTAGATACGCCTGTGTTCTGCAATGTCCATATATGTTTTATTTGTAATTTTATGACGTAATTTTTTTTTTGAATTGATTTGTATTGTATGACATTTTTTTTATTATTTGTATATTTGTTTTTGTGCTTTTTTTGTTTTGCTTTGTCGATGAAGCTGTTTTGGCTTTTTGTACAATAAAGCGTTATTTTTTTTTTTTATAAATTATAAATAAATCAACTTCTACAAACTAGTTTATAATGCTCTACATGTTCGAAAGGGCTACCATCCTCCCAATTGCACACATTTATTTTTCGTTCAATTTTATTTATATAGCTCTTTGAAAATATCTTCTTATACTTCAGAATTTTTTACTTTTTATTGTAAATGTTCAATGTTTCACTTAGGAAATCAATACATTTTAACATTGGACTTAAAATGACGTCAAGAAATGCAAAAAATATTAAGTGTGGCATATCATTGTACTCAGAAGACCAAGTTCTTTCAAAACATGAAATAAAAAATGCAGGTCCGTATTTAAAAAAAATAAGTTGGCCCCTATATCTCACAAATTATCAGCTAATTTGAAAATCTAAAAATACTATCAGATAGCCCTAATAAATTGGCTATGAGAATGTGCAATTAGTTTTTTGATTTTCTAAAAAGCAACGACAAGAAAAAATAAAATTGATTTTCAAAAAAATCCTTTTTTTTTTCAAAAAACTCAGCTATCTTGGTGAATATCCCAAAGCGCAACTTTGCCCCAATTCAACTATGTTCGTATCTATTACGGTTACCGAGATACCAATGACCGTACCTCGAATTTGTAGCACCCTATATATCTAATATTTTTATTTTAAAGTATTTTTTACTTTATTTCATCGAAAATTACAATCTGAATAGAATGACATAACATCATATTATGTCGACTTTTCACATCATCATTTAAAAAAACGTTTCAAATTTCAATCTAGAGTGCCATGACTGTGTTAAAAACACTAATTTTTAATCAAGGAGACTGGGAAAATAGATTTGATCGTCTAATGTTTTTAGTGTCTTGTCCCGGCCGGTTAAAAGATGCCCAAATCGTATTTTTAATCATATCTCAATTTTTTCAAATGGAACGATGGTGACTCATTAGCATATTTGGAAAAAGCATTTTTTTACGAATAATTTGGTACCACACACTTGATATTTCGAGTAAGATTGTCGTTATGAACCGCCTGTTATAATTTCAAATAAACAATATGCGAAAATGTCAAAAGTTGACATATGATATGTCATTCTATTCAGAGAGTCATCTTCTATCGAATAAAGTGAAAACATGAATGGTGTCATTTAAAAATCAAAAGTTGATTATCAACCTTGATTTATGTCATATAAGTAGTATTTTATATCTCGTTTTTTTATCTAAAAAAATAAAAAGTTATAGGGGTGAGATAATTTTGAAAATAGAGGTGCTGTATAATTATTTACTACAATAATTCTGTGTATAATGTGATCTAAGTCGATCAGGAACAACATTCCAGAAACGGAAGTCAGCCGATAGTTTAGAAACACTTATTTAACTAATAGTTACAAATAATTTGAGATATTTTGTAGGAAATGGACATTCTCCAATTCATTATAAATGTATAACAAAAAGCTAAAAAACATCTGAAACACTTTCTCCTTCGACTGATTTAATAGCTTCAAATAGGAAATTCCAATTATGTGTGAAAAACGTGTGACAACTACACCAGATACCATAGATTCATAAAGCGTGGTGAATAAATTAGAACAAATAGGAAAAAAGTATATTTTTTCCATAGCAACTATTAAAATTGCCTTATATCTATCAAAAATAGTAGATAAAATCTTTGAATAAGAAGACTAAGGAAGGAGCATATCAAAAATCTTAGGTACACCGCGATGGGCCTCAAATATGGCCGACTTAAATTCCAGTTTATCAGTGTCGTTCTAATTTTATTTAAAAAATGTAAAACTATGATGTAGGGTAGACGTGGGGTAGACTCAATAATTCTGTTTTTTGTTAATTGTGTTTTATTTTACGTTGTGAATAAATGTTGGTAGTTATTAAAATTGTTATAAAAATATATAATTCTAATAAAAATAGATAAGTTATAATAAGTATTTATTAACACAAACATCCGATACGCTACTGAAGCAGGTAAGTCAAATTAACGTATCTAAATTCTTTGACATTTAATCTTTGACAAGTAATAAATAAAAGCTAAAATGCAAGAAAAATATATAATTTAGTTAATTTAAGTGAATTTCATAAATAATCAGTTTACTACACGTATGTATATTATATAGTCACTTACTAGCGAAAAGTTGTTCCATTATTTCACTCAATTTTTGCCGAGATCTACCGCACGCTACACAACCAACTATTTTAGAGTCTTTTTCGATAAATCGCGACAGTGTCACTGTTAATTTAAGTTCTGCCACAATTTCCATCTAGATTTACTACCTTTATACAACTATCAGTAGTAGAATAAATAATAAATAACATAAAATAAGCTCCGTAAAGACTGACAAATCCACAAAATTTCAAATCAAATTCAAATGTGTCAAATGAATCGTCAAACAGAACTGTCAAGGATCCCCACCCTAGAGTGCTTTTATGGCGCTTTTTCCGCCCACCATGCATGAATACATGGATAGTATTATGCTCCTTCCTTAGTCTTCTTATTCAAAGAGATAAAATAGTACTTTAACCGCAAGGGCATTGGCATAAGTACAGGGGGGCCTGGGGGTGCCGCCCCCCCCAGGTACTGCAGGGCAGCCCCCAGAGAAATCCTGAATTGCGACTCTTGGCTACGTATTAATTTTTATTTGCTTGTGATGTAGTAAAAATGACGTTTTCCAGCTTTGTTTAGTTAACATTATTTTGTTGTGTTCAAATTTTTATATTTTTTAGAAAATTTGTAGGTATTTAAGTAATCTACGGGAACACGGTTTGATAACCAAGTCTAAGAAATTTATTGATAGAGGAATTCATGTAAACGTTTTATTCAAAAAATATGTTTTTTAAATTATTTTTCATTTTTAAAAAAACAAAAGCCCTAGGCCCCCCTGGGCTCAATCCCAGCCCCCCCCCCTTCCATTTTTGAAAATTTTTGTATTCCTTTTCATAAATTATTCGGGATTTAAATGGAAGTAGTTTGAATATGGCGTTCGTCGCCTCAGCCTGAATATCTGTTGGTAATTTACTTATTTCGTTTTGAGCCATTTCTGGCACCAGTTCAATCAGCAATCGACACGAAGGAGAATTAAAAAATATTGACTCTAAACTGACAACTAAAGAGACAGCTTTATTTATTTGTCAAATTACATAGAAACCAACGCTAACCCAGCACAATATTTTTTCTACTCGTAATAAATTCCTTGAAATAATAATTTCTGAATATTTTTTAAAACGTAACTCGCTATATATATATATCGTTCCCATATATATCAGCGACTCTGTATTAGAAGATAATAATATGATTCATTTTACCAACTTTGGTCGCGTTATGGAATACATTCGCCTATGTTGGCTGGTGGCGTCCCTACTAAGAACCAATGAACTTGCAAAAGAAAGGATTGTTACAGTTAGTTAAAAGTGATAGTAAAATATAAAAAAGAACATGCCGCACAATCGTTCCGATGATCAGCTAAGAGACCGGAAGATGAAAGTGAAAATATCGCTCACGAATCTAATTTCTATTAATATTAATGAAGTAGTTGAAGAAATGCGTGTTCGAATTCTCGATTGACAGCCACGACATTCCGTTACGCAACGAATTATCGCTTTATTTAGTTGTTACATAATTCTATAAAAGTTTAAAAACTTTAAAAATAATTTATCATACGATCGAAATAAAAAACGATGTCAAAGACGGCTGGGAATGAGAATCAATAATAATTTTGCCGAGGTCAAGCCCCCAATAAAAATATCGAACTTAGTGTGCTTTCTATGTTCGCGTGTTCTAAGTTAGTGTGATTTCTAAAGGCGCATCCTCACTACTCGTGTACTTCATAAACATTTGTTATTGGTATACATATACTTGCCATCATGATACAAGATCGGTTAGGTTTTGTTAGGTTCTTGCCATGTCGTGAGAACGGTTTACCTCGGAACATAGCCCTAGTTAAAGTATCACAATTATTCGTACACTTGCCAAGTGTAGCCTTGGCCAGCCTTGGCTATACATGCCGAGGCGCTCAAACGACTGCGCAAATAATTGTAATGTTATAGGGTATGTCGCGTTTATTTCCGGATCGTAGTGTTTTTCGAGTAAAAATTTAAAACGTCGAAACAATAATAGATTATATAATATCAAATTTACATTAATAACTTCAATTATTGGCGACATACCTAAATCGTTCCTTCAGCAATAAATGGAGTGGACAAATGAAGACTACACGGGAAAAACCAGATATGTTACATTTTCATAGAAATTAAGATTGCCTTATATACAACTAGAGATACAACTTTATAGGAAAGTACGCAAATATTGGTGTAGACAAAGTCGTACAATGCGTAGACGAGTCGTGAAAGTGCGTCTATAGACCGACGATATTTAAAGGTGCGTATTCATTATCCGAACGAACGAACGAACGAATGTTCGCTAGTGGTATGGACGGGGACCGCACGAGAAGATCGGACGCGAACGCCTTTGATGTACCGACTCGAAACGGATGGTCGAGCGAACGAACGAACGGCCGCATGCGTTCGGTCCCCGTCTAAATATACCGCACTTTCATTCGTTCGTTCGTTCGTTCGGATAATGAATACGCACCTTAATGTTAAAATCAAACTTATATAAGTTACATCAACGACTAAAGAATACAAGGACTAATAACACCCGAGTCCCAAATTGTTACCATACCTCCAAACAGTGCCGTGGCACATTTTTTTTCTTAACATAGCTGCTTGAAAAGATATTTATATTTTTGATAATTTTTTTGACTACGACTTTGGTGTATGCGGTGGTATAGTCCGTATAGGTCTATAAAATGAATAACTTTGAATTTTGACCGTTATTTTTTACCAACATGGCAAATATAAAATCCCTCTATCAAAAAAGTTAATGATATTCTTTAAATTGAGTGCCTGAACGAATCAGATAGGTAACTCTTTTTACTTTCGTGAAATAGAAAAGGAAAATAATAAAACAAGTGACAATTCTTCCTCTTCTTGCAAAAATCAACACAAAATGTCATAATTGACAAAAGTAAAATGTCATCAGCTTTTGACATTTCTAAATATTAGACCAATGCCGTCTCTAATAGAACAGCCACGGAGCGAGATTTATGACGTCACGCTGGTTAGATACTACGTATTAATAAATATGTTGTAGAATACATGGAAAACATAATTATTCCTCGTATTTTTGGTTTGTGTTTTAAAAATGATATAGTTTACATGAAATATACATAATATAAGTTAATAAATACAATATAATATATACCTATTTATAGTAATAAATCCTTTGGCAAATAAACTATGAACCATACAAATACAGCAAATGTTTTACAATATACAAATAATGAATAGGTGGTACATAAGATAATGGGTAAAATGTAAAATATATTTTAAATTTAGGGTTTGAAAATCGATCTAATTTAACAAAAAACATTCAATATCTACTAATAGTGATGTATTATTATTTGCATTCACAAAAATTATTTATATATTATAATGTTTACTGCAATTAATAAACTAATATAAACTTGTCAAAAGATGACCACATATTTTTTTAAATTATTATTCTTAACACAAAAACTATCTACATTGACTATGGAGTACGATTTCAGCCATACTGTAAAACATTTGCTGCATTTGTATGGATCATAGTTTATCTGCCAACGTATTTATTACTATAAATAGGTATATATATTGTATTTATTAACTGTATATTATCTATATTTCATGTAAACTATACCATTTTTAAAATACAAACCAAAAATACGAGGAATAATTATGTTTTCCATGTATTCTACAACATATTTATTAATCCGTAGTATCTAACTAGTGTGACGTCATAAATCTCGCTCCGTGGCTGTTCTATTAGAGACGGCATTGCGTCAGCATGGACGCAAATTACTAACCTAATAAAATTAACACTAGAAAAGCCCGCGGGAACTGTCAAATTCAAAGTTATTCGTTTTACAGACTATATCATACTAATTAATTACGAAAAAAACGTATTAAAATGTTTACAAATGGTACAAAACTAGTATCGACGTATAGCACATATCAAGTACATAATATAATATCAGAAAAATAAATTATCGAATTCAATAAAAAACGCTAAAAAGGTGGAGTGGACTGTTTATTTACCTATGAAACGTAACTCCTGGCTCTTTCTTATCGCTGCGGCTTTTATACTTGAAAGCTGAACAACTAATCACCATTGTAATAAAGTTTATACAAAGTTCACTACACGCACAAACTATTAAAAATCGCTAAAATCGTCGCTGATTATTGTTACAGCCAAAAAATGGCGTCTAACATCACTTGTCTGTATTCTTTAGTCATTCTTTCCTAAATCTTTAACAAGACGTTTTCTATTCAAAATTATCTAACCAATATTTAATCGACTTTAATATGTTAAATCTTGATTATAAATTCTACAAAGGTATCTTTCGCCTTTACAGCGTTTTCACATGCGACGGACCGTCCGTCGTGTTTTTTCAAGATAGCCGTCGGGCGAACTCCGTCGGACGGAGCATACGCGTCCATGTGAAATTGTTCATATAAACTCATGGTACTTGCTCGAAGTTGCGGACGCTCCGCTCCATCTGAAAGCGCTGTTATACCTTTTTTAAAGTAAATGTAAACGATCCTTTCTTCTAGGTGATTCCTAGAAGATTTTGGCTATTGTGTATAAAAACTAGATAAAAAATACACCATTCACACGATAATTCAGACACTACAGTGGCGTGTAAGCCTAAGTTAATGTCTCTTTTGAGGAAAAAATAATTTAAATCTTATTTTATATCTTTTATTAGTTCTATTTACTCCAAGAACGATACGGTATATTAATAAAAATTAAAAAAATACTTATGGTACTTACATGATGAGACTATACCAGGTCTGCAAGTACCTACAGCTACCAAAGCACTAAGAACGAGGAACTGAAACAATAAAGAATCATTAAGTCACAGTATCTTCATTTTGACAATGAAAAATAATTATTTGGGTCTTAAATTCACCAGTCCATTTGACTAGTCCGAAAAAGTAGCAAAATAAGCGTTCGGCATTTAACGTTATATGTAAAACTGACTAGGTATTTTTACACAAATGAAGAAGGAAATTAAAGATAAAGGATTATACTTAGTTTTTAGACAACTCCTTCATTTTTAAGATATTGATGGTCAAACATCAACAAAATATTCCTTATGTTTGGACTAAATTTTCTTGAAAATAAAGACATAATTTAAAATTCCGTTACAATACGGAAATAGATTGAAGTTTTGTGATTACAGTGATATATAATTTATATGGTTTTGTAACAAATTGCTCGCTATTTTATGGCAAATGCTGAAGCTCTGCAAACTTTAATCAAGCCTTAATCAAAGCACGTGTGTTTGGAATTTCGGGTGTGGCTTAGGGAATGCAATCCCGCAAATGCGGGATCCCTCTAAGATTCCGCGGGATCAAAGTTGCGGGATTTACCGTGCGGGATTCGCGGGATCAACACATTATCAAACATTACTACTGGGTAACCGAATCGATCTCGATTAAGATCAAACCGCTTCGTTCCGGGCCGATGCGTCGACGCTCGGAACCCGGGGGATTCCCCTTACGGCTTGGCCATTAAAAATAAGTGAAACAAACAGGCTAGTTGTTGTAGTTAGATTTCTTTCTGGCGTATGTACGTAAGTGAAGAAAAGCGTTTAACTAGTACTTGTGACAATTTCGTCAAATAAATTGCCGGACATAATTATTGGGAGCAGCAAAATTTTAGGGTAAATTTAAAGTTGAATATCTCTTGAACTAAAAAAGATTTTGGGATGCGGTTTGGACCAGGTTTTAGATGAATCTATTGTGATTAAGATGCTGATGTGGTTTTCGAAAATATATTTAGCGAATTCTCGTATACAGGGTGTTTTATAAGAGTGTGAAAATTTGATCAAGAATCTTTTTTACCGCAAATTTACAATTTTTAAAAAATCGAAATTTTTACCAAGTACGACGAATCTGTATTGAAATTAGAAAAAACAATTTGATCGGTTTTTAATTTTTTTTTGTTTTAAGGAAGATACGACGTTTTTTTCGAAAAATATGCATTTTTAGTCACACGTATGGCCCTAAATGGTACAAAAAGCTTTGTACATTCTGCATATGCCAAACAATTATTGATATAGAGTGTATCTAAAAGCAGATAACTAGCACAAGTTAAAAAAAACTTCAATCAGAATAATATTTTTATTTATAAAATAAGTAGATAAATTATAATAAGATTTAGGTTTATTTAATATTAAATATATTTTTTGAACACCCTGTATACCTCGGTGTCCAAATTTCTGTACAGCTAGTTTAAGATACACGCTATATCAATATATTGTGGGCCTATGCAAAATGTACAATGCCTTTTGTACCATTTAGGACCCAATGTATGACTATTGTTTACAATCCCGCAATTTTGCGGATCCGCGGAATTGATTGCTTTAATCCCGCGGGGTTGCGGGATTGACATTTTGGTGCGGGATTGCATTCCCTAGGTGGCTTAACACATGATAGGGCTAAGCTTTAGGCAGATATCTAAAATATAATATACAGGGTGGTCCGAATTGTATTCCGGAAACTTCGGGAGCATATTCTGCAGATAAAAAGAAGTAAAAAACTTCTTATAAATGTATGTCCAAAAATGCTTAGTTTCGGAGATACAGGGTGTAGAAGTTTCATTTTTATTTCGATTTTTTCCAAATAATTTCTGAAGTAACGTCAATATTTGGATGAAAATTGGTGTCTGTTAGTTTTTTGACATGAGAAATTTGATTTTGGTGTCATTATGACTCCTATTTGTAGAGGGCGCCACCTACATGTGTTTTAACTGTTTTTGAAGAGTAATAACTTTTTGTCCGTACCTGTATAGAACTGTTGAGTGAAAAAATATTCATTTTCGTATTTTTTTACGTAAAAAATGTCACTTGGTAAAAATCGTTACGAGCAACCCTTCTCGAGATATTTAGAATGGGAATAGTCAATACATGTCATCATTGACAAAAAATAGACATGTTGAGTAGATAGTTATTTGACTAAAAAGATAAATTTGGAAAATTTTTATTTTTTTAAATTAATGATAAAACTTTCTTCGAAAAAATGATGACTGATGATGGTTTGGCACAAAAACATTTCAAATTTATGATTTCCCTCTATCTATATAAGATCGCTGTCATTTATATGTAAAATTATATGGGAAATGTCACCGATTGTCATTTCATAGCCATCTCTGACGCCGTTTTTATTCGATCATACGGTATTTAGACAACATGTTTAATTTATGTCAACGATGACAGGTATTGATAATTTCGATTTCAAATATCTCGAGAACTATTACTCGTAGCGATTTTTATTAAGAGATCTTTTTTACGTTAAAAACGTCCTAAATGTATATTTTTTTACTTGGTAGTTTTATACAGGTACGGACGAAAAGTTATTAGTCTTCAAACCAGTTAAAAATATGTAGGTGGCGCCCTCTACAAGTAGGAGTCATATTGATATCAAAATCGAATTTCTCATATCAAAAAACTTCCAGACACCAAATTTCATCCAAATATTGATGTTACTTTGGAAAAAATCGAAATAAAAATGAAACTTCTACACCCTGTATCTCCGAAACTAAGCATTTTAGGACATTCTTACTTATTTTTATCTGCAGAATATGCTGCTGAAGTTTCGGGAATACAGTTCGGACCACCCTGTATATTTTCTTCGGCCATACACCCGCTTTACCCGACCCCTGAGAGCGACCCGAACAGTACAGCGTAATAGAATCTTAAGTATAAAGTATAATTGAAAGCACTAATTTATTTAACTAATTTCGAAGTCTTTCCAAAAATTTTTTCTGCTAATAATTTCACAACACCAGGAAGTAACATAGATGTGTTATACGCACTCACCCTATTCATTTTTGTCACAATTTTTCTTTATTTTTTAACTCTGAAGATCGATAATCATCGACGAATAATTAAAATTATATATGCACTAATATTTTACTTCCTGACAAGCTGATCTTATATACAGTGCAGAGAGGTGAGCGTCGAAAGAATGGCACATCCTGAGGAAGGGGATCCGCCCAGCCCGCAAACAGAAGAAAGCCTTTCTCTTTGTAAGTGTATCAATGTAAACGTTCAAACGTTTGGAGTATAAGATTGATTAATTTTTAGAAATGCGTCGAGATTCTGGTCTAACTGTTACTTTTTTGATATTTTTTTCTTTGAACAAAAAGTTTAAAGATATATCAACAAACATAGGTGGAACCTTTGAATAAGAAGACTAAGGAAGGAGCATATCAAAAATCTTAGGTACACCGCGATGGGCCTCAAATATGGCCGACTTAAATTCCGGTTTATCAGTGTCGTTCTAATTTTATTTAAAAAATGTAAAACTATGACATAGGGTAGACGTGGGGTAGACTCAATAATTTGTTGTTTTATTTTACGTTGTGAATAAATGTTGGTAGTTATTAAAATTGTTATAAAAATATATAATTCCAATAGAAATAGATAAGTTATAATAAGTATTTATTAACACAAACATCCGATACGCTACTGAAGCAGGTAAATCAAATTAACGTACCTAAATTCTTTGACATCTAATCTTTGACAAGTAATAAATAGAAACTAAAATGCAAGAAAAATATATGTATAATTTAGTTAATTTAAGTGAATTTCATAAATGATCGGTTTACTACACGTATGTATATTATATAGTCACTTACTAGCGAAAAGTTGTTCTATTATTTCACTCAATTTTTGCCGAGATCTACCGCACGCTACACAACCAACTATTTTAGAGTCTTTTTCGATAAATCGCGATAGTGTCACTGTTAATTTAAGTTCTGCCACAATTTCCATCTAGATTTACTACCTTTATACAACTATCAGTAGTAGAATAAATAATAAATAACATAAAATAAGCTCCATAAAGACTGACAAATCCACAAAATTTCAAATCAAATTCAAATGTGTCAAATGAATCGTCAAACAGAACTGTCAAGGATCCCCACCCTAGAGAGCTTTTATGGTGCCTTTTCCGCCCACCATGCATGAATACATGGATAGCATTATGCTCCTCCCTTAGTCTTCTTATTCAAAGGGTGGAACTCGTTTAAAACGGGTAAATATACAGAGTGAGTCTTAAATAAGTGCAAATATTTTCAGAGGTAGTAAATTTCGACCCCAGAAACACGTCTATGGAATTTTTTGAAAAAGTTTTTGAACATTTTTTAATTTATAAGTTAGTTATAAAACATAATATCTCCATAATATGGCAACATAGGTACTAGATTAAATTTACAAGAAAGAAAACTGAGAAAAGATACAATACTTTAACCAAAAAATAATTGTTTTCTTAAATTTTCAAAGTAAAATAACTCGGATATTTTGGAGTTATTTGAAAAACGGTAAAGAGAAAATATGTTTCTTTTATCGAGGTCTACCAGCCCTGAAAATATTTGCACATATCTAAGACTCACCCTGTATAATATGTATTGTTTGTTCAACGATCGTGCAACGTTACGTCATATATTGTCGAACTCTCTCTTTCATTTGACAACCAGATGAAAGAGATTTGTGGCGTCATTACAGCATTTCGTAAATTACTGCCTCATTGTATTCATTGAAGCCCTTCATAGCAATGACTAAAGTATTGTTGCGGACCTTTGAATAAGAAGACTAAGGAAGGAGCATAATGCTATCCATGTATTCATGCATGGTGGGCGGAAAAAGGACTCTAGGGTGGGGATCCTTGACAGTTCTGTTTGACGATTCATTTGACACTAGATGGAAATTGTGGCAGAACTTAAATTAACAGTGACACTATCGCGATTTATCGAAAAAGACTCTAAAATAGTTGGTTGTGTAGCGTGCGGTAGATCTCGGCAAAAATCTAGTGAAATAATGGAACAACTTTTCGCTAGTAAGTGACTATATAATATACATACGTGTAGTAAACCGATCATTTATGAAATTCACTTAAATTAACTAATTATATATTTTTTTTCTTGCATTTTTGCTTTTATTTACTACTTGTCAAAGATTAGATGTCACTTACCTGCTTCAGTAGCGTATCGGATGTTTATGGTTATAAATAATTATTATAACTTATCTATTTTTATTAGAATTTTATATTTTTATAACAATTTTAATAACTACCAACATTTATTCACAACGTAAAATAAACTAATAAATTATTGAGTCTACCCCACGTCTACCCTACACTTTGAATAAGAAGACTAAGGAAGGAGCATATCAAAAATCTTAGGTCCACCGCGAAGGGACTCAAATATGGCCGACTTAAATTCCGGTTTATCAGTGCCGTTCTAATTTTATTCAAAAAATGTAAAACTATGATGTAGGGTAGATGTGGGGTAGACTCAATAATTTGTTTTTTTTTATTTTACGTTGTGAATAAATGTTGGTAGTTATTAAAATTGTTATAAAAATATAAAATTCTAATAAAACTAGATAAGTTATAATAATTATTTATTAACACAAACATCCGATACGCTACTGAAGCAGGTAAGTCAAACTGACGTATCTATTGATCTTTGTATCGAATTCTTTGACATCTAATCTTTGACAAGTAGTAAATAAAAGCAAAAATGCAAGAAAAAATATATAATTAGTTAATTTAAGTGACTTTCATAAATGATCGGTTTACTACATGTATGTATATTATATAGTCACTTACTAGCGAAAAGTTGTTCCATTATTTCACTCGATTTTTGCCGAAATCTACCGCACGCTACACAACCAACTATTTTAGAGTCTTTTTCGATAAATCGCGATAGTGTCACTGTTAATTTAAGTTCTGCCACAATTTCCATCTAGATTTACTACCTTTATACAACTATCAGTAGTAGAATAAATAATAAATAACATAAAATAAGCTCCGTAAAGACTGACAAATCCACAAAATTTCAAATCAACTTCAAATGTGTCAAATAAATCGTCAAACAGAACTGTCACGGATCCCCACCCTACAGTCCTTTTTCCGCCCACCATGCATGAATACATGGATAGCATTATGCTCCTTCCTTAGTCTTCTTATTCAAAGACCCTACATCATAGTTTTACATTTTTTTAAATAAAATTAGAACGGCACTGATAAACCGGAATTTAAGTCGGCCATATTTGAGTCCCTTCGCGGTGGACCTAAGATTTTTGATATGCTCCTTCCTTAGTCTTCTTATTCAAAGTTGCGGACCCATGTGGACTCGGCCTAACCTAACTAATATGTCCCGCCCCCATATGACCTTAATATGATATTAAAAAATAGACACCGTAATGATTAATTCGAACGTTCGAGAACAATCGAGTCCCACTGGAATGGAGGAGTACATACGAGAACATTCTAAACTTTCTCTATGCACCTAATGATCTAATGGATTATTCGAAAACTGTTTAGCTCTGGATATATAAGCCGTGCCTGGGGCCTGAGGAGGACAGGAAACAAATAGACGCATACAGTTGCCGCGCGCTAAATTCAAAATAAATTCTTTCTAGATAAATAGTTTGTAAATAGTTTTGTAAGTATTTTATCGTTATTGTTTTGTTACTTAGTGTAAAATAAATTGTGTTTAAACAAATTATCCACATGGGACCGACGAAAAACGTAACAGTATACAAGAAATTGAATTTGATACCTATTTTTCTGATAATATATTTACTTGATATGTGCTACACATCGATACTAGTTTTGTACCTTTTGTTGACATTTTAATACGTTTTTTTCGTAATTAATTAGTATGATAACATCGCATGCAGCACAGGCGTAGTCAAAACATTTATCAAAAAATATAAATATCTCTTCAAACAGCTAAGTTAAGAAAAATATGTTTCACGGCACTGTTTGGTGGTATGGTAACAATTTCCTCTCGGGTGTTATTTGTCCTTGTATTCTTTAGTCATTGTACCAGCTGAAAACTTATGGACTAATTCAGGAAGTACGTGAAAAACAATAGGGCGTCGAAAATATTGACGTAATTGTCCAGGATCGAATACCAAACCATATCTATTTATCTGTGTCGTCTTTACTGAAGTAACGACTTGCTCTAGAAAGTTGCTTTTGTACTAAAAGATAGCTAATTAGCTCTTCTAAAAACTGTCGTCGCCGGATTTTTTGTTTCTCATTTAATTAAAAATAATAAATAAAAAGTATCTTTTTCTGATGTCGTGGCGGATGCGCCAGGCTTCAACTGGTATAAAATAATCCCCTATAAAATGAATAAATAAACCATCATTTTATAAAGTATATTCAAAAAAAGTATTTTTATAAAAGAAACTATTAATCTAAATAAAAAATCTTAAAAATAATACATGGTAAACATGGTATGGATCTTATATTTAAATGTGAATAGATTCTTTATTTATTAAAAATACTATTTATCATTAAGAGAGGTAGGCATATAAAGGATTTATTTACAATATTTTTAACCACATAACATGGATTTATTTTAAATAATATTCAAACGCATGTCGATTTCAAAAACTTTAGTTCAACATTATATCTCAAATTTTTATAACAATAAATGCTTCGTAAAACGTCAAATATAAAAAGAAATTAAAACGTCTTATGATCAAAAGTCCTCTGAATGATGACTGAATAAAAATTACATAAGAAATATCAATTTAAATCTATCTTATATACTGTATATACAGCTGTACAGAGAAAAGTGACAATATTATCAAACACTGTCAAGAAATGTCTCAAACCCGTCAAACGTTTGAAACAGTTCATAATACTTTAACTTCAAAGATGCGGTGGAATTTCTTTTATAAGTCTCTGTAAATTCTTTCAAGCTTTCCGCAATGGAGGCTGTCGATTCTGCATCTAAATTGAGCAGGCATGCTTCTTCGTTGGCCTGTGATTTCGTGCGTCGAACTGAAATTAAATAAAAAGTCAACTAAATCAAATACCTACAGGGCGTTTGTTAAATACATGCAAATAATGTTGTAACGAAGAGAACGTTCCTATTCATGACAAGAGACCTTCAAGATCATTACCTTTCTTTCGAGGAGGTTCCACATTTTCAAATTCAACCTCCAATATTTCTTGTTTAAAAATTTCGTTAAGGTTAGGAGGTTCCGATTGTGAAATTAGAAGCTGCTCAATGGCATGTTGTTGTTCGTCTGCTGCAATAGGATTTTGCTTACTACACGTAACACGTGGCTTTGTTAGGGGTCCTATCGGATCGGTGATCGGGTCCAGAACTGTCCGTGTTTCACCTGAAACATATAAATATACCGGGTGTTGCATCGTCGAGCGGGACATAGGAAATCCCATGTAAATTTTAATGGGGTCAATTATTGGCTTCCCTAATTATTTTAGAGAATAATTCTATTTAGGTTTACTGAAGAGCACTAAAACCCACATTCAAAAAAATAACTTTAGATATTTTTGATTATCTCGTTTACGAGTTATCGCCGATTTCTTTTTAAATATTTCTCCTTTCTTATAGCCCTGTATTTACTTATGAGCACCAGTCAAGGTAAAAGATAACTGTCAGATGAAGTCATTTCAGAAATTTATAAATTTAGTGCTTTATTATTATTGAAAACTCATTCCTACATCGGAAATCTTAAAGATGTATTTATAAATACAAATTAATATGAATTAAAGTAAAATAAAGTAATCAATTACAAGATTAATTATAGTATTATTACAATATTCAATAACTTATTAATTTAGGTACTATTAAATTGTTAGAACTTAAGGATTTAAGATGTTCAAATATTCCTCCATCGACTGCTAGACAATAACACAGACGATCATAAAATTCTCTTCTTACATTCGCTAGTTGGTAAACTGAAATTCTATTGCATTCGGCAGAAATAGCATTTTTTAACTCGTCTAGATTTGGGTATTTTTTATCCTTGTATATCCTGTTTTTTTAAATGGCCTCAGAGAAAGAAATCATTTGGCGAAATATCAGGAGACCTTGCTGGCCAATTTACTGTATGATTTAGGCCAATAACGTTTTCGATAAAACTATTGTCTAAATAGAGAACAACGACATACGGTCGAATCGGCCTACAAACACGTAAACGTTTACGTACGCATGCGCATTTCTTATACTTTCTATTTTTTATACACGTAAAAGATTCTTTACGTCTACGTATACGTGCCAGGAGCGGCCGACTCGACCGTATGCCGTTGTTCTCTAATATTCCCAAACAGCCAGGGTACTATATGCCAGGCAGCCATCCATTTGGTACCAAACTTCCTGATTTTCCCTAGCGGCATCATGTAAAGCAGGTAAAATATGATTTTCGAGTAGTTCCAAATAATATTCTGCATTTAAATTTCGCGTAAGAAATAATGGCCCGATAATATTGTGTCCGAATATCCATGTCCAAACATTTACTGTCTGTGGATATTGCGTCCTTGTTTCGACAAACCTGTCTTGGTTTTCTTTGTTCCAATATCGATAATTTTGAACATTGGGTTCATTATTTAAGGTAAACGTGCATTAGTCAGTGAAACATATGTTTTTTAAAAATTCCCTATCCGTGTTTGCTCTTTCCATCATATCAAAACAAAACGCCTGCCGCCGTATTTCGTCCCCATCTCGTAGTTCTTGGTGCTTTTCATATTTGAAGGAATAGTATTTATGTCGTTTCAAAATTCGAAACGCTGTAGTTAAAATTAGTTTAAACCGAATTTTATTATAGCTATGTTGATCACATTGAGCCGTGTTCAGCAATGTTGTCATTATTTGACAATTATCCTAGTGTCTGTCATTATTTTGTATAATACCGTGTTCTTTTTGAATCTTTGTAATTCTCGTTTTTTTGCCAATTTTCATAGTCTTTTTTTTTTTAAATGCACTTTTAAGCACAAACAGTTCTTTTAAGAACAAAATTTTCGAGTTTTTATATTGTATTTCTTGAAATTGTGTGTTGAAAATGTGCCGAAGCATTTAAACAGTCGAAGCAAAGAGCTTGTAGTTTCCCTGTTTTTTTTTAAACTATTTTGAACGAAAACGTGATAATAAAGGTCCTTTATTGCCCTTGACTGCAGTCATAAAAGTAAGTTTGATTGATAAGCACATTATACCACTGTCAAAGTTAGTTTTTGTTAAATTCAGTGATTATTAGTTTGTGCATTAATAGCACCCTCTTGTTATTACCACTTATGGCGTTTGTAAGATGTTCATTAATAAATAAATAACTCATAATAACGCTTAAAATAATCTTCATAATGGACTAGTTTTTGCCAATATGTAATAAGTAAAAAAAGCTATAAAACAAATAAATCAATTAATCACGAAAATATTAGTTATTAAATTAAAAATAAAACGTAAAACTCTTTAAAAAATGATATAATAAATATGTTGTTTGTCAATTTTAAATTAAGATTCATCTCATAAATCCATCACAATCTGGCAGCGCTGTCGCCATCGCTTGTCACTCAAAGTTAATCACGTGCATCGGAAGAAAAGATTCACTTAGTCCTATTAAATCGTCAAATTTAACGCTTTAAGGCTATCCAAATCTGAGTCACCCTGTACATTATGCTGCTAACAAAAAATCTTACCTGTAGCAGTATCAGGGATTTCTTGATGGTTCGTATATTCGTCGGTAGAGGTTGACAGTTGCTGATCTGCGCCATCGTTGTTTAAAGGATCTTTCATTTTAGTTGAATTCGCAGACTTAGTAAAAAGCTTCTCTAAAAAATATAATTCTGTTAGTACAGTATGATCGAAAAAAAAACGGAATCAAAGACGGCTGGGGAATGACGATGATAATTTTAGCGAGATCAGTCTGTAAACGTTATATCAAGTGCGTCTCAAAAGTGGCTCACCCCTATATTTTTTTAATTTTTTCAGATAAAAAAAAACGAAAATAAAGCATGATAATGTAAATATTCCTTTTCCATGTTGTACAATGCAGTTGTTTCGAAAAATCGTAATTTTTTACATTGAAAAATATTGAAAACCTTTTGAGTGCCGCTTGTGAGATTTTAATCTAATAGATTTTAGTACTGTAGAAACAATGTCAAAAGGTACTGGTTTAAAAAATTAAGATTAATGATCAGCTTTTAAGGTATAAAATTCAGTAAGTGTTATTATTAACAAAATATTTTTTTATACCGGGTGGCCAACTAAGAATGGACGCCGGCTGTATCTCAGAAACTACTTATTGTATAACTTTGGGAAAAAAATTAATTTAATAGTAAATCGACCAAGAGAAATCGCTGGAAATTATTTTCAAGTTCGAAAAATGTCCGCTAGGGGGCGTTTCTCTGATAGCCAATCAGAAAACAGGGTTTTTCTCAAAAATATGCAGGTGAACAGATATTTTAAATATTACTATTGTAATCATCGAGAAATTTGTATTTTTTTGGATATAGAGTATTTTGCTCTATCTCATAAAATAAAGTGGTGGGGGAAGGTTAAACTTGCTTTATTAAAATAAGGATAACTCTGGTTTAGGTTAGCCGATTTATCAGCGCAAACGACAACTGTCTATCTTCTGTCTAACGGGAGATATTTAGAAAATAAATCATATTAGGCTGTCGCCTAGGATTATAAGGTTTAAAAATTACAGTAGTAGGCTAGGAAACAAAAAGAGGTAAATTGGTTACGTCAAAATATCAAAACGCTTAAGTTCCGTTTTCATGCGTTTTTCAACCGAATTTCGGGCGTTTTCTTAAAAAAATGACGCCATAAATTTTTGAACGTGTTAATGTAACATTATCGTCCATTCGTATAATTTTTATGAATTTCTTGGTTAATTATACGTAGGTAGTTCTCAGATTAAAATGTCCGAAAGTCGGACAAACAATCATTTTATTAAAATTTCTAGGAATTTTGTGCCGCCATATTGCTTTTAACACAAAACGGCCGAATTTCGTATGACCGAAAACTAGGGGTTTATTCAGGGGCGGGAAAGTGAAATAGAAAAAGCGGTTCCACCGTTTCCACGGAAATCTCAAATAAAATAGTTCCAGCCCTAGCCACTAGGTGGTAGTGCAATTAATTTTTAGGTTAAGAAGTTGCTACTGGCTTTTGGCAGATGGCGTTAAATTAGAATTTTTTTGTAGTTTCCATAGTTTCCAACGGCCATTGTCATATTATTGTCAAATTCTCAAAAAATATTGTCGTTGTCATAGCGCCAATCATAATATTATCAAATAAATGATTATCAAAACGTTTTTCAAACTATAATTTGTTATATATGTTGTGTATGTGTTTTAATTAGACAATTCCTTTTGTTTGTGGTCCTAAAAATGTAATGTAAGTCTTTTATTTTTGCCATCATTTAAGTACCTATTTATATCTACTCCGTTTACAAAACTTCGGGCGTATTACGTTGGTCTTGTTTTATTATAATAAATGATGTTTAAATATTTGACTTATAAATAAAAACTTTAAATAATAAATAATATTTCACATGTTTGGCTTTAATTTTATTTAATAATTGTATAAATTATACTGTTAAATCTTATTTTTTACACATAACAACGATACTTGTTATTAGTATTGTTGAATTTGTGTAAAAAATAAGATTTAATAATCAAATTTAATTATTTTAGAGTAAAATTCAATAAATACGCTCATTTAAAAAGCCCGCGCTTCGATCCATTTAAAACAAGCCCTACTCAATAGATGGCGCCACTTCTGTAGGACCATTTTTCAGTATGGCCATAGATAAATGCAACAAGTTTAGATTGGAAAGCCCGTAAAAATTTTGGGTCGCGAAATTATTTTGGGTCGCGACCGTTATACGCGATCTGGCGCTGCTATAGCGGTCGCTAAGAACAACGGCAAACAAAGACAGAAATAATTTTCTCTTGTCAAAGTCAGAATCTTCAAAAATCATAATAATCTTTCAAAATCTAAACCGCTCTCATTAAAGAAATTCCGAAAAGTGTTTATAGCGTCTATTTTCAAAGTAATAATTGCTATCTTGTGAGTTTAATTCAAGTTTTATATACTCCAACCGGTAATAATTGTGAAAAAGTGGCATTAAAAACTTAAAAAGCTGTGCTGTGAACTGTGAACTGCAAAAACCATCGTGGATCGTGGCATAACGTCGGTTTCCAATGTTTCATAGGTATTTCATACATGCGTCCTTATATAAAATAAAGTTTCTTGTACGAACACACTGTCTTTTATTTATAAAATTAAAGGAAAATAATAATAAATTTGAATAAACAATATTTGGCGATATAATTCCGGAAAAAGCCGAACCGCTCCGAAATTTTCAAAAGTTTTGGGTCGCGACCGTTGCAAAAATAGCGCCAAATAGTGTTTACATTGTCCTTATGGGCACTTTCCAATCTAAACTTGTTTCATTTATCTATGAGTATGGCAGAGTCCATTCTTTTTCTAGCTAGGTATATTCTTTGGGTTTATTTCATGTTACGTCATTTAGTTATTAATCCAAGTTCGTCCTTGATTTCACTTATTTTCTTATTTTACCTGTTGTTTGTGTTATTGACTATTATATTATAAAGTTTATGTCGCCTGGGTTATTTTTCATATAGCACCGAAGGTGCGAATCTTAACGATATGCACTATTCACTATTGGTCCAAATCTACCCTTGATGCAAGTAGTTCAGCACCAAGACCGTCGGTCGTTAAATGTTTAGTCTGGAATTATAGGAGGGCGAATGATTGGACTTTTTTAATTATCTGAATGAAATGAACTATCTATAATTTCTAAGAGATGAATTCCCAATTTTGTTAGGGGATCCATCAGGATGAAGTTGCATTTGTTGCAATTTCATCAGCATGAAGGCAGTTGGTGTAGTTGATGCAGTTGGTGCAGTTGTGCCGCTTATTTTGTTATGAATGTGTGGGGCTTCTTGGATACCACTTACTTTACTAGATAGAGACGCTAGAGCGGCATATTTCCATGGCCAGCTAGGTCATCGGATGCCTGGGTTTTAATTTATGTGGTCAAATGAAGAACGAAAATGGATAAATAACAAATAAATGGTATTAAAATAAAATTAAAATATATGTTTTGATATTTTGACGTAACCAATTTACCTCTTTTTGTTTCCTAGCCTACTACTATAATCTTTAAACCTCATAATCCTAGGCGACAGCCTAATATGATTTATTTTCTAAATATCTCCCGTTAGAGAGAAGATAGAAAGTGGCGGTTTACGCTAATAATTTGGAAATTTTGTGCACTATTTAACGGCGAAAAGAGAAATATAGCCTCCTATTTAAATTTTTTATGCAATAGCGCAATATCTGTTATGATGTCAAACAGCGCCCTCTAGTTACCACGAAAAAAATTCTGGAAACAAAATTTATACTGGAGATCATTAAGGAAGAAAAGCTGTTTTAAACGAGCCCTAGTTTGTTCAAATCGGCTAACCTAAACCAGAGTTATCCTTATTTTAATAAAAGCAAGTTTAACCTTCCCCCACCACTTTATTTTATGAGATAATATAGCAAAATACTCTACATCATAAAAATTACAAATTTCTCGATGATTACAATAATAATATTTAAAATACCTGTTCACCTGCATATTTTTAAACCCCAGTTTTCTGATTGCCTATCAGAGAAACGCCCCCTAGCGGACATTTTTCGAACTTGAAAATAATTTCCAGCGATTTCTCTTGATAGATTTACCTATTAGAATTTTTTTCCCAAAGTTATACGATAAGTAGTTTCTGAGATACAGCCGGCGTCCATTCTTAGTTGGCCACCCGGTATATAAGTTATATTAATAAATATAATAAATAAATGCGGGAAGTTTCTTCAAGCTTGGAAGTAAAAAAATAGTTCATTTTTATATTTTTTGGTATGTGGTGTTTTGTTCTTGTTTGTTTTGTATTAACACCGTTTTTTTTTAAATAAAATAACTCGATTACATTTTTTCAGTTTTGTACAGTTTTTTTCACAATATTTTGAAGTAATAACTTGTCAGTCAAATTTTAAATATATTAATTTCCTGCTATGCGTTCCAATCGTTCCAATTGTACCAACTTATTTCTTTGTAAAATAAAATAAACTACTTTGAAATTAAAACGACAGACACATCTATCACTGTCAAGGATTTTGTCGTTGGATAGACTATATCTACCCCTTAAAATACTTGCACTTATTTCTGGGACACCCTGTATAATTTGAAATTTCGTAATTACTCACTACAATCGTCAGGTAAATACAGGGAAGGCACAACTCCATATTTTAAATTTGAATTTCTGACAGTGCCTTGTTCCAATGTGAGTTTTGAAGATTCCCCAAAATGAACGTCGCATATTCTAAAATTTTTTCGTACAGAAAGAAAATCTCTTTCGGTCAGTTTGGGATTTTTTATTAACGATATCCACGTTTGATACATCTATAACAAATAAAAAAAGAATTTAAGCAAAGAGTAACAAAATATAATTTAAGTTAACACTGTGTATGAGTGATACCAATTAAACTTTTTGTTACGTCATCGAGGACGCGATTTTTAAATTCATTATTGCCAACCATGGACATATTCGGCGCCGGGCTGAGATCTCTGCTGTAAAAAATGTCAAGTTGCCACATTTATTTATTTATTTCCTGACATTCTCATTCATTATGACACTTTAGTTTTGTATTATGAGTTTTTGGTTTAAATGAATTGCGATGTGATACCTTAGGCTTAAAAAATTTTACTAGCAGACCTTGCAGTCGAACATTGTTCTTTTTAAAACCGCTTAATAGCCGCTACAAAAAACGCATCGCAACCTTATAGAGAAATTTTGAACGGGAAACAGTTAATAATGGCCCTTTATGTCCCTTAAGTGCTGTTAAGGAGGTGAGTTTTGTTGAAGTATATAATAACTGTTTATATATTTATAATTCATTTATTTTTGTTAACTAAAATATTTTGATTAAAATAAAATATGTAAAAGATGGCAACGCTGTGCCGGTCAAACTTAATCACGTGACTAAAAGTTTATTTGGTATGGTCTAGTGTTGGAAAAATTCGAATTAAATAATACGACTAATTCGATAGTAAATTAAAACTAACTAATTCGAATTATCTTTTTCGATATAATCGAGATAAAAATTAGTAGTATTTTATATTATATCTGTGGTAACCGAATAACAAATGAACATAAAACATAACCTCTTATGGACGAATACGAATATTAGTAATTAGTAACGATGGGAACTATCGAATGAATTAGACTATCGAATGGTTACTGAATGAATGATTTCAACTATCGAATGGTTTTATTCGAATAAAATCATTCATTCATTTGTATACTAAAGCATATGTGACAACCTCGCCGTGCGACTAAATGGTTATCGTTGAGCCACGACTATCGAATGCTTTTGATAAATGAAAAATGAAATTTAGTATTCGTTTGATTTTTGTGTGCGTCAGTGCATTATTAGTTCTTCAAATTTTATAACTTCACCTTATAAATACTGTGCTATTTTTGCGTTTATTAAAATATTTAAAATACTAAAATAGTAGTTTTTTTAATTGACGATTGTGTGCGTGTGCAGGTGTCAAATTTTTCCGAAAATTTGTGTGATTTTCTGTAGCTCGATCTTTCAATTATTTTATTTTATATGGTATTTATGGTCTATTTTTTAATGGGAAATTTTGAGAAGTAGCAATTTTTAAGAGAAATGAGATGAACTTGAAGTTTTACACGTGCCAATTTAAAAAAAAAGTTAACGATGTTTGTATTTTGTTTATGCTAATTCTCTTACATGTAGTTTTTTGCGAAGAAATATTTCATTTATTTTTTAATGTAAATGCCAGTAAAAGTAAATATTATTTTTTAATAATAATGTAAAGTACCCAATATAAATAATTTTGATTTCTAATTTTTCATTTATATTTTCCTTCCATTACACTGCATGCTTAGAAAATTAATAAATGTTTATATTTCATGATTTTAAAGTTTGTTGTTAATATAACAAATTAGCTCTGTAATTATTATTATTTAATAAACCAACGATGCCAAAAAATTTAGAGACTATATTATTTTTAAATAGGATCTAATATAAATAATTTTGACTTCTAATTTGTTGTTTATATTTTGCTACTACGTAAAAAAATGTTTATATTAAATTATTTTAAATTTTGTTGTTAATAGGTATAACAAATTATTACTGTTATTATTATTTTTATTAAACCAGTCTTTATTAAAAACATTAAAAATCATTTTCCTACATCCGAAATATTTTATTATCTAACCTAACCTAACAACAGAATATTAATAAAAAAAATGCAAAATATATAGACATACTATCCGTAACTAACTAAAGCCAAACAATAATATTCTTTGCTAATATCAACTAATACCAATATATGGCAACAGCGCCCTTCATAATGTATTTTCTGTGTAAATACTAGCACCTCAATAAAAAAATAATGTGTCCTTATCTTTATATGACTCCGCAAAAAATCAAAGATGCCGGCTTCTTTCTAGCATTGCCACCGACCGCTGTCGGGTTTCTCGGAAAGAAACCTACGTCGCCGGGCGACAACTAAAATCCAGTTAATATTTTATTATAATCGATTCTGACGAATAAATGAATTTCATAAATGAATGAATTTTATAAATGAATGGTTTTTGCTGCCGAATTACTAGAATACAATATTTCAAGGCAGATGACGCATCTATTCGATAATTTTTATTCGAATAGTTTTCAACGAATGTTTTTTTACTAGCTATCGAATTATTCGAATGAAATGCAACTATCGAATGTTTCGATAGTATTCATTCGATAGTTCCCACTACTAGTAATTAGTATAGTACTATTAGTAGTATTCTTTCGTTCGGAACGAACTGAAAATTTTCACTTAAACTGATTTATAAAGGGAATCGACAAAGAAAGGACCGATCCGATATAGAAAAATCCAGAAATCATTGTTATTTCCTATACCACGTAGGAATAAATCAGTTTAAGTGAAAATTTTCATTTCGTTCAGAACGAAAGAATACTACTATTATTTGGTTCATTTCCATCTCACCCAAATTTCACCGAACACCTGCCGAACACTAAAATTAATTTTCTTCTTTTATCTAAATAATTATTGATTGCAACTGATAAAATAAAAAGAAATACGAACCGCACGTAAACAAGGACATACTTATATCGTTTTAGAAGAAGCTTTTATTTTAGATATGAGCTTTTTTCAATAGGAATTGAAACAATCATAAACTCGGCACTTTTAAATTGAAAATTTTAAATTATGGTTTAATTTATTAAACGGCCTCGGCACAGTTAATAGAATACATTGAATAAAGAATATTTTTTTTTATTTTATATTCAGTGATAGAATATAGGTATGGCAATGGTTCAGATTTGTTTAAAATAGCCCCTAGACGAGCACTAGCTGGGACGAATTTATTTTTAGGTTAAATTTATAATACTACTAAATAATTCGAATTATTAATTCGATTGTGAAATATGAAACATTACTAATTATTCGATGGTGAAAATAATTCGATTATTCCCATCACTAGTATGGTCTATAGGTGCTTCGATATTCATGTACAGGGTGGTCGAAATTAGTCTGTTTTAACAGAGAAAACCTATTTCCTGACTAGATAGAGCAAAACCGACATAGATGTCATGGGCTCGATTTCTGAGATAGGTTTAATGGCGTAAACCGCTTGTTGATATTTTCACTGCCAACAGAGACACGGGGTCTTTTTGAATTTTTTACCATTTTGAAAATTGCCCATAACTTTTTTATTTCGCGGAATAATAAAATTCTGTAAAAACATCGTTAAGGCACTTTTTTAAGCACAATCCATTGGCGTAGTCAGTTTTTTTCTATGCTTGCTCTTTTTAACAGAAATAATAAAAAATATAATTTTTAAATGGAAATCGTAGTTGGCTATGAACTTAAAAAAATGCTGGCGTTTAACCCTTTCCAACGATATAAAGTTATGGGTATCTATTTCTAAAAATGAGAGAAATATGGGGGTTTTTATCTTTATATTTGCTTAATTATTTTTTATCACAATTTAATATTCTATATTATTATTTATCTGCACAATTAAAGACTTTTGAAAAGGTAAATTAACATTCTATTATTATTACTAATAGCCTTGTTTATATATTCTTAAAGTTGGTCAACCGACTAGACAAAATGTGCTGCCAACTGGAGGACAAATCGTGAACCTTTCGGGGCGGAGTCAAAAATATCGATTATTTTCGTTATTTTCCTTAGAGTAATGTAATAATATAGCCCCGGGTATCTGCGAACTTTAATAGTGATCAGCTGATTAAGAAATTTAAACGAAACTTTTATTTTACTGTAAATTGTGGATTATTTTTGCCTGTTATTTTAAGAATTCTAAACCGTATTAACAAAGAAATTATTATTTCGATATGTTGGTACATTATTTATAATTTATGATAATGCTAATTGGCTGTTAAATAATATTTAAAAAAGTTACACAGGTACCTATTTTAATTTGATTTAATGCAGGTTTATAAAAGAATCATTTCATTCTTAGATTATTTTATTCTAAATTGAGTGCTTTACGAATTTTACGATATTTTTTTTTTGAAAACATAAAACTAATTGGCATGGTATTATTGTTATGGAAATTAGCCAAGAAAGAAAAGAATTGGCTATAACGTAATTTTTCGAAAAAAACATATTATACCTATAGCTGAAAAGATTAAAAAATGATTATTTAAAGATTAAATTCTTTTCAATAAATTAAAAATATACAGGGTGTCCCATATAAAAAATCAAATTTTCTGTTGATAATTCTTAAATTATTAATTTTAAAAAAATTATACTTAAACCATTAAATTCTACGTAAAAAGGTGCTTCGGAAATGTTTTCATAAAAATACAAAATTTTCCATAGCAAAAAAGTTACAGCGATTTGTTAAATATGTATATTTTTGAAAAACACCCCGTAACTCCGAAACGGTAACAGATATCGATATGCGGTTTTCACCATCATGTTTTTGACAAAAATTGAGCTCCAGACACCGATATTAGTTTTTGTCTATCTCCTATAGAAAAGGGTGTTTCAATTTAAAAGCGTCGAATTTGACCCACTCTGTACACAGCATATGTATACAGTGTTTTCAAAAAGTGTCGTGAAGTAGGTGCTTACGTTATAATCAGTGGGAAATATGTGCATTTTGACAGTCTTCCCGGTATTGTTACAAAGCGGTACACAGCAGGAAAACACCATGTTGCTATGAAATACCAACTTCCTCCTGAGAAGCACCTTTACGTGGAAATCACCAAAACACAACTATCTTCTTTTTATAGGTAGGTATAAGTTTTAGACCGTTTATTCTACCTATAATTATAAAAAAAATCAAGGTGAATCATAATTCTTAAATATTTTGCTGCTGAAGTAATTATAGTGAACATCAAATCATTGGTTTCCATTACTGAAAGTTGCCGTATAAGAGCACATAGGAACAGAAAGAAGCATTATATTATTATAAACAGTTTTTTTTTGCTGTAAGTTTTATTGTGGCTGTTGGCGATCGACAGTCGTAATATTGCATTAGCAACACTGTCCCGCTTTTTCATTATGAGGATCTGGCAACCTTGTTGTTAGGAGATTTTATGATTGATACTTTAAGTAAATTATGTCAATCCAATGACGTCAATTTTTTGGGATTTTCTTTTTCTGCTTGTAAATTTACAAGTTTTGACAAATCTAAATAGTTTTCAATGAAAAAAAAATACTATTTTTCAATACAACTACAGTAAAAACTCGATAATCCGGCTCAATTAAAACAAGGGTTAATCCGGATTATGGGCGTCTTGAATTTTAGTATGGGTACGTTATAAAAAAACGGTTAAAATAAATACACTTTATTCTCAAAACAAATTCAACAATTATGGAAATAAGTAATAATAAAAATGCATTTTTAATATACACACTAGGTATATAGGGTGTCCATTAACTAAGCGTCCATTAAAAGTTTCTAAAGAACTACAACATCTAGCACGGAGATTTTTTGCACATTATAGTTTCAACGAGATCTATCGATTAAAATTATTTTCAATATGGCTGCACTTCCGGAAACGCTAATAATTGACTTTTAGGCTATACAAATTTGACTTTTAGGCTATACTAAATTTTCTTGACAGGTAGTTTTTTTCGTCCAAAAATTTTAAATAATTTTTTTCTCAAAAACGGTTAATGTTAGAGATAGAGTGTTTGGCATCAATATTCATAGAATTTTACAGAGAATTTAAGTGTGTAATAAAAAATGGGGGCACCCATTTAAAATAAAAAAGTTGCTATCAACTTCCGGTATTTTCGGAAGTGCCGCCATATTGAAAATATTTTTAATCGATAGATCTCGTTGTAAAATAATGATGGGCGAAAAATCTCCGATCTAGATATTGTGGTTCTCTAGAAACTTCTAATACACGCTCAGCCTGGGACACCCTGTATATTCGATTACAATTAAACTTTAGTCAAAGAGTAGATAAGACAAGACACGACAGTTCGCGCGGTACCTTTCATGTTTGAGTGGTGGGGAGAGTGACCTCGTCTCGCTTGTCCCTTTAAATTTTCGTAATTTTTTCGCGGGAAATTTGAAATAGACTATTATTAAAACTTGCCTGTATAGCTTATAAATAGTTACTGTATGGGTAAAGAAATAAATAGAAACGAAAAAAAAGATGAGTTTTCTAAATATTATATAAAATAAATTATAATTAGAAACATATTTGGGGAATAAAGATAATAAAAGCAATATTTTGTATATCGTTGGTAAACAAGATAAAGTGACCAAGTCGATTTGTAAGAAATGTTTTATTTACGTGTATTTTTTTTACATATGGACTTGAACAAGTGTAAAATCACAATGTGGAGTTTATGTACAAAAAAATAGAGTTGCTCAATTTTTTTTTAAATATATTACAAGCTTCTAACCATGTCTTCGATCTATGGATTACATTTAGTTTAATAACATAATTATATAGTATATTTCTATAAAAATACTTTTCAGGATCCTTTGGAAAAGAGTGAAATATTATGTTTGTCGAAGAATAAGACCTATTTTTGTAGTCTTTATAAGCACACACATTGCCACCATCTCGTTTTTTCCTGCTACTCGTGTCCTGTTCAGTATTCATATTTAACAATATTTACAAATTAGTACGCAACAAAAACGATACTAAAATTAAACCTTAAAAACTCTCAAAACGATAATATATCGAAAAACTCTGAAAACACACTTTAAAAAGGCAAAAATGCAAGAAAACAACTAATCAGATTTGTTTATGTTTAAGCCTGATTAGCACAGCTGATTAGCGTCCTAAAATCATAGGTTAGAATAAATAAAATACGCCGTTGTCAGATTTTCAGATTTTATCTGTTTATCTTTGAAATCAATCAACTTAGTTAATCATTCTGTTTCTTTGATATTATCAGTACATTGCGAAAAAAGAACCTAAACCAACATAAACTAAAAATTTACATTTCCGTATTAACATACGTTACTTATATCATTCTTATATTATTAATTTATTTTCAGAAAATCTTGTTTATTTTTCAAAGAAATATACTTGGCAACAGACAAAATGGGACTTGATGGGACCTTTAAATTTTAATATATCTGCGTCTCTCTCGCGAAATTCGATTCTTTGTTCACTGTCGGCTCTTGTCTTATCTACTCTTTGCTTTAGTTACGTAATCGAGGCCGCGATTTTTAAATTCATTATTGCCAACCATAGACATATTCGGTGCCTGACTAACTAAAATTTGGTGTGAATCAGGTGTTTGGATTGGAATTATTCAGATATTTATTAATAAAACTCACCTAATTGAATGGTGTTTACCAATAGCTGAGTGGGAACTGCATCCTTTTTAATTAAGGATTTATTTCGCGATCCAATATAGGCTGATTCTGGTCCAAAGTGTACATTACATATTCTATACACAGCACGAATCCTTTCTAAAGGTTTCACTTTTAGATCCAGACGTCCAATTGTAGATAACCAAAGATCACACAACTGAAATATAGATGAAACATATTATAGATAGTTTAAATCCTTTAATGCATAAGTAATCAATATATTATGTTATAGTACTATTGCAATAAATAAAAAATAAAAAAATATCATGCTTTGATGAATGTCAATAATTATAATACATTTAAAAATAGCCAAATTTGTTATCCATTAATATTGAAAAAAAAAACTTTAAGATCACCCTCAAAAAACTGAAATTCCTGCATGAACCGTGCAGATATACCGGGTGCGACTCAAAAGTGGCTCACCACTATAACTTTTTTACTTCTTCAGATAAAAAACGACATTTGGTATTTTAGTATATAACATAAATTAGGATTGATTGACGTATTCAATTGTTATTGGTCACTTCCTGTTTCACCGGAAATTACTACAACTTTTGATTTTTAAATGGCACCCTCGGTACTTTTTTACTTTATTCGATAGAAAATGACATTCTGAATAGAATGACATATAATATGTCAACTTTTGACATTTTTGCTTAGAACAAAATTGAATTTTAAATTTCAATCTAGAGTGCCATTGGCATCCAGTGGCTGTGTTAAAAACACTAATTTTTAATCAAGGAGCCTTGGACAAATAGATTTAATCTAATTTTAGTCTAATGTTTTTACTGTCTTGTCCTGACCGGTTAAAAGATGCCCAAATCGTATTTTTAATCATATCTCAATTTTTTCAAATGAAACGAGGGTGGATCATTGGCATATTTGGAAAAGGCATTTTTTTTCGAGTAATTTGGTACCACTTGGTATTTCAAGTCAAATTGTCGTTATGAATCGCACGTTGCAATTTCAAATAAACCATATTCAAAAATGTCAAAAGTTGACATATAATAAGTCATTCTATTCAGAGTGTTATTTTCTATCGAATAAATTAACAAAATAGGGTACCATTTAAAAATTAAATGTTGTAGTCATTTCCGGTGAAACAGGAAGTGACCGAAAACAATTGATTACGTCAATCAATCCTAATTTATGTCATATACTAACATGCCAAATCTCGTTTTTTTATCTGAAAAAATAAAAAAGTTGTGTTGGTAAGCCACTTTTGAGACGCACCCGGTATATGAATAAATTAATAAAAATAATGAAAACGTGAAAAACTATTTTTAATTAGATATTTGAAATTAAACTATAAAATAATAAGATTATAGGCAACTTACTTGTTGGTCATTTGGAAAACGATGCATTTGAACATTTTCTTTGTTCGTGTTATTGCATCCAGGTACACAACACACAAATCCCATTTTTTATTTCTATTGAGAAATTGCTCGAACAGAAAATATATTGAGAGGATCAATTAGTAAAACGTAGTGTATAGCGTTACGGCACCGTATCCCATAATGTGTTACAGTAAACGGTTATTGGTCGGTTCTTCCTTGGTGGACAACTAACTATAGCCAATGCCTTCTATTAAAAGATCAGCCTTCGGGCGGACTTTTGTTTACTTCATCAGCTGTACATACTTAGATATTGGGTTAGATTCCGTTTCATATTTTGTCGGTTGATTTTTGGTTTTAACTCTTTGATTTTTGGTATTATTTATTATTGTAGTGCAAAAAACTAATTATTTTGGTGTTGAAGTGACATAAACTACTACCAGATATATGGTCACTCGGTTTCGCACAAAAAAAATAAAATTTTAAAAATTACACGTTGTGCAAGTGATTTAACCTAAAAGTGCCCATACATTTTTTACTTATCGTGATTTTTGTGTGTGTTTTTTAAGACTCTAACAATTCATCAATAAAGCTTAAGTGGAGTGTGTTATTGGTGCTATGCCTCATCTTTGTTGTGTTCCTGGTGGAAAGGATAGTTACTAAGGATAGTTATTATACTAGGCAGCCTAAAGTGTCCGGAAGAGCAAGAAAAGTGGGTACGAGTTATAAATCAAGAGAATTTTATTGAAAATATCTTTAATAAATTTAAAAATAATATTCTCCCATGATGGTATTAATGAAAACTGGACAATTATGTTTATTTTATTCATATTGTGGAATCTCCACTCCAAGTGTTGCTGGTTCAGCTTCGATAGATTCAAACACGTAAGTAGGTATTATGATCTAGGAAAAAATAAAGAATATGTGTATTAGAGATCATGAAAAAGATTATTATTTTGAGTTCAAATGTTAAAAAAGATTTTTGTAAAAACAAGACTGATACAGTTTAAAAGAAGAATGTGTTTTTGTTTGATAATAATATATATTGATAATAATATATATATATATATAATATAGATAATAATATATATATATATATATATATATATAAATTTGATAATGTATGTTAAGCATAACATATA